AATGAATAGCGAGAGTTAGCATAGATTTAAAATGTAAATTAATTATTGTAATTAGTTAATGTAAATTGTATTTGTTCTTATATCTAACTTACCTTTCTTGTATATTAAGCCCTTAGATATTATCAACAGGGCAATCACGATAACACGTGACGCGGCCGCGGAGCAAATGAGGCTACGCGCACAGCGCCACAACGTTTTATATTTATAGTGCTGAGGCGGGGGGCAGGGTCCTCAGCCTAAAGTTGTCAAAAGCAAAGTTTAAACCTTTTTAATATGTAAAAAAATTGTTGTGTACATATTAGTATAATAAATAGTTATAAGAATATTATATATTTAATTCTGTTTGTTAGTTCGTAAGAGATATAACCCAATAAAGAAAGGCGCGGGGGTGAGGCAAGGGTCCGCTGGCCAGCAACGGCCAAACCATATAAAAGACGGGCCGGCCGGTACGGTCGGCAGTCGCTCTCCAGCCACCGAAAAGAAAACACAGTAAGAAAAGATACAAGTTCCTCCTCACCGCCGCTTGCCTCCTATTTAAGCAAGACCAACGCGTTTCATTCATTTTTCGAACGGCGTTACGGCAATCCGTAACATTAATGGTCCTTCGAGAAGCCGGATTACCAGAAGAAAAAGACAATATCGGTCTTGGTATTGCCGGAAAAAAGAAGCAAATCGCAAGAACGAAAAAATATTATTTTGAAGAAAAATGGTGATTACACGTAGTAACAACGGAGAATCATCGAAGCGTTGCAAGGATGAACAGATAACCCACGGGGCCACATAAGAGGCCTCCGGGGGCGAGTGAACCGCTAGTTCATCAAACACCACGAGCGAAACCACAACGGTCAGCGATACAACCGCTACCTCTGCGACCGATAAAACGGCCGCAACGGAAGAAACCCAGCAAGAGAATGATCGAAGATCGAAGATCGCAGCGCACATTAAAGCCCGACGAAACTAGGTCGCGCCGCTCCGTAGTTTCACGCAAGAGACTCCTCGCGGATTTAGAGGTGAAAGAGCGGTTAGCCAAACTCAAGCTCGAGCAGGCTCAGTTGCAAGCAAGAACGGAATTGCAAGAAATACACGTGCAGCGACTACAAGCAGAAGTCGGATCAACCGGTGACGAAGATGAAGAAATAGAAGACGATTTAGCATCAGTGCGCATTAGTACATGGTTGCAAGAAAAACCTACATCGCAACCCGCGCCGGAGCAACAAGAAGGACCATTCGTCCACCGGTAAATGCAGCCGCCTCAACGAATTACAGGCCACCACGACTGGATTTACTATGTCCGGACGTAGTCTGGCCCGGTCCCTAAGCAGCGGGAGGTTTAGGGGGAGGAGCTGCCTAACGTATTCGTCCGCAATTCGCCGGACGTTGGCGTACCTTCCTGCGAGGAGGTGCCGGGCAGTCTGGTAGGCGTCGTCTGATAATTTCAAATGGCCGACGACGCCTAGGGTCTCCCCCTCCAGTGAGGCCAGGAGGTACGCCATCTTCTGGCTTGGTGTCAAGTCCCTCCGGGCGTCCACTAGGCTACCAAAAAAGCTAACAAAGGTCATCCAGTCGGAGAGGACCCCGGAGAACCTTGGCAGGTCCAGAGTTGGGCGTTGTTCCGACAGCTCCGGCCGATCTGGCTGCTTCCGAGGGGACTCGGGTAGGCCACTCAGCCGAGCTTCCCGTGCTTCATTATCATACTTGGCCCCCGCCTCGATCAAGTCGTCCGTGAGCGAAAAGAATTGCTCGTAGTCCGCGAGGCAGGAGTTTAGGACTCCCTGTTCCGCATCTGAGGCCACAAGCTCTGTGTAAGCCTCCTCCACTACGGCCCTTCGGGCCACGACCTACTCGAGCCGCTTGCCTAAACTATGTACCCGATCGGGTCGCCCTATCAAGGTATGGGCGTTCGCGGCCCAGCGATACAAATACATTTAATAGCAATATAAATTACTATTAAATTAAATACAAATTACACTACACGGCAAGTACACACTACAGTCGGTCAGCAAGATGCCTCGCCCAGGCGACCAACCCTTCGGCAATTTAATCTACCTACCTGAAATACTTGACGCGTAGGTACCTAACCCTACACTACACTCCTGCTTGCGCTGCTTAACGGGCGTGTTTATAACCACCGATCCGCTAACAAACAAAAAAAATATATTTTTTTTATATTACGGCCGGGCGTGATTGGAGAAACAATCAACCACGCTCTGTTACCAGAAAATGTTACGGCCCTCAGTTGCTCAGACAGAAGTCGACTGTACTAGGGCCCATGAGTAATACATTCGACAAGCAACCAGAGGGTTCGGGCCCAAGTGGCCTATGGATAATTATTAACTTATGGCTGATAAGCTAACACAAACTTGCCGAGTTCCGGAGGTAGGGTTGACCACTGGGTATCAGTCAGGTGGTAAGTGAGGTGTATGTAAGTAGTGTGCGAAAGTGTGTATAAATGTAACCTGACGTCACCGATGTAATCGGACAGCAGAGCCACAGGCGCTGCTTTTCTCCACAATGTGCGATCCCTCCAGTGGGCGTTCACCAATTGAAACCTTCTGCTTTTATTTCACTATATTAGTTTATCAACTTTATGGTACATTGTCCCTCACTTGTCCCTTGTCCCTCACTTGTGACTTAACCCTCACATAAGGTGATCTTCATTACATTTACACTCCACAGTTCCTCTTAGTCTGTGGTAACGAGTATATTAACTGTCCTATGCAGGAATGGCTATGGGCTGTGGCAATACTACAAGTTCATTACAAACATAGACATTTCTCTATGTCTGATTACAAAGAAGAGGAACTGCTGTGGAGTTTGGCGGAAACTTAAACGGCGGCGGATTGCTGCTCCTGTATTTTTTGCTGCTACTTTTATTATTATTTAAATAATGGTTTGAAGTGGATTTTGATATGTAAAAGTGGTGCGATTTTGCCTTTGTTAAGTGTCTGCGCATGTGAACTATTAGTGGAAACGGTGAAACAAGTGCTCTGATGGTAATGTGATTCTCAATATAAGGTGTCTGTCTGCTTAGGAGCCTTGATTTTTGTTATAACTGTCTTTACGGCTCCGGGTTCTATCCCTTCTGAGCCTGAAGTTACAATGTATAATTATCCTTCATAGTATACTGCTATTTTTGTTTACATAATACTTAATTTTATCTGAATTTTTTAATTTTATCTGCTACACAATATGTTGATGTGTCACATTGTGCAGCCCTTAGGAGATGTTGACGGCAACTTGAGCTAGCAGACAGCTGATAGTTGGCGATGGTATCTCAAAGCACCTAACCGAACAGACACCTTATCTTGAGAATGACATCACCATTAGAGCACTTGTTTCACCGTTTCCACTAATAATTCACATTCGTAGACACTTATTACGAATTGAATCAAACCACTTTTACATATCAAAATCCACTTTAAACTATTTTTATACGATAATACAGGAGCAACAAACCGCCACCGGTCAAGTTCCCGCCCAAACTCTAAGCTCTAATTGTCAGCTGTCTGCTGGGTCAATATGCCGTCAAAATCTTCCAAGGGCTGCACAATGTGACGCATCAACATATTGTGAAGCAGTGTATTATGAAGGATAATTATACATTGTAACTTCAGGCTAAGTAGGGTTAGAACCCAGAGTCACAAAGCCAGTTTTTCAAAAAAGAGGAACTATAATATACCCGTAGAGAGAGAATGAACTAAGGCTAAGCGTCCACTAGGCTCTCCGAGCCGAGTCCAATCGAATCGCAGAAAGTCGCCTCCTATATACTTACTATGAAACTGCGTCCATTAGCGACGAGCCGCGCCCGCGGCGCGCCGAATTGAATCGATCGCGCGAATTGCTTGACAGGCGAATTTCTTCGCCGGTGCGATTCGATTCAACTCGGCGCGCCTCAGTTGACGCAGGAAGCGGATGCGCGCCAACGTATTTTTATTAATTTCTATTTCGTTTTCGTAAGAATCCATTTGTTTAAATAAAAATGTATGAAGAACTATTGATATCACTGGTCCAACAATATCCAGAATTGTTTAATCATGAAGATCCACATTATCACGATGAAATAAAAACATCTCTTCATCCGAGGTGTCCATGACGCAAATACGATCTATTATGATGAAGAATTTGCGATGAATGAACAATTCGATTCGATTCGTCAGAGATGGACGCACTAAGAATAAATGCGACTCGCTTCGATTCCATCCACGCATTCTGCTGTAGTCGATGCCAGGCTCACCTAATGTCAGTGTCACTGTCAATGTCATTCGCCGATAGCTATCATTTTGATAACTTGGATTTTACATTTTAAGTTTTTAGGTTATTTTATATTTATATACAATATACAATAATCTATGAGTGTTGAGTGAGTTATCTTATTTGGATTTGTGTATTGGTTTGCGTTTGCGACCACTACCAATGAGCTAAAAAAAGCGACGGAAAATTTATTTTATTTCTGTTTATGGTTAATTTATTTGACTAATTATATATTGCAATAAACCTTAGATTTGGAAGTATGTATTAGGATACATTAAAAGTTAGCTAAGCTATTTATATTTAGCTATTTATATTATTTTTTGGAATGCATTTGCTGCCACTTCCTTTACTAGCTTAAAGCGTTCCCAGAGTACCTACTTTATTATAGGTACAAATAAGATATGAGTCGAGCCTTAATTGGAAAGTGGTGCAAAATTTACAATTTACTAATTTTCATCTGTTAGTAGAGAGTAATAGTGGTCATGTGTTTACACTATCTTTTATACCTTACGTACACCTTGCGCGCCTTTTTTATAGAAAAGCTCATCGGGTTATTGAACAAGTTACCAAACAAATTCAGTTTCAGTTTTTACTTCTATAGCAAAGAGTATATAAATCACTTTGTTTATTCTACAGTTCAGAAACAATAAATTCAAGGAAGAAAATTGCTACCACACAGTATACAATTCCCATGTTTTAATTACTACAGTGCATCATATATTGTTTGCTCTTTGTATCTTTTACAAACAATGTCTCGTGAGGAAAGTGAATTTAAAAAATATGCTTCAGAGTATGATCCTATTAAAATAGGATCAATTGATGGTAAATTTTAGCGTATTGCTGAATTTATAATACGTATGTATATTACACTGTTAAGTACAAAATATCATTTTTATTATTGTAGGTACCGACACTGAGCCTCATGATCGTGCAATTGTTCGAGCATTATGTTCAGAATATATTCCTAACAAGCAAGTGAAAGGTGATCCCAACCACACTGTGTTCATTGGTCGACTAAATCCTAGAACTACACAGGTAAATTATTTAACCACATCATTATTTAAAAATTCCTAATATTATGTTGCCAAAATAGTATTTTCTTAATAGTTTCTTTTAATAATACATTATAGAAAAAATTAATAAATATAAAGTTTTAATGTAGTGTAGTGTAATTTTAATGATGATTATTCTCATTTGTAGTGGCTTATAAATCCTGACCATATCAATAAAATTATCATTCTGTGTACTTATATGTAATCATGTAGTGTATTCAAACGGTTATTACTGTTCTAGTCCTAAATTTAAATCACAGCTAAATAAAATTTATAGTTAATAATTGTGTTATGAAGTTTTAAGTTCAAATATTTAAATAATGATATATTGTTGTAGTCATGGGTAACTCATCTATTTTATTTGAGAATGAAGAAGTACCTCATTTTACCTTGTGAGTTATTCATGAGGTAAAATGAATCGTTCGTTGGCGTCTTCATCTCACAATGTGAGTCACCTCCTTTCGAAAGTTTCTTGAAAGCACGCAAATAAAATTTGAGTTATGTCCAGTAAACGCAAAACTGATTGATATATAATAGGGGTGTATGATTTTATTTTCACACACAAATATGTGATTTCATTGTTTCATATTTCATTAATTAAAAATAATTTTTGTTATTTATTAATCTTTTTTCGCAATACTGAACCTCACTTATTTAGATACTATTGCTGCAATTTTTAATCCTACGGTCACTCTCTTGTGGTACGATTCGTATTATAGATTCGTATTGTCATTCATCACAGTCACATGTGAGGTTGTCAACGAGTGAGTGAGGTGTTTCAATGTTAAAATTCGAGTAACTCTTTCAATTCGCCGTCATGAGGACCTCAAACGAGGTAACTCACGAGTGAGGGACACATCACAAATATGAAGCTTATACTTTTATTGAAAATGATCCCAAATTAAATGTGATTTACGGGCAAGAACTAGGCATATGTATGCTCCTCTGTGTGCGATTCAATTTACAAGGTTTCATTTCATGAACACATTCGTAAGGGTCACCACATGACCCTTAAGAATGTGTGAATGCATAGTAAAATGGTAGGCGTTAAATATTTATGATTGAGAATCAGTTAAAATAATGCCTTACCACACTTTTTAATGGAATTTAAAACATAAAAAGGGCAGAACTTTTCAGATTTTTTTCAATGGGATTTTGATGGGATAGAGCTGCTCGCGTCCGTAGGAATTACTTGAATCCTGATTCCCTACACGTATCCCCTGGGTAGTGCTAAACGAGCAGTACTACATACTGGTGGTAGGTTGGTCCTCTACTAGTGAGAGGCCCGCCCGAGGGTTAGTTACCACCCACCTGGCAAAGACATACCGCCAAATGACGCAAATCGTGTTCCGGTATGATGTTAGGTGAAACCCATTTCTTAGGAAGAATAGGTCTGTATAGTTGCGTTGCGCATACGGACCGGTTGCGACGCGGCCGTTTCTTAGTGTCAGGTGCCTGGTAATGGAGGTTAGCGGCATCCGAAGCACGGTTGCACCGCTGGCCGACCGTAGTTAGTTGGGGGCCCAATTAAAGAGCCAGCCACTCATGAAAGGCTGCCCGCCATCTTACGAAAAATCCTGGGATGGCTCCACCATGCCGGTTGGCGACCGGAGGATAGGGCCTGGTGGCGATTTCCAGGAGGGTTCGGGCGTCCCCGCGATCTCCATACTAGGTACCATCGATGCTATGGTTTGAGTCCCTAGGTTATATGTGTGACATCTCGTCCAACTGCCATTCTCTCAACCTATTCACTCCCACTATTAATGAAAAAAAGGAAAAAGAAGAGTAAGTTTGTACAGCGGTTGCACTCCCTCTCCATTAAAGTGCACCTCACAAACATCCGAGGCCTGCACTGTAATCTCAATGCAGTCCATTACCACCTTGAGACTGACAAGCCGCACTTACTCTTCATGACTGAGACGCAGATCAGATGTCCTCCAGATGCGGCGTACCTTGGCTACCCTGGGTACACATTGGAGCATAATTTCCATGCGCCGAAATCTGTGTTTACGTCCGCAACGACATCTGCTGTAAGCGTCTCCGTCACCTTGAAGACCCCACTTTCTCTACGATCTGGGTATTGATAGACACAGGAATGGATAAAATTATTTATTCTTGTGTCTACCGATCGCACAGCGGCGACCAGGAGACAACTAGGCTGTTTGAACACCTCAGTGAAGCCTCTGATGTGGCTCTAAATCGGTACCCTAATGCACAGTTGGTTTTTCTGGGGGACTTTAATGCCTGTCATCAGGACTGGCTGTTCCCATACCAGAAGACCGACCACGCTGGGAGAGAGGCGTGGAATTTTGCCTTGTCGCTGGGGCTCTCCCAGCTGGTACAACAAGCGACTAGGGTACCTGATGTGGATGGGCACACAGCCAACTGGATGTTTCGAAGGCTTTTGACAGGGTTTGGCACGCTAGTCTTTCATTGGGCAAGCTTTCAGCGTACGGCTTGTCCCCTGGCCTAATTGTCTTGTGAAGGACTTTCTGAGTAACAGTCTCACCGGGTCGTCGTTGATGCTCATCCGATACTGTGGCGACTAACGCCGGTGTTCCTCAAGGGTCCGTTCTCTCCGCAACTCTCTTCCTGCTGCATATAAATGATCTGCTCATTCCCGGTGTCTATAGGTATGCAGACGACAGTACAGTTGTGGAGAGATACGAACCAAGCGCCCGGGCCAGTCGGGATCAAATCCAGTCAGAAAGAGAGGCTATGGTTGAGCGTGTGAGTCTCACACTACAGGCAGTTTCCGAATGGGGCGATGCCAATCTCGTGAGATTTAACACCTCCAAAACACAAGCGTGTCTTTTACCGCTAAAAGGAGACCGCTCACCTTGGCTCCTACTTTCCGGAATGTATCCTTGGAGTACACTGACCGCCTTCAGTTGTTAGGGATTGAATTTTCTGTGAACCTAAACTATGTGCGGTTCATTGAGTCCAGAGCCAAAGCAGCCGCAGGGAAACTTAGTGTCCATGCAAGGGTGCGGCGGTACTTCATGCTGGGGCAGCTTCTTATCTTATATAAAGCGCAAGTCCGGTCGTGCATGGAGTACTGCTGTCACATATGGGCTGGTGCTGCAAAATGCCACCTGGCAGCATTGGATTCAGTGGAGAGACGTGCTAAGAGGCTCATTGGTGACCTTGATTTGGTTGAAACCAATCTTGTCAGCCTCGAGCACAGGCGCAGAGTGGCCAGTCTCTCGGTATTCTATAGGATGCATTTCAGTAAGTGTGAGAAGGAGTTACACGCCTTAATTCCTCCCTCTCCTTTCCACCATCGGACAACCAGACGGTCGGCGGGTCTTCATCCCTTTGTTGTCGATATTCCAAGCATTAGAACCAAACGGTTTGCTTCGTCTTTTGTAATGCGTACTGCAAAGGAGTGGAATAATTTTCCGGCGTCTATCTTTCCGTCCGAATACAATCTAGGCGTCTTCAGGGCAAGAGTGAATAGGCTTTTGTTACGATAAGACAATACGATTTACCATCTAAGGCTGCATCACCACTTACCACCAGGTGGAATTGTGGTCAAGCACTGGCTTATAATAAGTTAAAAAAAAAGGTCACAAGCGATCACATTCCACCTGAAGGTAAGTGGTTGCTATGGCCCATAGACATCTTCATCTATCCTCACTTGCGAATCAAAATACAGATGCGTTGACAGCTGTGAGGACTAAGAATGCCTCTTTTCTAGTAAAAAAATGTCTCCGGTTCTCTACACTCACCATACGAAACACAGCAGCATTAAGCTGCTATTTTACGCTGGCAAAATTATTTTTTTTTACCATTCGTCCATATTACTTATTCTGAACTTTCTTTGCAAATTTGGGTGTTTATTGCAAAATAATCCTGTATAATACAGAGCATTAGGAAGGTCGCTGCAAAGTCTCTAGGGGGGGATAGGTCACCTCGTAGAGCACGTGTTTGAGCAGGTTACCATAACGTCATTTCTTACAATTTCTAGTTATCATGAAAATTAATATTATAAATATTACAAAATATTACAAAATTTGATATTTAATGGTTTTTAATGTTTAAACCGGCAACAATCGGTACGTACAACCTTGGTTTATCTTAGCTTAGTGTGGCGTATTCAATCAATAAACACCAATGTCATCAACTATATACACATCATTGACTAAATTAGACATGCTAAAAAGTTAGGAAAGTTAAAGTAACTCTATTATTCACGCGTTTAAAAAGAAAACAGTTCACACGCGGTAGAAGTGAAACCTTTAAATGAAAAGAAATAAATAAGATAAAAATATTTCACGGCATATAATTTATTTAAAATGATTATTTTCAACCACAAGTGTGGCATAAAATATATGTTTAATTTTGTAGCAAACAAATGTTACAAGCCTCAATTTTAGATTTATTTTAGTGTAATAAATCAAAAGAATATTTTATTATAAAAAATCTTCATTATTTAGGTAAAGTCTTTTTTATCGAGCAAAATTTGATTGACTCTCAATGTATCTTGACGTACAATAAACCCTAGATGGCATGAATTTATAAAATCTTGCATTTATTTAAATTGGTATATTAAGATAATTTTATTCAATATGTATTTATTTTAACAGTGAAAATTTATATGAAACATATTTGAACCACCGCACAAAGAAGAGACCGAAATAATAGGAAACACTATTTAGAAAAAGTGCTAGCAATGCTATTATCATTACTAAAATTCCCGTTAACTACTATTGCCATTAGGCTACTGTCGCTTTTCACACTATTCTATCTCAATCTCTTGCAGGCAAAATCCTATAGGCATTTTTTTATTGGATAGGATGACAACGAACACACAGTCCACCTGATGGTAAGTGGTTACTGTAACCCATAGACATCTACATTTATCCTCAATAAAAAATCAAAATGCAGATGCGTTGTGAAGACTAAGATGGAATGCCTCTTTTCCAGTAAAATGGGTCTCCGGTTCTCTACACTCACCATATGAAACACAGCAACATTAAGCTGCTATTTTACGCTGGTATTCTGTGAGAGCGTGGTCCTTCCCCGGTCGTGCCGACCCATTCGTGCTACAACTATACTACTAATATAGCTGCAGCATGGCTCTACCACGTAATACATTTTGTCCACGCATTTGTCTCTTTTTAATGTCACTTTTTGTTTCATCCAGTTTCAAATCACAACGATGCTACAGAAGTTTTCACTTCAAAAAGACTTACACATTAAGATAATTAATAGAATCAGGCGTTACTTTGCGGAAATCCATTATAATGGCGTTGTTATAAACTGATTTGCTTAATTCTGCAGAGACTGACCGCTTTAGCTGGTGTGTCGTGCCTAGTGTGGTGGTGCTGGTGATGGTAGTGCTGGGATTGACGGCGACGGGTATAGGGCGCGCGATTGAGGGAGGGTGGGAGGTCCCCTTAAAACTGGGCAGGACACATCATTTTCTTTCTTTACGCGGAATTAAGCAAATTAGTTTATAACAACCCCACTTACACATTAGACTTACACGTTCAAACATTTCATAAACATCTAAAACTCATGCCCTTTCTATTGGTATATCTTCGTACATGCAGATACCTGCCCTTTTCAGAATTAAAGCACCTAAACTAAACCGACGTGCAGTTTCACAAAAAGTTCTGGTGATATTATTTTTAATGTAATTAAAAACAGCTTTATAAATAAAATATTCTTTATGATCAAATCGTTTAATATTCATGTTCAAAGTATAAACCGTGGTTCATAATACATTCTTGAGCCCTATTTTGCACTTCATTGGTTGTAATTTTTTATAATATCTCCATTTTTAATTTTTTTCAATGCTTCATTAATTTTTTTCTATTAGATTGTTCCCGAGTCGTTATTTTTTTATTGTACACCAGCTCTTTGGCTCGACCCCAGATATGGAAATCCATAGGGGTCAAATATCAAAAGAGTGCCAGAGCACCAGCCCTTCTCTTCAAAATCACTTGAATGGTAGAAATATGATAGCTATTGATACTTCTAATTGGTTAACATTTTTCTACCTTATTCCTTACATTAATTATGTTATTATCTAAATCTAAGCTTAATTACATTTCGTTTTTTTTTTTTAAGGAAACTATTCAATCGGAATTTTTAAAATTTGGTAAGATTTTACATTGTCGATTAGTCAAAGACATTGTGACTGGAAAATCGAAACAGTATGCATTTATAGAATACGACAGCATAAGCTCTGTTGAAAAGGTTTTAAGAGAGATGCATAAGGAATACATTGATGGCTCAGAAATTATTGTAGAAAGAGAAGCAGAAAGGAGACTGCAAGGATGGCGTCCACGGAGGCTCGGTGGAGGTTTTGGTGGATGCAAGGAATCAGGACAGTTGAGATTTGGTTGTCGGGAGAGGCCTTTTCGTAAGCCTATTATTGTCCTACAAAAACATGATGATCTTGCTCCTGTCAAAAGGTGGGCTATGTTACATTGGTTATATCCTTGATTAAGTTATCATACTTAGCATGATTTCAAAAGTTTCTTTATTTAAACAACAACAACAGCCTATATAAGTATATTTTACAATTATAAAAGTATATGACACAAAGCCAATGAACGTTATTGACATTTTTAAGTAGACACATTGCAAAGTCCTTACTCATACTCTACTAAATTTGATAGCTTTTCATTGTGTCGACATGAGGTGTTATTGCCCACAACGAAATCGTACTCATTACCTTAGTACTCCTATCATCCCAATTTCTTTTATATGTACCGAATGTTTTTTTTGCTTCATTGTTTTTAATATTTATAAGGTTTTTTTAAATCTCTTTTAGGCCTCGTCATCATTAAGGTGATTTAAAAACAATAAAATATGCTCCTTGTAATCTAATGGGTCATGCTTTGGCAGTATTTTTGACTAATGTAGTAATCAAGAATGTCACTCATCAACAATGAATGAAAATGTGCAATGTGTGCTGCAAAGAATTCAAAGGATGGTGCAAGTCCTTCACCAAAACAGAAATAGCTTTGAGTCTTTTACAAGCTACACTTTTGGTCATATTTATTTCTTTTCTAATTTTTTTAATATTGCACTTTATTGCATGTCTGAATAATGAAGTAACAATAAATTCAAACATAACTGAAAAAAATACATCTAAATCTACAGCCACAACTGTTATATCAACTTTAGATCCAGCAATAGAGTGTACTTGGAAGCCATCAGAAAAAACAAAAGCTTCAGCACATTATTATGAAAAAGATTATACTCCTGTTAGTATTTCAAATTATGAAGAAACTACAAGTGTTGACAGTAATATGAATTCAAACACATCAACTACAGGCATTAATAATGATTCAAAATCAGAAGAATTCTCACATGATAAAATTGCAGATAATGTCAAAAAAGGTTTTCTTCTTGCACTTGTAAAAATACAGTCTCTTCAAGATGTAACATTTGGATGTGTCTTAACTATTATATCTGAATATTGGACCCTGACAGCAGCCAGTTGTATTGAATCAATTGAAGAGGTTGATGCTTTGGACTCTTTTGTAATGTTAGAGGAGTATGGAGAAAAAAACTTAGGAAAAACTCACACGGTGTCAGATGTTCTGATACATCCAGAGTATCAGGGCACAAACAAGAATTACGACATAGTAGCTTTAAAATCTGAAGACAAACTGTTGAAGAAAGGCCAACCTGTAGTGAAACTGCCTACTATGTTGGAGTTTCTCATGGTAACCATTGGCGAACAACTAAGTCTTCTTGGGTATGAAAAGTTTAGGTATGTGTTATATTTCTGCGTTTTATTTTATTTAAAGAATATCCATTCCCCATATCGCCCAGTGGGATAAGAGACGACAGAGAGAAAGAGATGGGCAGCAGTATCTTCCTGATAAACGAGGCATTCTATTTTATTAATCAGGGGTGACAATGCATTTTGACTCTTAATTGAGTAAAAAATGTCGATGTCCATGGGCCATAGCATGCATTTACTATCAAGTAGACTGTGTGCTCGTTTGTGACCCATACGTTATTCCAATACAATCTATACAAATAAATAAAATTGAAGTGTCTGTTTGTAATCTCAAAATTACAGTTTTTTACTAAATGCATATGAAAGTAAATACGGTACTTATAACTAAAATACAATTTTTAAAATGTTTGTCTGTCTGTTTGTTCCGGGTAATCTCCGATACGGCTTGACCGATTTTGACGGGGCTTTCGCTGGCAGATAGCTGATTTCATAAGGAGTAACTTAGGCTACTTTTATTTTAGAAAAAGAATTAGGGTTCCGCGCAAAAACATAAAAACCCTAACACGCGAGTAAAGTCGCGCGGAACAGCTAGTTATTCCCTAAAAAATAAAAAATAATTTTGGCATGCATCGCTAAAAGGAAAAAAAACTCAGGTGCCAACCCACCTGCCAAGCGTGGCATCTATTACAAATATCCTCCTTATGAGGTAATCAATCTGTGGGGAGAGAAGAGTAAGAATGTTTATTGTCAATATTTTGAGTACTATCAGAAAGGTGGATTAATAAAACCACATAATGTGCTTTTGTACTTTTATTTGGTCGCTTAGCACTATGCTATGGAGCTCGGGGTGTCTGTGTGAACCAGAGAACCCGACATAGCCCAAGATATTAGTAAGCTGAAGTGGCAATGGTCTGGCCACATAACTCGAAGAACCGACAACCGATGGGGGAGAAATGTTCTCGAGTGGCAGCCCTGTTCCGGTAAACGAAATATAGTATGAGCCCGAACTAAAGTGACGTGACGATCTGGTATGAAGTCAACGGATGCAGGTGGTTGAGAACCGTGTTTTGGGGCATTCCTTGGGAGAGGCCTTTGTTCAGCAGTGGATTTGTGAAGGGCTTAATGATGATGGTGATGAATAAAAATTATATTTAACATGATATGTAACATGATATATAATGTAAACTCGCATTAAATTTGGTGACTTCTGTCCAAAGTCTTTGTATTGAACTCATGTAAGGAGGATAATAATCTTTCATTCACCAGATGTCGCTAGTAGGGACTGAGGTGAAGTTGTTTGTTACACAATGTCATGTTATTTAGGAGTTGCGTTTTAATTAAATCTTACCCGTTTTTGAAGTATCAGATACAAAACAATGCGTCAGTGGTTTTGTTCCTTAAGGTGAAAGCGCAAGGGTAACCCGCGAAATTCAAATTTTCTTACGTTTTTTGCAATTTGTAGGTCAGTGTCAGGTTGTATGTTTAACAAAATATGATTCGCGACCGTAACGATTATGTATTTACAGAATTATAATCATTATAATCATCAATACAACCCTCTAAGTTCGTATAATCCCATTGTATGGCTATTTCCAGAAAAACTCATTTAGGGTTATATTGGTGATTTTAATGATAATAATTCTGTAAACACATATTACTCGTTACGGTAAACATTCAACCTGACCCTGACCAGCAAATTGCAAAAAACGTAAGAAAATTTGAATTACGCGGGCCACCCTGGAGCTTTCACCTTAATGTTTTTCACCATCTTGTAATTCTTTTTTTAGGAATATTCGTCGTTTAATTTATTAATTTCAAATCTAATTAATATAAAATATAACTATAAAATAAATTATAAAAAGATACACTACATTTTTTTTATTTTAAATTATAAAAAGATACTACATTTACTTAACAAATTAACTTCCACGCCATATAATTTATCAAATACTAGCTACACTAATTTATAAATTACGATTGGATTTAATGGGCCTAATTTTTTTTTTTGCGCAGAACCTTATTTTTTTTTTCTAAATAAAAAGTAGTCCTTATAACATCAGCTATCTGTCAATGAAAGTCCGTCAAAATCGGTCCAGCCATTTCGGAGATTAGCCGAAACGAACAGACAGAAAGACAAAAATTTTAAAAGTTGTATTTTTGTTATAAAAAAAAAAAAACTTATTTTGACATTACAAACAGATATTTCAATTTTATTTAAATTGTATCACTGACCTCTATATATGGACTGGCTATACACCGTGACATAATGAGGCGATTTGATTTTCGCCATTTTGGCGCTGACAGTAGAAGTGAGCGTCCACGGAACTAATAATAGAGATAAGACCACAGACTAATATGATGCTTACGTATGAGACAGTGTGATGAAATATATCGACAAAAATTATATACCCAGACCTACATGGAACGTCCATTCCATTTATGTATCTTATTAATTCTCGTCTTAATAATTATCGTTTCATTTAGCTGTACTAACATGATGGAGCGTGAATAAAGTTAATAAAACGTTGTGAAAAGATGATTTTTTTTTCCTCGGGATTAAATTTATTTGTGACCCATGTTTTAAGGTGTAGTACCTACTATCATCTGTCTTCGTTTTCGGGAGCGTTTCACAAACACCCGGTATAAAAAAATAATGTTTGTTCGTATTTTATGAATTGCGGAAAAACATTGGCAACTTGCTTGCACTTGCGCGAAGGTTATAGGCATAGAACAATTAACTTACACTAGATGGCGCGCGTATCGTAGTGTCAATTTATTTGAAAGTTGTAAATCATTCATAGTGTTGCGCAAAATCGGTCTTGGTCTTGTTCTTCCATTTTTACAAGACCAAGACCAAGACCGCATAATTTTAGCGAGACCAAGACCAAGACTGGCCGTGCAAGATTTGAACAAAAACAAGACTAAGCCTGAGAGACTCTTGCGTCTTACAGTTAAGACAGTGTCGTTTCAAGGAGTACACGCAGGGACTCTATGAGACGCAAAAAATATATTAAAAAATACTTATGCACATTACGAACAATACCATAAAAATACATAGCAAATGAAAATATCCATTAAAAGAAAACAGAGTGCATCCCTAGTTTTGACCATCGGCACTTTGATTGTGCGCGGCGTCTTGTTGTCGGCATCATCAAAGGTCGGATACTGACCTGTCAAAGAAATTTTGCAGCTATTCAGAAGTGCAAGGTCAAGATACACGCGCCGGCGGCTTCTATTGATATCGCTTACAATCGTCGCCGCCGTGCCGCACGCACTTCATTTGACACTGTTTGATTGCCGCCACAGACTACATGTTCCAAAGAATAAAATAAATTTCCGGATGCTCAGAATGGACACGAATATATTATGTTAATCTTGCAAGAAATATTGTGATTAGATAATGGTAAGGATAGGTAGATATCATAATAATTTATTCTAGTAAGTAATTATTATAATATTAACTATATGGGGAAAGATGTTTTATAGGTCCAAATACCGTGCTAGCAGCACGGTATTTGGACCGCACCGTTCATACTGACGCCAGTCTTTGATTCATGTGTGGGTGAGTACCACGTGACGCGCATATCTTACGTACCATGGCTGCATTAATGTGCGTGACGTCGGTAATAACAGTGCAAGTCGATTGCCCAAAAAATGTGCGAGATTTTATATTTCATTCATATTGACGTACCTATTGATTCTACGAGTATAAAATGTGTGTGCGAGGCGTGTGCATTTGTGTGCGTGTGTGTATGAGGATATTATGGTTGGTTATGTGTGTTTTATGTAGGTACAAACATCACACTAAAATATTGAAGATATGTAATAAAACCTATAATTAATGTAACAGTTAAAAATAAATAAAAAAACAGTAGATATTTATGTATGTAACATATATTTATTATCTATTATTATTAAATATATACAGAGTACTACACTTTTGTACTGTAGAACACAAAATATTGCCGCTTTTTACGAAGACATTAATTATTTTTCAATCCTTAGTAAAATGACGAAAAAAAGTAAGTTTGGTTAAGCGTAAACTTCGGCCAAGAGATAGCAAATATTTTTTTTTTTTAAATTGCTCCGTTCCGTTGCTGCGTGTAGGAAGGACCAAAACAAATAAACAAAAAACCTCACTTTCACATCATAATATTATATTAGTATGGATTGTCAAGAATGATAGATAAACTTTTGAAACCGGTTTACAATCGAATTTTTGAGGGTGGAACTATACACTTGCGCTCTTTTTCGCTCTAGTAAATAACGGTTCTGAGTAACTAAAAAGGATAGAAGCACAGGAAAGTGCGATTCCGTGCTGCCAGATGTAGCTCAACCCTAAGCCTTAAAACGGTTTCACTCTATTAATTGGGTAAAATCTGTAAAATTAGACTATTTAAAACCCCTATACAGATAACCTTTCCAGTTGATCATGACATAAAAAAATGGTAAAAACATTTTATAGATTTGGCAACACTCTAATATTATTGCGCAGTATTATTACTTGTATTGACATTTAGCTTTCTTATTCTTTTACAAAGGAATACACCATAAAATTGTATAGTTACTTCTGAAAAGTGATGTTCTTATCTTTATCTTTTTTCCAAGAGTAATTTTTACACGATTTCACAGCACAAACAGTCATTTTCCGAAATTAAAAACACCGGTACGTGACGTATGTTCGCAGTGAACGTCGCTGGCGTAATGGCGGAACGATCGAACGAATACACCAGTATTGGCGCCTTTGAAATGGACGCGTTTTAAGCGCGCGTACACGGTATCTGGACCTATAAAACATCTTTGTATATGGGTGTATAATAAGCATTTGGGCAACAGCAACATCATTAAATTTCAATGATTTTATTATCATTACTAATTAAACAATATAACTTTTCCAAATTTAAAATGATATTTCCACAATTATTTCTTCTGCGGCAGCAATGCGCCGGGTACCATTTAGCAAGATATAAAAAAGACATAAACTTTAAATTTAATAGTTATTTACAAAATTTTCGAAATTCAAATTACAATATTAAAAAACTATAATTAAAAAAACTAAACACTGAAATTATCATACAGTCCTACTCCCCGCGATATAGTAACAAGAACGCTGCCAGCTTTTCCTCTCTGAATGGCTATTCTTAGCCTTTGAGCGAGAAAATAAGCAACCCTTTTATCACCAGCAGCGACGATCAGTCGCGGATAGTTTTTTTTAGGAATTTCACCGCACATGAACCCCACGGACCGATAGTCTCTACAGCAAATGGCACAAATATGTACTCATCTCACAGAGACTCATATTTGGGCTACTTAGTTCAGTGGCCACTGATGCCGCCCCTGCTTTAAACAAAAAGAACCCCTTTGTCGTATCTCATCAGTTTTAAGGCATTTCCCTTGCTGTCTCGGATAGCTAGCATCGGAATCCTCGGCGTTAACATATCGAATAATGTGCAGTTTCATGGTCACTTGGAAGGGAAGGCCAAATTGGCCTCTAAAAGGACCTATCTCTCTTATTTTAGACCTATTTCTGTACTACCAACACTTAGTAAGATTTTTGAAAAAATTGTTTTTGATCAAATGTTAAATTTTTTTAATATAAATAATTTACTTCATAAAAATCAATTTGGTTTCACAAGGGGTCGCTCGACAACTGATGCCGGTGTTAAGCTGATTAAATAATAGATAATAATAGTATCGACTGTGTTCACCATGAAACATTAATCAGGAAACTTCAACACTACGGTGTAAGAAGTGATGCTCTTAAATTAATTATTTCATATTTAAGTAAGAGAACGCAAAAAGTTGTCATTAACAATATGAGCTCTTCCGGATCGATGGTACAAATGGGCGATCCTCAAGGCTCAATTCTCGGCCCCTTTCTGTTTCTTGTATACATTAATGACTTACCTTACATAGTAGGGGATAACCATGATATAGTATTATTTGCAGATGACACTTCTTTAATTTTCAAATTAAGTCGACAATTACTAAAATATGACGAAGTAAATAATGCTATATCTAAATTAGTAAATTGGTTTAATGTTAATAATTTGCATTTAAATGGCACTAAAACTAAATGTATGAAATTCATGACTCCAAATGTCAAACAATTAAATACTAATGTAATTTTAAATGGAGAGAAACGGAGTCTTGTAGATACCACCATTTTTCTTGGAATCACACTAGACGCGAAGCTTCAATGGAGCCCCCATATATCAAAACTAGCGAGCAGATTTAGTATGCTGTAAAAAACATTAGAAGTCTAACCAGTGTTGAAACAGCTAGACTAGTTTACTTTAGCTATTTCGTATGGTATTTTGCTATGGGGACACGCAGCTGACACTGAAATTATATTTGTTTTACAGAAGAGGGCCATAAGAGCAATTTATGATTTAAAGCCTAAAGAGTCGCTGCGACAAAAATTTAAGGAAATTAATATATTAACTTTGGCCTCTCAATACATTTATGAAAATGTATAATGTACGTACACAAAAATAAAAGTAGTTTTACAAAAATAAGTGATATTCATTCTGTAAATACTAGGAACAGACACAAGCTAGTAGTACCAGTTACTCGACTCCATCGAGTCAGTAATTCATTCTTCAGGCGATGTATACGCTTTTACAACAAAATTCCAGAAAATATACAAAGTTTGACCTGCTCAAAGTTCAAAAACTTTATTAAACTAAGTTTGTATAAAAAGGGTTATTATAATATTAAGGAATTTATGGATGATAATAACCCCTCGAATGAGGTGATCGCTACCAAGCTATTTCTAATTTGTTGTGTTGTTAATTTGTGTAACATCATGATTGTAAGCTGTTATTTTTAAAAAAAATCCCGCTGGGTTTTTTTGCTGGTTCTTCCCAGGACAGAGGTTTTTTCCGAACCATTGGTAATCAAACAAAAGAGTGACTTTCAATAAGTATTATATATAATCTATATTGAATAAAAAAGTTTCTGTTTCTTAAAAAGCTTAGCGTGCTCAGCAGAGCGAGACAGTATTTCATGCCGGCATATCGCTTGCAACTTTAAAAAGCGCAAGTTCGGCCTCACATGGAATACTGTTCTTATCTCTGGGCCGGGCCACCCCAATGCTAGCTCCTTCCACTTGACTGCATCCAGCGCAAAGCCGTTCGAATCATCGACGACCGAGTTCTTTCTCATCGGCTCGATACACTGACGCTGCGTAGGGATGTTGCATCCCTTTGCATTTTCCATCGAATCTATCACGGGGAGTGCTCTGAGGAATTGTTCAGATTTATTCCAGCCGCCAAATTTCATGAACGCACATCGCGTCAATACTCACGATACCATCCTCACCATCGGGATGCTTGGCGGTCTACGACTGTGCGTTTTACTAGGAGTTTTTTCCTCGTACAACTTCTCTGTAGAATTGTTTACCACCGACGATATTTCCGGACCGATACGATTTAGGGACCTTTAAAAAAGAGCTTACACCTTTCTAGAAGGCCGGCAACGCACCTGAAATTTCCCTGGTGTTGCGGTTGTTCATGGGCGGCGGTAGTCACTTATCATCAGATGAGCTGCATGCTCGTTTGCCCTATCTTTTATAAAAAAAAACGAGGTACCATTGAGATGAGAGGCTGTCAAAGTGTTTTCGCAAGTAGTATCACACACTTAAGCTTTATCTCTCTTTTAAACATCTAAAGTCATACTGTCGGGTCGGGTGTCGGTATAGCTATTCCAGTGTACTTGTATTTAAAGAGGTCAGTGATTTGTATAGATCTCAATTAAGTGTCACCGCCCTGGTGGAACAAAAGTTGTGGATCATTAAAGGAGTCCTACGCCTATCGCGTGCTAAAATGATAGATTGAAATGTGGCGTGTGTTTACACGAGCAGCGGGGAGGAGTCCGGTGGCGCGGGCTCGGTGCGCGTGCGGCGCGTGGCGAGCGCGCAGTGCGGCCAGTGGGCGCTGCGCCACCTCGTGCGGCCCGCGCCCGCGCCCGCCGCCAGCTGCGGCGCGGCGCCGCTGTGCGTGCGCGGTGCGGGGGGCGCGGGCGCGGCGCCCGCCGCCTGCTACTGCGCCGGCGCGCTGCTGCTGCGCGCCGACACGGCGCTCGGCGTGCAGGTAAACATGCCCGTTTAAAAGATAACCGTCCACGAAGCAAATACATAGAGGAGATGGCATAACCAACTGTGCACTGTGATTCTAACTAGGTCCTGACGTCATCACAGTGAGCGTGGCTTTACTGTCAGCGTTCGTCCTGTGCGCTTATGTGTCGAAAATCACAGATCAATGTATTTTCGTAGTATTAAAAAGAAAAGAACGAAGTGTTTCATCGTGTAAAAAATACTCAGACACTCTGAACTCTGATGCTATGGATAGCATCACATTTCATTTGAAATTTGAAATTTTATACCTAATTTATGAAAAAGGTTTTAGAAAAATCTCTGCGTCTGCTTTCAAACGTAATTAAATATATTCGACACTAGATGGCAACACTTTGTACCATGGGAACTAAAAAGATAAAAATACGCAGAGCTCAGTATTGGTAAAATAATCATACGAAAGTGTTGATATTTGTTTTGCATTCAGTCCTAAAGAACTTTTAATCGCCAAAATATTATTTTTCTAGTTTTCATAATCATTTTGTAAATAGGCCGCCATCTATCGTCAAGGTAGCTAAACTACATTGCAACATCGATATGGAACGATGCAAGTAGTTTTACTATTTCACTATATCAAAAATAGTAATGTGGGCAGGGCTTAACATCCCCTCACCCCGTAAATTGTCACGCGTTGTTACATAGTAAAATCTAATTACAACACCTCTTCTTTGTATTTGCTCCGTGTAACCATCTAATGTTACACCACTTTTCAATGTTAGCAATTAAACTCATAAAATTTAAAAAGCAATTGACATTAATTGCTTATTCCTGAATTTAAACAGACTCCCTGCAGAACTTTTGAAACATCTTTGAAGAATTTTTGAAACATCGCCCCATCTATACAAATATAATATTTCAATATATACAGACAGTCTTAAACCTGTGTTAAGTACGAAAGATGGTTCCTTGAATTCATCATACAGGGTTATTTTTCAGAGTAGCCAAATTTTAAACTTAAGGTCAAATATGTAAGGAATCTATCAAACAGAACGGGTTCAAGCGTTCCGCGTTCATATTCTGCATTTGTTGTGTTGTAACATTACATAGACATTCTGACCGCGTCGGTCAACCAGAATGCATGCCTTCGCGCGTTCACTGCTAATGGAACCCTAAATAATGATATACCGTTAATGCAGTTTTTGAAAATACGGGTAAATAAGGCTCCTACTATTATTTGAAATTATCCCAAATTGAATGTGATTTACGTTTTTTCCTACCCATCGACCCTTACAAATGTGTGCGTAAAGTAAAATCAGTTAAAATAGGTGGAGTAAAATCAGTAAAAGGACAGAATGTGTGAGATTTTTTAATTAAATTTTCTTCACCATTTGCCTATATTACTTATCTAAACCTTCTCTGCAAACTGACCCTGTATAGTAAAGTAAACTAACAACAGAAAACATTTTTAAATGCAGTTAATACAAGTCATTAAACTAACAGCAAATAATGTTTTTGTTAAGGTAATTTTCTACAACAAGTTACGTTTAACAATAAAACGAAACAAAAGCATATAAGCAAATAAGCAGTTATGATAAGTTGCTTACAAAAAAAATAACCACATAAGTTTGTTGCCCATTTTAAACCATTATTCACATCCCTTTGTGCAGGCGGGCCCCTGCGTCGGTTGCGAGCCCGCGCTCTACGTCAATCTCGCTCACCTCGCCGACTGGATACACGCACTGATTGCCGACGCTCAATAAATTATTCGCACTAAATCACGCTGTTTTATTTGTTGCTCGTTGTTTTGTATTTTAGTATGACTGATGGGATCAATCATTGCCGCCCGAGACACGAGCACACCGAAGAAGATACAGTTTACTTTAAATTCTTATAAACAGAAAAAAACCGAACCCTTATAGGGCCACTTAATTTTCCGTCCATCCGACCTGCTTGTCTGTCAAGACCACAGATTTAGTATAAACTGACGTTAGAATATAATGTACATATCTATGATCAATACCCTTTTTCTCAGGAACGCGTGAAGGTATTGAAATTAATATGTCTGCGTTTCTTTAGAACTCTAAAAAACCAAGCTTCTATATCGACGCAATAGAAAGGAACTGCAATTTATGCAACATATTTTGATACTCTAAAATAAATCGGTCCCGTTGACCTAAATTATAAACTTATATTTGTACTTGGAGAATTGGCCGTGAAGTACATATGGATGTATAGGAGAACATTTTTTTAACTACTGAGTTAAGTTTGTTCGTCGATCCTACTAATCTTTTCGTCGGAGCAATGTTCGTTTCTTTCATAGTGTATGAACTTCGGTAGGTAATACTAATTATTTTAGTGAAAGTAGGTGTACTATAACGCCGAAGACGGAGCACACCGATCCTGTAAATGCAAGCTATTCATGCCTTAAAGATACCAATGTTGTATATTAACTTCAGGTCTATCTACATAGACTTTGTACGGAACTGCACTAGAACTTCCTATTAGTTTGTGTACGGAACAATCGGTGCGCAACGCGAGTCAGACTCAAGTGCGAGTCTGTGATTCCTGTTTTTTTTTTAAATTTAAAAGCACAGCTTATTTATCCTTAGTAAAATTACGTACCTAATTTTACAAAGTTTAAATAAAAGATAATAAAAGTTAGAAAAAATTAGCAGTGTGAAGTAAAAAGTCTTCAGAACGCGCGTTTAACAAAACTGCGTTATTTTCATACACTCCTGTTCGCGACAGTTTCTCGTACTGACTCACGCGCGATTAGCCTTTACCGCGACACTCTTTCCTCTCTGAATAAAAATACAAGAGTACTAGCGCGAGAAAGGGAGTCAACGCACATAAAAATGGATAAAAACAATACCCGCCTTTACACTTCCTTCCAAAGGTTTCCTGCGTTCAATCGCGAACACTCCAATCGCGAGTGAAAGAACGTGTGTAAAGGCGACTATAGACTATAAAAGAAATCTCTTTTTATTAGACATTAAATTAATTTTATTTGTCTTAATTTGACGCATTATATTTGACACGGTGTCATGCAACAATTTAAGTTTAAACCTCATTTAACTTGATTTGAGCGACAAAAAAACCGATTTTGTAACATGAACAAGGCCCTATTAGCGTGGTCTATAATGATGGCTTTATTCACAGTGAGCACTATAACTATATCCGTGATGCAGTTCATGGCGGCCGCTACAGCCTCCGACAAGACCCTGGACTATATAGATGGAATATAAATGTTCTTCTGTTTTAAACATTTATCGATTTTGTGTAAGAATATTGTATATCAAAGGAATACATAAGACGTTTATTTTTTATGTTGTTTTAATAATCACCAATTTAATTCGCTATCATACTACTATTTCAACCTTCTTCTGTGTATTGTGTTCTCTGAATGTGTGGCTACAGGAGTAGTGCATTATCTTACGCCACAACTGTAATCGCGAGACAAGTGTAGTCTACGTTTACGATACCTTAAAATTTAAGGAAATATAACTTTGGCCTCTCAATACATTTATGAAAATGTAATTAATGTTGAACATTCATTGTGTAAATACTAGGAACAGACACAAGCTAGTAGTACCAGTTACTCGACTCCACCGAGTCAATAATTCATTCTTGGGGCGATGATTACAATTATTGCAACAAAATTCCAGAAAATATACAAAATTTGATCTGCTCAAAATTCAAAAACTTTATTAAACTAAGTTTGTATAAAAAGGGTTATTATAATATTAAATAATTTATGGATGACAATAACCCCTGGAAATGAGGTGATCGCTACCAAGCTATTTCAAATTTGTTGTGTTGTTAATTTGTGTAACATCATGATTGTAAGCTGTTATTTAGAAAAAAAGTCCCGCTGGGTTTCTTGCTAGTTCTTCCCAGGACAGAGGTTTTTTTTTTCGAACCAGTGGTAATTAAACAAAAGAGTGACTTTCAATAGGTATTATTTTAATCTATATTGAATAAAAAAAGTTTCTGTTTCTATTAGTGTACATACAAGTAAATACATCTTCTCGTCAACAAAAAGTGATCGTTCGAAAAACACTATATAATCCCGTGGGTGTCGTAAGAGGCAACAGTAAAATTTTCATTTATCATAATCCCAATGTGAGACAAAATTATTTTTAATTTGAAATGGAGCCTGTGTCCAAAAATAACAGTGTTTTTCAGTTCTGTATTTTAGTTGTATTTTTCAACCGTGGAATTAGCTGTGGTAGTAGGTTACCTATTCTGTCGCCAGAGCTTGCATTGAGTTCCGGTCGAAAGAGAATCAATCAGTCATCAATCTTGGTCTTCGGAGGTAACGTAGGAGGTACCACCCCTTTTATGCTGTTAAAGAGCTTGCACCGAGTCGTCACCGAGCGATACCCGTTATAATGTATGAGTGTGAAATTGTTAGTATATTATTTGTGTGTGCAGATTTCCCCTCGCAAAAATGACAGACAGTTTTGTATCGATAAAAAACTTAATGGCTACTCTCCTGCAGTCAGCAGGTGGCAGAGTTGCTCGGTGATTATAAAATACGAGGTAGGTCGCAATTGAAACAAGAGTAAGCATTAACGTAAACAATTTATTTAAATATTCCTCACAATATTGATTCACCATTATAATACATTGGGAATACATCACGCGCGACCCGAGCGTGCTCGCTAATATACAGATACGGCGTACCGTCCGTCCGTACGTCCCGCCGCTTAACTTTTATAAGGCATTTCAATTTTTTATACAACGTTTAACAATCCCGGCTTGATACAAAACGAACTCTTCTGTACAGTCTTAATCCTACAAACGACTGCGGAGTCAAGAAAAATGAAGCCGTAGAATGATTTTACAATGATATAACTAGTTAAAGTTAACTGTATAGTAAGGCATACGATAATTTTATTGCACTATTTAAAATTTTAGACGTTTTTCTAGTTGATTTTAAAATTAGAAGTAGTTACGCATAAGAGTCGAACACACAAAGCCACTTTTGAGACTGACTTTTCAACTTTGGAAAGGTATTCAGTGAAAAATTGGGTTGCCTGGATTTTGTTTGCAATTTTGTTCTCTATCGACAACGACCTTTGCTGGTACTGTTTTTAATGTATAAAAGTACAGATTAAACATTACAGTGGCAAATATGTTATTAATTTTTGAACCGAGCGTGGGTTTTGACGACTATGCGTAACTGCATCCAATTCAGAATAGGGAGAAATTTAATCATGTCAACCGTCCTTTTACAGTAGCTGTAAGTGTAAGGACAAAACTATTTTCATCTAATTTATTATCATTTCACTTTAAAAATTAAAATAACATAAGAAAAATCACTCTTTCAAATAATGGAAATATCTGTAACAGATAACAGCGAGTTTAACGCAAAATAATTCCGAAAATATTCATCTAATCCGAGCTAAATTCACTTAACAATAAAGAATATAATAAAGTTATTAAATTAAGAAATAAAATAATACAAATTTTAAAGATGAATCTATACTTTGTATCACGTTTTATTTTTTCACATAATATATAATAAAATATTTAACATCACGAAATAATATATGTTATACAACATGTAACAAAAACTACGTCGTTTCCGTTGAGTGCGCTATCAGAATCAGTATTCAAATGTAAAAAAATAACTTTACTTCAGAAACTTCGAACAACAAAAATATTCAATAAAATCTCTCTGCCTCCGCATTGGCCGAAGAGTAAGAGTATTGATATAGACTCCCTTTTCCGAATCACGTGTCAGAAGTGATAATGGTTTTATTATTATACATACAATTTGAAAATAAAAATTCATTTAAATATACTTTATATTCTTTTTTATGTCGAGTTTTCTGAAGTAAAGTTATTTCTACACGTTTGAATTCTGATCCTGATAACACAATTAACGGGAATCAAAGGATTTCTGTTACATGTTCTATAAAACATACGTAGTGTCAGCCGTTACCCATTTTATTTATTACCATGATACAGATACTTAAGACTCACCTGATACCAAATTAAATAAAAATCAAACACGGAATAAGTTGTTTGTGGAATTTTCTCACCCGAAATGTATTACAGTATAAATAGTATCCAACCGTGATATTAAAAGTCACTTTGGTTGGGAATAAATTCCATTATTTACAAAATAATCCATTTTAGAATAAGAATTCAAAAATAAATAACAATTATACATTTAATTTTATAAACATGTCGAGAAAATAATATTGAATGTAGGAATAATAATCAAAATAAATCTAAGGACGTGAGCAAACGTTTGTGAACAGGACACGCAAGCGGTCTGCATGAAGTTGTCGTCACTGAATCACAACTAATTTTTACCCTAGCTGCTAAGTTTCATTATGATTTATCACTCGATGATAAGGTCGTATCTAAAAATTAAAAATATCGGCACTTACGACTTTATTGCAATACATTTCCGTATTGCCAATTATAATGTACACTTGAGAAATTTCTTTTAAAATTCTTGGCTTACCTGTATTGCTATTCGATTGGCGGCATTTAATTATTTTAACAGTCATTATTTACAACTGAATGTGAATTGGAAAATTAACTTATTGTCTGAATTTAATTCAATAGTAATAAAAATATTATTGGAAGAGAAAAAAGATGTAAAGAGACTTAGACCCCCTTACAGAACTGGTCATTAGAGACTTGAGAATAGAATTATCTACTGAAGAAAGAAAGAAATATGTTTATGTCTTTTCAAAGTAAGAGCAGTTAAGAAAATAAACGCAACAATATTTCATGATAGTAATTTATAAAACCAGTCTTCACGCACAACGGTGTAAAGAACAATGGCCACTCTCCTATTATGCTAGGACTCGTAAAATTGTAACTTGATTAAACTATGGACTTATACAAAGTACGACATTCAGTATATTTTTAAAAGTAAGGACAATCTAGTAAGTATGCAATATGTTTTTTGAGGTTATAATCTGTAGTATTTTAAAATAAAGATTTTTCTTAGTAGGACAAATTAGTATAAACTTATGTTAATTATTGAATTAACATAAGTTTATACTAATGTGCCCAAGGTTTATCCGTTTGCCATTGTCTAGAATTTAATTTCGATTCAGAAACAAAACGATTTATACTTTAGAAGTATGCATGATTTTATCACAAAGTACTTTTTATGAGATTATATACTCTTTGGTACTTATGGGCTTCTCTAGTAAAATGTAGTTATATACTCTTTGATATTTGTTTAATAACGTAAATAATAACGGATAGGTACAATAATATAATTAATACTGCGTTCTGATAAGCAAAGTTATATTTTTTAAAGACGATTATTTATATTTTCCACGACTTTAAAAATTAACCGAAAATATCCATTCAATAAATTGACAATGTTCTACATTTTGGTAACAATCTCATGTCGGTAAAGAATTAATGTTTTTTCTTAGTTCAAAATGGCCATTGTTCTTTAACATTTGTAATTCTAAGGCATTAATTATAATCTACAGCTATATGCCACTGCGGTATTGGTCATCGTCGCCGGTCGTCATTTGTGTTGGATCGTAGAAGCCGCTCTGAAATAAAAAAAAAACAAGTCATCAATATTTATATTCCTGTGGATATTCAACAAGCAATGTGCAGAGTTGGAATTTTTCGACGCGAGTTACTCGAGTTGGTATTGGTACTAACTGGAGTCGCAACTCTAGTTGAGTCGACTCGGTGCCTATAGCGTAACGCACTATCTAGCGGTAATAATTAGACGGCTCCGTACCGCAATGGCTTAGCAGTGTTATTTATTGTAAAATGTAGTGATGTAAAATATTGTAACAACAAATAAATAAAGTATGAAACATGTTTAATAGAAATTTCAAACCAAATTAGAATTTAAAGAACAATAATAAAAAAATCACTACATCATATTAAACAATAAAAACAATGTGACAACCATACTGTAGTTGGTTACAGCACCACGCTCTCACAAAATACCAGCGTGAAATGGGTTTCGCTTGATGAGTGCGGAGACCCCGAGACCCCATTTACTGGAAACGACAAACGAGGCATTTCGTCTTAGTCCTCAGAGGTGACAACGCTTCTGCATTTTGATTTTTGATCGAGAGCTGATGTAGATGTTTATGGACCAGAATTCGCTCACCATCAAGTGGGCATTGTGCTCGTTTGCCACCCTTGTTTTACAAATCATTTAATGAATTTTCATTTTATTAATATTAAAATATCATTATTAAATAGTTTAATTATAATTAAGAATGTATTATAAAGCATATTACCTGTTAGTGGCCGTTTGGTATATTGTCAACATCCTGAGTGCGTGTGACAAAGTAGATGTATGAGAAAAATTATAATGAAATGCATGTGTTTAGTTGTGATAATTCGGAGATTGAATAAATACCTCAGGGTTGGATGGGATCGGGGATGGGAGTGGGGAATCCAGTAATAATTCCGGTATGCTCACTTCCAAAGCCTGTTAAAGTTATAAGATATACATATATAAAGTTGTAGTACAAAATTTACAATTAGGTATTTTTATAATTCTGCATTTAACATTATATTTTTATTATCTAAGTAAAGTATATAATAAGAATATAGTGTTATATAGTGTACAGCCTATATACGTCCCACTTCTAAGTACAGACATTCTTTCATTACTGGAGAATAGATCATAGTGTTTAGGGTAAGGAAGTGGACGATAAATTGATGGGGGGCGGTGTCCCTTCTGTACTTAGTAATAATATATATCGTTTGGTTTAGTAGTGATACAGCTAGGCTTAAGAAAGGAAAGGGAGTTAGTTCACCTGTGTGGGTGCGGGCACGAAGTAGTTGGGCGCCTCGCTAGGGGCGGGCGGGAGGGAGGCGCCCAGCAGCTCGGCGGCGGGCGGCAGCGGCCTGGTCGCCGCCCCGCTCGGGTTGAACACGTCCACGTACGACTTCTTGATGTCTGAAAGTGCACCCACATTTCTTCTTTATAATATCGTAATATACTATGTACTATAACAGATTTTTAGAGAAGTGTAGTGGCTGTATGAAAATATACATTACCACCTATCGTCCCGTGGTTTTTTTAAAAATAGAATAAGGATGACAAACGAGCACACCGTCCACCTGATGGTAAATGAATGCCATGGCTCATAGACATATCATTAATAATCAATAAATCATCAAAATACAAATGCGTTCTCACCCCTGAGGACTAAGATGGAATGCCTCGTTTCCAGTAAAACGGGTCTCCGATTCTCTATAGTCACCATACGAAACACAGCAGCGTTATGTTAATATTTCACGCTGGTATTCTGTTAAAGCATGGTCCTATCCAAGTGGAGCCAACACATTAGTATTGTATACGGGTGTTGTAAGAGGTGACAGAGGGAAATTGAAATAAGAGATAGTCAGCACTTCTTTTTATAACGTAGTACTGTCGGTTCTGTAATAGCCGTATAAGAATATTTACAATAACAACTCAAAATCATAAAAAAACTACGGTTGCCAATCTGGCTGCTAAACGTGGCATCTATGCATAAACCCCGGCATGAAGATATCTATGCGCGTGGTTTATGTTCAGCTGTGGACTTTTAATGACTATAATATATAGATGGATCGTCGTTCGTCACTGTTCATGTTATTACCCATAATGATCAAAATTAAATTTTTTATATAAAGTTATTGTCTTAGCACCGACTTCTGAAGCGTTTACGTAGAAATTATTTCATTATATTTAGTTTTTAGAATTCTACTTATATATTTTAGAAAGTTTAATTTTTTTTAACTCTTAAAAGTGTACTAAGGTATATCACAAACAAACTCAAGGTATAAACTAAAATGTCTTCTAAATAGTTGCATTAAAAACTTTTTTTTCTATTTTTCCATGCTTAGGGGGAATTGCCTCCAAATTTATATGTGACCATCTCTGAAGTATAAACTATAGAATAAAAAAGAATTATCAAAATCTTATTACGCAGTGTAATATTTATTTATTATAAATAATAAGGGATCTAATATTGATCCTTGAAGAACGTCACGTCGAACAGTAATAGTATCAGATTATAACTGTGTACCTTTTGAGCTCAATTAGTAATTTATGACACCAACCCTCTCAATAAGGCCCGCCACATACAAATGAAATTCCGTTTCTGGATTCCGTTTCGGAATTCAGAACGGGTCGGCCACACACATTCGGAATTCCGTTTCTTCCGCAAAATTTCGAACGGAAAACTACCGTACGTGTTTGGGAATCCCGAATTCCGATTCGGGATTCCGAAACACGTACAAACTAGCGACGTCTGGTCAACGTAAGATTAGCCGTCATTGGCTATGGAACTGTCACTGTATAAAATCACAATTAAAAATAATAACATAAGAACTCACGTCTTCCTTTCTGCATCTTGAAGATGTTAGAGACGGGCGGTGGGGCGCCGGCGGTCGAGCTCCTGTACACAATAATTTAAACTTTACACGTGTCAATCCTTCAAATGTAAAACATATTTTATAAATGTGTGTTAAATGTTACTGTGTATTGCATTGCCCAAACTTGCAATCCATACAAATAAGTAAAATTGAAGTGTCTTATAAACTTATAACAATTCTCTGCCTTTCTGTCTGTTTATTCTGGCTAATCTTAGAAACTGCTGGATCGATTTTGACGGGATTTTCACTGTTATATAACTGACGTTATAAGGAGTAACTTAGGCTAATTTTATTTTAGAAAATAATTAGGGTTCCGTGCAAAAAAATTAAAAGCCATGAAATCCAATCGTAAAAAAATCCACGCAAACAAAGTCGCGGGGAATAGCTAGTGAATAATAAATATATTTAGTTATAAGTTAAAGTTACAGTTATAAGTTACATATTGTGTTTAGTACAAGGATGTGTTGTCCGCTGTATTGGGGAATGCTTGTTGGCGTATTCCACATGTCTGCGTATATACATATATTTTTTAATTTCTCAGACATGCAGGTGTCCGTTTGATGTGTTTCTACACTGCCGAGTAGTATAAATCAGCACTTAAAATTTACAACAAGTTCATTGGTGTCGGCGGGTATTGAAGCTGGGTTACTCGCATACTGTGGAAATTTAAAACCAGAGCTTAGCCCCTGAACTACTTGAGCTTTTTTAGTTGCAATTTGTTGCAAATCAACTTTATTTGTAAGGTTTTAGGGTTGCCAGAAGGTTGGTTGGTTTAACAAAAGCCTATATGAAGGTACTCCCATTTAGAAATATTTTTATGATAGATATTTATATTTTAAATCTTAAGTTTCTTAAAATAACAAATTGCTTATTAATCAATAGAAAAATTAATAGGTAAAGTTATTTAGGAATTTCTATATGATTAAAGATATTCGTGCGAGTAGTTTTATCTGGTTTGATGTATCGCAATGAAAGGTCACGTTGTATTGTGTCATTTTTAAGAGTGTGCGCACAGATCCGGATTAACCTAACCATATTGGGTCTAATTTAGGAAATTTGAAAAGTGAAAATGTCCGCAATTTTTTTACTAATATTCCTTTTAACCACTCCCGGTAAGCTTAAATGCTAGTGTTAAAAGTAGTTAACAACAATAGTCGAATGGCAGGATTCGAACCCATGATCATTTGAGATCGCGATTCGCATCCTGCCATTAGGCTGCTGTCGCTTTCTTTTGCATTACACCCTGGCCTCGACATAGATCAATCCGACTGTGTGTGTGTGTGTGTGTGTGTGTGTGTGTGTGTGTGTGTGTGTGTGTGTGTGTGTGTGTGTGTGTGTGGTAGGTAGGTAGGTATTATTTATAATCTATATTGAATAAAAAAGTTTCTGTTTTTATTAGTGTACATACAAGTAAATACATCATCTCGTCAACAAAAAGTGATCGTTCGAAAACCACTATATAATCCCGTGGGTGTCGTAAGAGGCAACAGTAAAATTTTCATTTATCATAAGCCCAATGTGAGACAAAATTATTTTTAATTTGAAATGGAGCCTGTGTCCAAAAATAACCGTGTTTTTCAGTTCTGTATTTTAGTTGTATTTTTCAACAGTGGAATTAGCTGTGATAGTAGGTTACCTATTCTGTCGCCAGAGCTTGCTTTGAGTTCCGGTCGAAGAAGAATCAATTAATCATCAATCTTGGTCTTCGGAGGTTACCTCCGAAGACCAAGATACCAAGAGACCAAGTAGTAGGTACCACCCCTTTTATGCTGTTAAAGAGCTTGCACTGAGTCGTTGTCACCGAGCGATACCTGTTATAATGTATGTGTGTGAAATCGTTAGTATAATATTTGTGTGCGCAGATTTTCCCTCGCAAAAATGACAGACATTTTTATATCGGTAAAAAACTTAATGGCTACTCTCCTGCAGTCAGCAGGTGGCAGAGTTGCTCGGTGATTATAAAATACGAGGTAGGTCGCAATTGAAACAAGAGTAAGCATTAACGTAAACAATTTATTTAAATATTCCTCACAATATTGATTCACCATTATAATACATTGGGAATACATCACGCGCGACCCGAGCGTGCTCGCTAATATACAGATACGGCGTACCGTCCGTCCGTCCATCCGTCCGTACGTACGTCCCGCCGCTTAACTTTTATAAGGCATTTCAATTTTTTATACAACGTTTAACAATCCCGGCTCGATACAAAACGAACTCTTCTGTACAGTCTTAATCCTACAAACGACTGCGGAGTCAAGAAAAATGAAGCCGTAGAATGATTTTACAATGATATAACTAGTTAAAGTTAACTGTATAGTAAGGCATATGATAATTTTATTGCACTATTTAAAATTTAAGACGTTTTTCTAGTTGATTTTAAAATTAGAAGTAGTTACGCATAAGAGTCGAACACACAAAGCCACTTTTGAGACTGACTTTTCAACTTTGGAAAGGTATTCAGTGAAAAATTGGGTTGCCTGGATTTTGTTTGCAATTTTGTTCTCTATCGACAACGACCTTTGCTGGTACTGTTTTTAATGTATAAAAGTACAGATTAAACATTACAGTGGCAAATATGTTATTAATTTTTGAACCGAGCGTGGGTTTTGACGACTATGCGTAACTGCATCCAACTCAGAATAGAGAGAAATTTAATCATGTCAACCGTCCTTTTACAGTAGCTGTAAGTGTAAGGACAAAACTATTTTCATCTAATTTATTATCATTTCACTTTAAAAATTAAAATAACATAAGAAAAATCACTCTTTCAAATAATGGAAATATCTGTAACAGATAACAGCGAGTTTAACGCAAAATAATTCCGAAAATATTCATCTAATCCGAGCTAAATTCACTTAACAATAAAGAATATAATAAAGTTAAATTAATAAATAAAATAATACAAATTTTAAAGGTGAATCAATACTTTGTATCACGTTGTTTTTTTTCACATAATATATAATAAAATATTTAACATCATGAAGTAATTTATGTTATACAACATGTAACAAAAACTACGTCGTTTTCGTTAAGTACGCTATCAGAATCAGTATTCAAACGTATAGAAATAACTTTACTTCAGAAAACTCGAGCAAAAAAATATTAAAATCTCTCAGCCAATCTATTAGCCGTAAAGTAAAAGTATTGATATAGACTCCCTTTTCCGAATCACGTGTCAGAAGTAATAAAACCAGATACAATTTGAAAATAAAAATTCATGGACATCACTTTATATTATTTTTTTATGTTGAGTTTTCTGAAGTAAAGTTATTTCTACACGTTTGAATTCTGATCCTGATAACACACTTAACGGGTATCAAAGGATTTCTGTTACATGTTCTATAAAACATACGTAGTGTAAGCCGTTACCCATTTTATTTATTGCCATGATACACTCTTAAGACTCACCTGATACCAAATTAAATAAAAATCAAACACGGAATAAGTTGTTTGTGGAATTTTCTCATCCGAAATGTATTACAGTATAAATAGTATCCAACCTTGATATTATAAGTCACTTTGGTTGGGAATAAATTCCATATTATTTACAAAATAATCCATTTTAGAATAAGAATTCAAAAATAAATAACAATTATACATTTAATTTTATAAACATGTCGAAAAAATAATATTGAATGTAGGAATAATAATGAAAATAAATCTAAGGACGTGAGCAAACGTTTGTGAACAGGACACGCAAGCGGTCTGCATGAAGTTGTCGTCACTGAATCACAACTAATTTTTACCCTAGCTGCTAAGTTTCATTATGATTTATCACTCGATGATAAGGTCGTATCTAAAAATTAAAAATATCGGCACTTACGACTTTATTTCAATACATTTCCGTATTGCCAATTACAATGTACACTTGAGAATTTTCTTTTAAAATTCTTGGCTTACCTGTATTGCTATTCGATTGGCGGCATTTAATTATTTTTAACAGTCATTATTTACAACTGAATGTGAATTGGAAAATTAACTTATTGTCTGAATTTAATTCAATAGTAATAAAAATATTATTGGAAGAGAAAAAAGATGTTAAGAGACTTAGACCCCCTCACAGAACTGGTCGTTAGAGACTTGAGAATAGAATTATCTACTGAAGAAAGAAAGAAATATGTTTATGTCTTTTCAAAGTAAGAGCAGTTAAGAAAATAAACGCAACAATATTTCATAATAGTAATTTATAAAACTAGTCTTCACGCACAACGGTGTAAAGAACAATGGCCACTCTCCTATTATGCTAGGACTCGTAAAATTGTAACTTGATTAAACTTAAGTCATTTCATTTGTCTATTTAAATATAACAAAGTACGACATTCAGTATATTTTTAAAAGTAAGGAGATTCTAGTAAGTATGCAATATGTTTTTTGAGGTTATAATCTGTAGCATTTTAAAATAAAGATATTTCTTAGTAGGGCAAATTAGTATAAACTTATGTTAATTATTGAATTAACATAAGTTTATACTAATGTGCCCAAGGTTTATGCGTTTGCCATTGTCTAGAATTTAATTTTGACTCAGAAACAAAACGATTTATACTTTAGAAGTATGCATGATTTTATCAGAGTACTTTTTATGAGATTACTCTTTGGTACTTATAAATGGGCTTCTCTAGTAAAATGTAGTTATATACTCTTTGATCTTTGTTTAATAACGTAAATAATAACGGATAGGTACAATAATATATTTAATACTGCGTTCTGATAAGCAAAGTTATATTTTTTAAAGACGATTATTTAAAAATTAACTGAAAATATCCATTCATTAAATTGACAATGTTCTACATTTTGGTAACAATCTCATGTCGGTAAAGAATTAATGTTTTTTCTTAGTTCAAAATGGCCATTGTTCTTTAACATTTGTAATTCTAAGGCATTAATTATAATCTACAGCTATATGCCACTGCGGTATTGGTCATCGTCGCCGGTCGTCATTTGTGTTGGATCGTAGAAGCCGCTCTGAAATAAAAAAAAACACAAGTCATCAATATTTATATTCCTGTGGATAATCAATAAGCAATGTGCAGAGTTGGAATTTTTCGACGCGAGTTACTCGAGTTGGTATTGGTACTAACTGGAGTCGCAACTCTAGTTGAGTCGACTCGGTGCCTATAGCGTAACGCACTATCTAGCGGTAATAATTAGACGGCTCCGTACCGCAATGGCTTAGCAGTGTTATTTATTGTAAAATGTAGTGATGTAAAATATTGTAACAACAAATAAATAAAGTATGAAACATGTTTAATAGAAATTTCAAACCAAATTAGAATTTAAAGAACAATAATAAAAAAATCATTACATCATATTAAACAATGTGACGACCATACTGTAGTTGGTTACAGCACCACGTTCTCACAAAATACCAGCGTGAAATGGGTTTCGCTTGATGAGTGCAGAGACCCCGAGACCCTATTTACTGGAAACGACAAACGAGGCATTTCGTCTTAGTCCTCAGAGGTGACAACGCTTCTGCATTTTGATTTTTGATCGAGAGCTGATGTAGATGTTTATGGACCAGAATTCGCTCACCATCAAGTGGGCATTGTGCTCGTTTGCCACCCTTGTTTTACAAATCATTTAATGAATTTTCATTTTATTAATATTAAAATATCATTATTAAATAGTTTAATTATAATTAAGAATGTATTATAAAGCATATTACCTGTTAGTGGCCGTTTGGTATATTGTCAACATCCTGAGTGCGTGTGACAAAGTAGATGTATGAGAAAAATTATAATGAAATGCATGTGTTTAGTTGTGATAATTCGGAGATTGAATAAATACCTCAGGGTTGGATGGGATCGGGGATGGGAGTGGGGAATCCAGTAATAATTCCGGTATGCTCACTTCCAAAGCCTGTTAAAGTTATAAGATATACATATATAAAGTTGTAGTACAAAATTTACAATTAGGTATTTTTATAATTCTGCATTTAACATTATATTTTTATTATCTAAGTAAAGTATATAATAAGAATATAGTGTTATATAGTGTACAGCCTATATACGTCCCACTTCTAAGTACAGACATTCTTTCATTACTGGAGAATAGATCATAGTGTTTAGGGTAAGGAAGTGGACGATAAATTGATGGGGGGCGGTGTCCCTTCTGTACTTAGTAATAATATATATCGTTTGGTTTAGTAGTGATACAGCTAGGCTTAAGAAAGGAAAGGGAGTTAGTTCACCTGTGTGGGTGCGGGCACGAAGTAGTTGGGCGCCTCGCTAGGGGCGGGCGGGAGGGAGGCGCCCAGCAGCTCGGCGGCGGGCGGCAGCGGCCTGGTCGCCGCCCCGCTCGGGTTGAACACGTCCACGTACGACTTCTTGATGTCTGAAAGTGCACCCACATTTCTTCTTTATAATATCGTAATATACTATGTACTATAACAGATTTTTAGAGAAGTGTAGTGGCTGTATGAAAATATACATTACCACCTATCGTCCCGTGGTTTTTTTAAAAATAGAATAAGGATGACAAACGAGCACACCGTCCACCTGATGGTAAATGAATGCCATGGCTCATAGACATATCATTAATAATCAATAAATCATCAAAATACAAATGCGTTCTCACCCCTGAGGACTAAGATGGAATGCCTCGTTTCCAGTAAAACGGGTCTCCGATTCTCTATAGTCACCATACGAAACACAGCAGCGTTATGTTAATATTTCACGCTGGTATTCTGTTGCCAAAGCGTGGTCCTATCCAAGTAAAGCCAACACATTCGTATTGTATATGGATATCGTAAGAGGTGACAGAGGGAAATTGAAATAGGAGATGGTCAGTACTTCTTTTTATAACATTGTACTGTCAGTTCTGTGATAGCCATATAAGAATATTTACAATAACAACTCAAAATTATAAAAAAAAAAACTATGGTTGCCAATCTGTCTGCTAAACGTGACATCTATGCATAAACCCCGGCATGAAGATATCTATGCGCGTGGCTTATGTTCAGCTGTGTACTTTTAATAACTATAATATATGGATGGATCGTCGTTCGTCACTGTTGATGTTATTACGTATAATTATCAAAATTAAACTTTTTATATAAAATTATTGTCTTAGCACCGACTTTTGAAGCGTTTACGTGGAAATTATTTCATTATATTTAGTATTTAGAATTCTACATATATATTTTAGTAAATTCAATTTTTTAACCCTTAAAAGTGTACTAAAATATATCACAAACAAACTCAAGGTATAAACTAAAATGTCTTCTAAATAGTTGCATTAAAAACCTTTTTTTTCTATTTTTCCATGCTTAGGGGGAATTGCCTCCAAATTTATAAGAAACCATCTCTGAAGTATAAACTATAAAATAAAAAAGAATTATCAAAATCCTATTACGCAGTGTAATATTTATAAATATCATAAATAATAAGGGATCGAATATTGATCCTTGAAGAACGTCACGTCGAACAGTAATAGTATCAGATTATAACTGTGTACCTTTTGGGCTCAATTAGTAATTTATGACACCAACCCTCTCAATAAGGCCCGCCACATACAAATGAAATTCCGTTTCTGGATTCCGTTTCGGAATTCCGAACAGGACGGCCACACACATTCGAAATTCCGTTTCTTCCGCAAAATTTCGAACGGAAAACTACCGTACGTGTTTCGGAATCCCTAGCGACGTCTGGTCAACGTAAGATTATTAGCCGTCATTGGCTATGGAACTGTCACTGTATAAAATCACAATTAAAAATAATAACATAAGAACTCACGTCTTCCTTTCTGCATCTTGAAGATGTTAGAGACGGGCGGTGGGGCGCCGGCGGTCGAGTTCCTGTACACAATAATTTAAACTTTACACGTGTCAATCCTTCAAATTTAAAACATATTTTATAAATGTGTGTTAAATATTACTGTGTATTGCATTGCCCGAATTTGCAATCCATACAAATAAGTAAAATTGAAGTGTCTTATAAACTTATAACAATTCTCTGCCTTTCTCTCTGTTTATTCCGGCTAATCTTAGAAACTGCTGGATCGATTTTGACGAGATTTTCACTGTTATATAACTAACGTTATAAGGAGTAACTTAGGCTAATTTTATTTTAGAAAATAATTAGGGTTCCGTGCAAAAAAATTAAAAGCCATGAAATCCAATCGTAAAAAAATCCACGCAAACAAAGTCGCGGGGAATAGCTAGTGAATAATAAATATATTTAGTTATAAGTTAAAGTTACAGTTATAAGTTACATATTGTGTTTAGTACAAGGATGTGTTGTCCGCTGTATTGGAGAATGCTTGTTGGCGTATTCCACATGTCTGCGTATATACATATATTTTTTAATTTCTCAGACATGCAGGTGTCCGTATGATGTGTTTCTATACCGCCGAGTAGTATAAATCAGCACTTAAAATTTACAACAAGTTCATTGGTGTCGGCGGGGATTGAAGCTGGGTTACTCGCATACTGTGGACATTTAAATCCAGAGCTTAGCCCCTGAACTACTTGAGCTTTTTTAGTTGCAATTTGTTGCAAATCAACTTTATTTGTAAGGTTTTAGGGTTGCCAGAAGGTTGGTTGGTTTAACAAAAGCCCATATGAAGGTACTCCCATTTAGAAATATTTTTATGATAGATATTTAAATTTTAAATTTTAAGTTTCTTAAAATAAAAAATTGCATATTAATTAATAGAAAAATTAATAGGTAAAGTTAGTTAGAAATTTCTGATTAAAGATATTCGTGCGAGTAGTTTTATCTTGTTGAATGTATCTCAATGAAAGGTCACGTTGTGTTGTGTCATTTTTAAGAGTGTGCGCACAAAGCCGGATTAACCTAACCATATTGGGTCTAATTTAGGAAATTTAAAAAGTGAAAATGTCCGCAATTTTTTTACTAATATTCCTTTTAACCACTCCCGGTAAGCTTAAATGCTAGTGTTAAAAGTAGTTAACAACAATAGTCGAATGGCAGGATTCGAACCCATGATCATTTGAGATCGGGATTCGCATCCTGCCATTAGGCTGCTGTCACTTTCTTTTGCATTACACCCTGGCCTCGACATAGATCAATCCGACTGTGTGTGTGTGTGTGTGTCAGTGTGCGTGTGTGCGTGTACGTGTGTGCGAGCGGGACGCACTGCGGGGGCGCGGGCGCGCGTGCGAGCGGGACGGCAGGCGGCGGCGGCGGCTGCGCCGCGGGCTCGTCGTCGCCGTCCAGGTTGCGCCAGCGCTTGTGCTCGGCGTCCCACACGATCTGCACACGCAACACTCACTCTTATGCCCAAGTACTCAAGCGCTACTCAATTTCAAGATGTCGGTAGGTCTTATGATGTAACAGTCACATAAAGTGATAGAGACAACACGAGACTTCCTTTTTACTGGAAATAAGGTATCCCGTATTAGTCCTCGGGGGTAACAACGCATATTCATTTTGATTTTTAATCAATGATAAATGTACCTGTCTATGGGTCATGGCATCCACTTACCATCAAGTGGCCGTGTGCTCATTTGTCAACCTGATTATATAAAAAAATATCAGAATTTAAATCTTATCCATACTACACTCCACAAATCTTGACATTGTGAAGATTGTTTCTAAATACCGACCGTAAACTCATCCTCTCTTATTACAAAAACTATTTTATAACTAAACTCACTTTTTCAAGAGTTCATGTTAAGTCGAAGTATGGAATTCGACAATATAAGTTGTTCGCTTGCAATATTGCGCATTTATGACAGTTTACCTTTAATTATAATTTTATTTCAGGCAAAGGTAAACAGTTCTGAGTCCTTTGCTTTTAAATTAAATTAAAAAAAAAATTACTGAAACAATCCGAGACTATTGATAAACCAAAATATTGTAATAAAACCGATCGTCTCTACTAGAATTAGCATCGAAATAAATACTGTCCAGTCCGACTGATGGCGGTACTTTGAAGTACGAAGTACCCAAATCGACGATGGAATGCATCGTCAAAGATACGAGGCGTATTGTAGTACTCCGTGATCATCAATCCATCTGCCAAACGTGACGATTAAGTCACATCCTCCTCACAACAGTTATTCAGAAGTGGAAATTATAAGCTAATGAAAGGGAAAAAGAAATATAGTTCATTTTCTAATATGTCATATAAAGTTAACGCTTGATTAAAATTACGAACGTAAGCATACATAACGTTTTTACAATAGATGCTATTTAAAGACTATTTTTTAAAAATTAAACAGAGAATGTAACACAGAATTAGTATTAAAGGAGTAGTTAGAAGTTATTTGTAATTGTAATTTATTTATATTTAAAATTTTAGTTAAATGTTGTTTATAACCATTACTAAATTATAGTAATTATGTAATTATCCCACATATAAACGATCAGTCTTTTAGAAATGCAGACTAATAATGTAATTGTATGTGCCTTTTGTCAATACACATCAAATCAACATCAAAGTTTAATCACATACATCATATATGCCAGCTTTATTTAACATGTATAATGGTTGGATATTATAAAAATAAAATGCATAATGTGTCAAATTTTTATTAAGAAATAAATATTTGAAATATAAATTCATATAGGTATAATGAATAAATAAATATATAAATTACAAATAATTATACACACATATAGTACGTAAGTAAAATATAGCATACATACATATATGTATATACATGCATAAATATGTAAAAATAGATACATATAAATATATCATTCGAAGAAAGAGAAGTACAATTAGGTACATATGTATTTTGTTATTTTTTTAAGTTTATTACGTTATGAGAAACTTAACAACATACATATCTAACTTTGCTTCACTGCCGTGCCGTCACTATAAAACAAAAAGGAAATACCATTTATTACTTATATTTCACATCTATTAATAAGTATTAAGAAACAATTATCATTTTATAAAATATTTAGCTTTAAACTAATATTACTTATTCAATAGAGTCATGTGTCGAGCCCCCCCCCCCCCCCCCCCCCTACCAACTAAACCGCTGTTTTTTGAAAAGTGAAAAGTATACACGATAGTAGTATATATAACGAAGTCAGAAGAAAAACTATCGCAGCTAAGTAGAATTAAGAAGTTAACGAGTAATACGATAAACGTAAAAAATGCACTGGGATTAGTAAAAAAAATTGTTATAACTCATTATCAAGAAAGTGATGATATTGCGACGGGCAACTACGAAAACCTACCTCTACATTGTGCGTGGCCCGACAAGCGCTTGGCCAGTTTTTTTTTTACATATTTCGAGCTAGTAGAAAATAGGTCAATATCTACTACAGATGAAAGTTTATTAAATTCTATTGCGCTACGCAGAAGGACAGAATTTGTTCTATAATTCGTCGAAGCAAGAGCTATATATCGGGTCTCTGCCTAAATCTCTTTAAATTGGTCCGAATCATTATAAACATAAGTATCAGAAGAATCAATAGATTCATTTACTATATTAATTAAGAAACAAATATCATTAACTTTACGTCTATATTACAACGGCAAAAAATGATAAATATTAAAACAATTATGAAAAAATATAATGAAAAAATGAGAAATTTCAAGATAATTGGCTGAATTTATTCGTGCCTTGAAGTCGAGGTATCTCAGAAATTTTCTCTGTATATTTTCTCTTTCAATATGAGATATATAAACTTTATATTGTAGGTTCCATACTTGGGCAGCATATTCTAAATCTTAAGAATATTCGGAGAGCGGAAGCAGGCTGATGTTTTTCAAATGAAACCAAGAGCCTTGGATGCTTTGTTGACAATATATTCAATGTGTTTGTCGAATAAAAATTTAGTATCGTGTATAACGCCGAAATCACAAATATGATTTACCTTGCTGATAGTCTCATTGTGAACATTATAACCGAACCCAATACTAGATCTTTGTCGTGTGAATGTTATATGAGAACATTTGGAAATATTCAATTGAAGCTTATTGTGTTAACAGTAATCAACAAAACTGTTTAGATTTTCTTGGAGTTGTTCAATATCGGTTATATTATGAATAGTTTTAAGAAATTTACAAGTCATCGGCGTAAAGTAGTATGAGAGAATTTTTAAAACATGACTTAATATCGGCAATAAATATTGTGAATAAGAGGGGGCCAAGTAATAAGCCCTGAGGAACACCAGATGTGATTGAGCACCAACCAGACATGTAACTACGCAAAACCACAGCTTGTATCCGATTCTCTTTATAGGAATAAAATAATCACCGTGTATTCCCGCAGCTAACAGCTTTTGTAAAAGAACACGATGATTCATACGATCAAAACACTTGCTGTAATCTGTGTAAATTATTTTTGCCTGTGCACCTATTATGTACGTTTTTATTAATTTACGGTGGTTGTTTAAAAAATTATAATTTTGAAATAGCAAATTAAGTTATAGTTACAGAAAAATTACGTAGTATAGCTAAAATACCAGATAAAAAATAAATATATATAATAAATATTAAAAAAATATAGATATAATATTTTGCTAAATATATAAAGTTATTTCAATTACTATCAAATCTGGTTAAGATTTATATAGCAATTTATATAATTGTTGCAGCACTATGAAAGCATACCATTTCAATAATAAAAAACAAACAAATAATAGTCTTGAGATATATATGTGTATATTTTATGTATGTGTTGCATGATATATGTAATTATGTAAATATATATAAATTATTGAATTTGATCATGACAGCCTAACTGTCCATAACTCACTCTCTGTTCTACTCAAGGTTAGCTGGTAGAGAATACCATATTAGGTATAAGTTCGCCTTTTGTACAATATTTTTAGTGCAATCTATATAAATAAAATGATAGACCACTACTAGTAAAACTACTGGATAGATTTCAATTAGGTTTTCTAAGTTTTATATCTTAGACACTTGGCCCTTATCTAAAAAAAAAATATTGCGATATCTTCATTTTTTTTATAGGATAGGGTGACAAACGAGCACGCAGTCCACCTGATGGTAAGTGGTTGCTGTGGCCCATAGACATCTACATTTATCCTCGTTTGCGAATCAAAATATAGATGCGTTGTCACCCGTGAGGACTAGGATGAAATGCCTCATTTTCAGTAAAAAGGGCCTCCGGCCACCTGCACTCACCAAGCGAAACGCAGAGGTAAACCTCTACTTCACGCTGGTATTCTGTGAGGTCGTGGTACCACCCCGGTTCGAGCCGGCCCATCCGTGCGACAGCAAAAGCTGTCGCCTGGCTCTACCACTGTTAAATATAAAGTTACTAAAGATTTAAGATAAAGTCATTTAATATAAAGTTACTAAGGTTTTAAGAAATAACGATCTTTAGCACTACGTGTTTAGTGATGTGTGTAAAGCCTCGGTCACACATAGCGAATACTCGCTGCGATTAGGCACTCGAAGCGAGAATTCGTTATGTGTGACAGGCTTTTCGCCGCGATTAGATTCATTCGCCGCGAGTTGAATTTGCTGCGAATTCAATTGAACATGTTCAATTTTACTCTCTGCGAATGAGCACTCGCTGCGAGAATTCGTTGTATGTGACAGGGTACTCGCTGCGAGTAGCCATTCCGCTCCAGACTACACGCCTGTGCATAAGTCGTTTCGTTGCTACATGATACGTGTGTGTAGGTCAATCAAATGAGTTAACTGATATACGATTCTCTAAAATGGGGAAATTGTGATATAATTCGTTTCTTGGGTGTGTATTGAAATATGGGGAGCCTGTTTGACACAAATAACAGTAATTTAAAAAAAAACGCAAAGGCAATTAATTGAGTTGGGATTCGAAATAGCAACCCAAGAGCAATTGAAAAGTAAACTTAAGAATATGAAAGATAGATATTATAGATAATTCTCGTGTAGTATTCATTGTGTGTGACAGGCAGGCACCGAATTGTCGCTGCGAGTAATATTTGCAACGAATACACTCGTAGCGAATATTCGCTGCGCGTGACCGAAGCTTAAGCAACGCGGATGAAGTCGCAGGTATCGAGTAGTATAGAATAAAACAAAAGATAAAGGCGTTGTTCCATCATAGCAAGGTAGGCATAAGGCGGGGGGTGCGGTGCGCTGTGCGCGCTGCACTCACGGTGGGGTTCTTGTCGTCGGGCAGGATCATCTGGTTGGGCGCGCGCAGCGACAGCTTGGTGAGGATGCCGCCCAGCCACCCGCTCTTGCCCTTGCCCTCGCCCTTGCTGCGCTCCTCCTTGCCCTTGCTCTGACCCTGCCCCTCGCTCTCCTGTTTTCTGTTTGTTCTCGGCGAGTCAGTGTCGCGCTCTGTTTGCTGCTTCAACAAGTTACAAGTGTTAAAAAGTGACCAAGTGAAGATACGAGGGTATTTATATCTACATATATACGTGATACAGCCACACGCAAGCTATATTATAGTAAGTAGCTATAATAGCATAAAATAACACCTTAATGCTACTGTGTTTTGTATGGTAAGTGTAGAGAATCGGAGACACTTTTTACTGAAAATGAGGCATTCTATCTTAGTACTCAGGGGTGATAACTCATATGTATTTTGATTCTTAATTGAAGATAAATGTAGACGCCTATGTGCCACAGTATCTACTTACCATAAGATGGACAGTGTTCTCGTTTGTCACTCTTATTTTATATAAAAAAAAAAAAACGGTTAATTCTGCAGGCAATCCCTGAAACTTCGCGCCTATTTTCGAGCGTTACACTCGAACGATTATTTAGAAATTTTTACATCGCAATAATTTTTGAACGCGTCGTTCGATTTTGACTTGTTTGGCGAAATTCAACGTAGTTTTTTTTTAACAAAAAAGAAGTTTTTCTGATGTCTGGAGTTGATTAATCAAACATTTTGAAAGTTATTTAGAAAAAATTTAAAATAACAATTTGTTTTTGGTTTTTATTTTCAGCTCGAAGTCTCAATGAACCGTTTCGAACGCCAAGTCGCCTATCTCGATCGGTTGATTCGTTTTAAAGATATAGTACAACACACACACACACACACACACACACACACACACACACACACACACACACACACACACACACACACGACACACACACACGACACACACACACGACACACACACACGACACACACACACGACACACACACACACACACGACACACACACACGGCACAGACACACACACGACACACACACACACACACACACACGGCACACACACACACGATACACACACACGACACACACGACACACACACACACACACACACACACGATACACACACACGACACACACGACACACACACACACACACACACACACACACACACACACACACACACACACACACACACACACACACACACACACGGCACACACATACACGACACACACCCACACACACACACACACACACACACACACTCACACACACACACACACACACACACACACACACACACACACACACACACGGCACACACATACACGACACAAACACACGATACACACACACGACACACACACACACACACACACACACACACACACACACACACACACACACACACACACACACATACACATACACACACACACACACACACACACACACACACACACACACACACACACACACGACACACACACACACACACACACACACACACACACACGATACACACACACGACACACACACGCGACACACACACACACACACACACACACACACACACACACACACACACACACACACACACACACACACACACACACACACAGAGACATACACACACACACACACACACACACACACACACACAGACATACACACACACACACACCCGCGCGCGCGCGCGCGCGCGGGCCTTTCAAGAATAGTCGGAACGGCTTCTTAGGACCTCAAAACAAGGAGATCTGATGAAACTAGCATTCTCAAAATCAGACCGATATCTATAACTTCCTACTTTTGAAAATTATTATTTTCAATGCGGGAAGTAAAAAAAAATTAATAATACCAGAATTCAAGTCCTCTGCTCTTTTTAAAGATTATCACAAAAACAGTCGGATATTGCAGGGCAATGTTCTATATTATAGTAGTTCAGTACTCAAAAGAGGACGGAATGAACACCTATCTCATAGCTGTTACACGTGTAACAGTTACACATTCAAATCTTAGCAAACTAGTGGACGTTTTTGTGCTCAATATAACAACATAAATTAACCCAAATACATGAGTAGTGGCGGCGTAAAATATCTACTACCTATATACCTATATCATCTCCTGGACGTCCAGAAGGAAACTGAAACAGGAGATGAGTAACATCATCTTGATTTTTTTTTATAGAACAAGGGCGACATACGAGCATAGAGTCCACCTGATGGTAAGTGGATGCTGATTCTATAGACCATAGACATCTACATTAATACTCAATGAAAATGCAGATGAATTGTCAGCCTTGATTGTCAGACTAAGATGGAATGCCTCGTTTCCAGTAAAATTAGTTTCTGGTTCTCTGCACTCAGCATACGAAACACGGCAGCATTAAGCTGCTATTTTACGGTTACGGTAATATTTTGCTAGAGCATGGTCGACTTCCTCGATCGAGACTTCACTGATCGAGCCGACTAATTCGTGCTACAACTATAAACAGCTACAGCATGGCTCTACTACGAGTAAACTATTCAATAAAAAATTGGGTCAAAATGAATGAATTAGGTATAAGGTACAAGTCGCGGCACGTAAGTCTAGCGCTGAACGAAACGTATGGGTACTCTCGCGCACGAATTGAATTGCACGAATGTGACTGGAGAGATAATCAGCGCATGCGAACGACACGTACGTCCACCCCGCGACCCGCTTACTACCTCATGATAACTTATTTTCGACTTATACGCAATAACGGTCACCGCTAGACCTTCGTGCCGCTACTTATAACATTACATTGAATAAGTTGAATAATAAACTCCTAAATGAAAATTCTAAACATTATTAACATTCTTATCAAATAAAGTTATAAATATTATAATTATATACGCTTACTTTGACATCAGTGCTGGCTGGTCTGTCATCGTCGTAGTCGGCGTAGAGCGACGGCTTGGAGGGCGCAGTCCCCGGCATAGTGATTGTGGGCCGCGACTCTAATGCATCATTGTCGGCTAATCCAGTTACAGCCTACAGAAATATATTTCTAGTTGCAACATTATATAAATATTTATCAGGTTGAAAAGGATTGTACCAGCTTGGCCAAATGCGCGGACATCACCTGTGTGTTTATACGTGGCGGAGTACAAATGGGTCGGACCACGATCGCGAGAAATACTAAGACTAATGGTGGGTGGGTATTGTTAGTACCCGGGTATGAGTTCGCGTTCACCAGATGACACAGCCTGATACTTCATCATGATCATTACAGCTCTTCACAAGTCCACTGCTGAACATAAGCCTCCCCCAAGGAATGCCACAAAGCACAGTCGTGCGTCACGAGCCATCTGCACCCATCGACTTCCTGCATGTCTTTGCAGGTCGTCACTCCATCTAGTGGGAGGATACCCTATACTTCGTCTACCGGTACGAGGCCGCCACTCGAAAACCTTTTTTCCCCATCGGTTGTCGGCTCTTCGAGCTATATGGCCGGCCCATTGCCACTTCAGCTTACTAATCTGTTGGGCTATGTCGTTTACTCTGGTTCTACGTATACTTCTACTGATCTTCTGTTCTGTTGCTTGATACTTATGAGCACATCTTTGATGGTCACATGCCTGAAGGATCCGTTAAACGGGTAATAAAGCTGTAATCTATTTTGTAGAGATCTGTACCTGTTCTTTAGCAATCTGATTATTCTTAGTACCAGTAAGTCATTACAAACAACAATGTCGCCAAAAACTGTTTTAGGTAAATATAAAAATAATAGTTAATGAAGGTCTACATGATAATGAAATAAAAGATTCTTAAACTCGCTATGTGAGCCTTGTTTAGTCATAGGTAAGGTATGATAGTATGGTAAAATCAAACCGACGATAAATAACTTGATCACCGATGACCTAAGCTTCAACATTGTAATCGATCCTTAATGATCTCTAGTTTTCCTAAATGTTCTCGATTAAAAATTGTCATCATTATCATCATTACAGCCCTTCACAAGTCCACTGCTGAACATAGGCCTCCCCCAAAGAATGCCACAAAGCACGGTCCTGAGCCACCTGCATCCATCGACTTCCTGCATATCTTACCAGGTCGTCACTCCACCTAGTGGGGGGACGTCCTACACTTCGCCTGCCGGTACGAGGCTGCCACTCGAGAACCTTTCTTCCCCATCGGTTGTCGGTTCTTCGAGCTATATGGCCGGCCCATTGCCACTTCAGCTTACTAATCCGTTGGGCTATGTCGGTCACTCTAGTTCTACTGCGGATATCCTCATTTCTGAGTTTATCACGCAGAGAAACTCCGAGCATAGCCCTCTCCATAGCTCGCTGAGCGACCTTGAGCTTCCTCATCCGGCCAGCAGTGAAGGACCACGTCTCAGTTCCGTATGTCATCACTGGCAACACGCACTGGGTGTACAGTCTCGTTTTCAAGTTTTGAGGTATACCTGACGAGAAGATGTGCCGTAATTTCCCGAACGCTGCCCAACCGAGTTGAATCCGTCGATTGACCTCTCGGTCGAAGTTGGACTTACCTAGTCGGACTATTTGTCCCAGGTAAACATACTCGTCAACAACTTCGAGCTTAGTTTTCCCAACAACTACCGGCATAGGTGTGACATGGACATTAAACATGATCTTTGTTTTGTCCATGTTCATCTTAAGACCTATCCGTTGGGAAACACTATTGAGGTCATTGAGCATAGTGCTTAGGTCCTCCAGCGATTCTGCCATAAGGACTATATCGTCGGCAAATCGAAGGTGAGTGATGTACTCGCCATTGATGTTCATACCGTATCCTTTCCAGTCCAGAAGCTTGAAAACATCTTCCAATGCAGCGGTAAAGAGTTTTGGGGATATGACGTCACCCTGTCTTACACCTCTCTGCAATTGGATAGGTTTCGTACTCTGGTTCTGTACTCGGATAGCCATCGTAGCCCTACTGTACAAGCACTTCAACACTTCGATATACCGACAGTCAACTTGGCATCGCTGAAGGGACTGCAGCACCGCCCAAATTTCGACGGAATCAAAGGCTTTCTCATAGTCCACATACGCCAGACATAGTGGCAAATTGTACTCCTCGGACTTCTGTACAATTTGCCGAAGGGTATGTATGTGGTCTATGGTGCTAAAGCCTTTTCGGAAACCGGCTTGTTCGGGAGGCTGGAAGTCGTCAAGTCTGCGCGCGAGACGATTCGTAATGACTCTCGAAAACAGCACGTAGACGCGGCTCAGAAGGGAAATCGGTCTGTAGTTCTTCAAGAGAGCGTTGTCGCCTTTCTTGAAGAACAAGACCACCGCACTTCTGCTCCACGCCTCCGGTGTAATGCCACCATGGAGGACGGAATTAAAGAGCTTCTGAAGGACTTCAAGTACCGGTTTTCCACCCGCTTTCAGAAGCTCCGCTGTAATTCCATCCTCGCCTGGGGCCTTGCCGTTTTTAAGGTGCTGGAGAGCCATTCTAATCTCGCTCAGACTGACGTCCGGGATATCATCGGAATAATGTCGGATAAGACTCGCTCTTGGATCGTTACTCACACTTGCGTGCGGCTCCAACGATGACGTGTACAGCTGCCCATAGAACCTCTCAATCTCACTCAAAATCTCAGGTGCCCCGGAAACGATGCTGCCACATTCTGTCTTCAGCTTTGACAGTTGGCGCTTTCTGGCAGACAGATCTCTGGCAAAGACTTTGGAGCCTCGGTTCCGCTCGATCGCTTCTTCAATACGAGCTGTATTGAATTTGCGTAAGTCCCGCCGCATGCATTTGGAGATCTGTCTGTTCAGTTGCCTGTATGCTGTTAAATCTGTTGAAGAATGTAGCTTCATCTCCCGTCTAACAGCCATGAGATTAAGAGTGTGATCGGAGAGTTTTTGTGTTCTTCTGCGGCGGGTCTTGCAGAACTTAGCTCCGACCGCATGGACAGTTTCCACGAGCTTGTCATTCAAATCGTCCACTTCATTGCAGTCTTCTAGGCACTGAAAACGGTTTTGTAACTCGAGCTGAAAGGTTTCGGGACTTTGGATTAGAGCACGAGGGGGACGGAGCGTTGACTTCATTAGACGAGACCTCTCCAACTTAACGTTTAGGTTCAGTGTGCCTCTAACCATTCGGTGATCGCTGCCGGTTTTCACCCTCGCGATCACTGAGACATCACTGAACAGTTGTCGTCTGGTCGTCATAATGAAGTCAATCTCATTTTTTGTGGAACCGTCGGGGCTCGACCAGGTCCACTTCCTGTGGGGCCGCTTCTGGAAGAAAGAGTTCATCATAAAGAGTCCCTCTTTCTCCATGAAGTCGGCCAGCTGCTGGCCCCTTGGGTTCCGTTGCCCTATTCCAAATTTCCCTACTTTCAGCTCACCGTTCTTTCTTGTGCCTAGTTTTGCATTGAAGTCTCCCATTAACACCGTATATTGGGTTTTGGAGGAATGCATGGCTCTAGAGATATCCTCATACATTTCCTCCACCTCCTGATCGGGGTGTGCCGAGGTTGGTGCGTAAACCTGTATGACCTTCAGCGAATACCGTTTGGTGATTCTGAGTATAAGGTACGCAACCCTCGTCGACACACTCTCAATCTTTACAACGTTGTTAACGAGAGACTTGTGGACGATAAATCCGACACCTCCTTGGGACAGATGGTCGCCCTCCCGGTAATAGAGCAAGTTGCCGGATTCGAGGATTACCGTGTCCTCCCCCTCTCTTCGGACTTCGGATAATCCTATAATATGCCAGCGTAACTTGTCTATCTCTTCTTCCAGCTCCACAATCTTCTCGTCAGTCCTCAGGGTGCGTGCGTTGTATGTTGCCAGGTCGAGTCGTCGTAGGTGGCAACCGAACCTGCACCGGAGATTCTTAGCACCCCCTGCCCCGCCGTTACCATGGTCGCCACCGTAGCCAGGAATAGCGGGGCCGCCGGGGACTGGGGGCCGTTTATTATTGTCATTGCTCATGGGGGGTATATTGCCATAGTTGCCACGCTTGGCGAGCGGGTTGGCAACCGCAGTTTTTTTATTGTTATTTTGGCTATTATCAGGAATATGCTGCTGCCCATCTCCTGCCTGTTTCCCTTTGTCGCCTTTTACGACACCCACGGGAAGATATGGGGTAGTGGATATTCTTAACCGCCACTACACGGCAATTTCATTATCAAATTAAAAATTGTATCTAATTTAATTTAATTATGGTCATCGGTAGATTATTTTTAAAGATTAAGGGTGACAAGTGAGCACACAGTCCACCTGATGGTAAGTAAGTAAATGATGTGGCCCATAGAGACGTATGCTTGCTTAAGGATCAAAATGCAATTATGTTGTCACCCCTGAGGACTAAGATGAAGTGTGTCTCGTTACCAGTAAAAAAGGTCTCGGGTACTCTGCACAAACACAGCAGCATTAGGCTACTATTTTACGCTGGTATTCTGTGAGAGCGTGGTACTTCCCCGGTGGAGCCGACTAATTCGCGCTGCAACCATTATATAGCTGCAGCGTGGCTCTACTACGTACATTCGATCTGATATGGGCACTCACAATTTATGCTGAGCGCCATTTTGTCGAGTCTATATATAAAATGTTGTTTTATTATTGTAACATTTTTTTTTTATAAATATCATTATAATCCTTTCGTCATTTCTAATTTGTTAATATGCTATGACGCTGCGTACATTTGAAGCAAAAGAGGAAAGACAAGAGGTTTTCTCCTTATGTGGTTAATGGACGCCAAACTATCAATGTCAATTCTTTCTCCTGTAAAGTTTCGTACAACCCTACAGCATACCACAGAGGTCCCTTTTTATTATTAATTTAATAAACTCTGTTACCACTTACGACTGTAAATTATTTTTTGAACTTTTGCCGTATAAACATAGTAACCGAGAAGAAACTGCAAGCTAAAGAAAATACGTAAAAAATAAAAAAAGGAACCGAAGGACGCTATCAGTTGCGTGCATACCTACTTAATATTTTAATATAGTTATTAAATAAAAATGTTTTTGGATATTATATAACCATCCAACCGAGTTTGAAGTTTTATTAGTCTTAAAAAAACTCAAAGCTCATTCCCAGCAGAGGACTCAAAAAGACTGCTCATGTACAAAGGTGTCCGTCTGGCTGACTAATCATATTTATGTAAAAACTACTAGATTTGATATGAAATGTTTGCTATTTATTTCATCGATTTATACCAAACTAAATTGTCACAATAGCTTGTATCTAAATAATAATTTTGAAAATGTTGTCACTTCCATGATGGACATGTAATTAGCTAAAAGACCAAAAAGATAAACTATAATAAAAATTGAATATTGCAGCTATGCACATCAGTAAAGTACTATTTAAATTGTAGTAATTTTGACAAACAATAGTCCAGCTGATGGTTTATAATTATTGCAGCCGATTGAGACTTATAGAAGGCATTTTTAACTAGGGTGCCACCAATGTGTTTTCACTCCGAAACTACCCACCGACTAGCTGCTAACGGTATAAATAGGCAGAGGTTGGAACCAACCAGTAAAAAAGAGATATTACTAATGTTGAAATAAAACACATAATTTAGTGAAACGTTTAATAACAATTACTAATATTTACGGCTAAGGACATGTTATTAATTAATAACAATTAATATGGGATTCAATATAAAGCACACAGCAAAATAACAAGCACTGAGATTTTATAATTACTTAAAAATTCGAAAACGAATAAATGCATGACAAATCTATTAGTGCTTCTAATCAAAGTATTATTTTTGCCTTTGCTTTTATATTATTATATTAAAGCAAAGGTCACATGTAATACTAGACGCTAAATTTTAACGTAATAAATATGAGAATCGACGGATTTATTAGGAAGCTAGAGAAAAAGAATTTCTATTCATTTTATATAAATTAAAAAGTGCAGATCAATTTTATCACAGCAGAATGGTACAACTAGTACGGTACATTTTAATACGACTTTATTTTAATAATAAGCCACAAACATTCCAGTTGTACAATAGTTTTTTGGCCAACATTTTGATTACTTCAAGAATATTGGTTTAAAATAACTTATAATAAAAAAAGAAATGGCAATTTTGTATATGTGCTCAGACTTTAAAAATAAAATATCGCATACTTAATATTTATGCGCTCCGTGTAACTGTATAACTTTCACAGTAGTCGTATAAACTCAAAGCTACAAAAACATTGACAATAATTAACAACACAACACTATTTAATACAGTAACATATGAAAACAGACTTTTAGAGGATGGACATAAGATTAGGTTTACTTTGACACCTTAACTTTATATAAATGCCAACCAAATAAACGCATTGTAGTTATTTACTTTTAATTGAAAGATATAGTAAACAAATTAAATTATACCTAAATGTAGGGATCATTTGCGTTATAAATTATAATTTCCTCATACAGTTATCGAGCATTCTGAATAATAATATTATTACTTACTAATCACTGATAATTGTATAAATCTAGTTTTTTTTTTATATTAGTTCAAATTTCATTGCAATTGATGTTTAGACTTTACTAAGAAAATACTATTGTTAGAAATAGAAACAGAATGCTACGATATTTCAAAGCATGTTATTGGTTCAAAATGGTATATCTGTCTAATCATGTTGTGTATAATATTTCCTTTTTTTGTGACACGATTAATTTGTAATAAGTAACTCCTTTGCTATGAAGTTTTAGTATGAAATACTTACTACTTTGGATCAGTTGATAGCAATAACTAAACTCTTAAATTATTGACACTGACAAAAATACATCAGTACGAGTCCATTACCAAATACTAAAGAAATAAAGAAAGAATTAACTCTCGGTTATGGAGTGTAGAGTAGAAGGAGGACCATCCCTATATATATAAAAAGTGTACCAAAAAACGTGTCCAATAAGGGTGGCGCTGCAGTAGCATAGGATAAATAAAAAAAAGCGCCAAAAGTAATTAGAATAAGAGGGAGAAATAAACAAGGACCGACCAATCCGCTTGGTTTTGTACGACGTAAATAGTTAAGATTTTGTATACTGGCATTTTACTCATTACTCAAGTCATGAAATTTTTTAAATATTTGAATTCAGCTGACTTCACTCCGTTCACAACAGCTATCTTCATATCGTAGTTTTTCAGACGCCAGCGCTATTGTGGTAGGTATTGGAACCTCTATTTTCAGTAAATAGTAGGACACTTTTTCAACTTTCTCCCCTTATAAGATGGTTCTCCTTGTACTCTACACTCCGTACTCTCGGTGAAAATATTTAACGAGGGCTAATAATTTTGTGCTCACCAGATGTCGCTAGTGACACTCAGGTAAAGTTTTTTTGTTACACATTGTAATTTAATTGTGAAGTTTTTCAGTTTCTATAGTATTATATTAAATACACAAAACAATGCCTCAGTGGTTTGCTCATTAATTTTTTGCACATTTTTGACTCTTTTTTTTTTATTTTTCCATTTTTATGAATATCTGTGGTTTGGTTTATTTATTTTTAATGTTATTAATATAAAATATAGCTAATAGTACAGAAAGAAACAATAACTTTTACATTGTCCGAACAAATCGACTGCCCCGCTATGAAATCTGTCAAATTTATACCTCACTTTCTAGTGGCGCCGCCCTAGTTGCAGAAAAATTGGATGCCATCATTAAACGAAATCACATTTGGATTTCCAATTCGTATGATTTGCTCCCGTCTGGACGAACCTAGTTAATTTGTTTAAAATATTAAACTTTTATAGCTTAATTCTCTTCTTAGTTACTTTCAATTGATATACTTTACAATCTGTAATATACCAGTGATTCGCAATACAACAAACATTTTGCTTAAAGCTTGTGTTAGTTTCTTTTAAATATTTTTAGTTTATTTATATGAACTTATTTAAGAAATGAGAAAATATATAATCAATATTAAAGTAGAAGACAGGCATTAACGTTTTTATTAATCTAATATTGCTGTTATAGTTGACGAATTATACATTATATACAATTAAAAAGCAAGAGTTGAATGATATTTTTGAAGATCATGAGGTATTTACTAAAATTTAAATAAAACGAAAGTAGCACAGATTTAAAACGTCGTTAGTGCAGTTAACGTGCAAATTATATGAAGGATACCGGCTCATCGATGTCGAAGGTCTTGGGCCCGGAGACGTAATAGGCGGTGTGGTCATCTGTCAGGCGGGCTTCAGCTGGAATGTGGTCGGGTTGTACTGGTTCATCGATGTCGAAGGTGCGGGAAATGGTGAAGGGTTGTCTCTCACGTGAAGTCCGCGCTAGGGCTGCGTCGAAGCGCTGCAGGCTGCGTTGTACGGTTCTGCGTAGTTCCTGACGTCGTTGCTCCGAGCTCCAGGGTACTGCACCTGGACGCGTCACCATAACCTCCTCCCTCGCACTTCTAGTAGAACGCGTCACTAGGTCTACATCCTTCCCCGCGCTTCTACATATCTCCCGTGTTACGTCCTGGGGGCTCGCCGGCTCGTCTATGGGGTACGTGCCGCCGAAGACGAGGGGTTTGAACGGTCGATCCATGGTTTTCCGTGACCATGCGTCAACTGACCCTGAGATAAGGGATCCGCATTGCGGGTGGGGTGTACGCAGCGGAGTGGAAGCACGGATCATTCTAGAACTTGCCGTTTGGACGTCTAAGTCGGATAGTTTGGTCGACGAGGCGGAATTCGAAGCTGTGGCTTTGAGAGCGGGCGTCAGTGCAGTGCGGGCGTTGTCGTCATGTTCGTCGTCACGGTGGCCGAGGTGGTGGTCATGAGCGTGACGGGGGCTGTGGTGGCGGTGGTGGCGGTCGTCCCGGCGCTCGCGGTGCTCGGTGGCGCGGCGCCGCAGCCCCGCGCCGCGCCGCGGCTGCCCCACAACACGCGTTAGCACACAGCACACAGCACACACAGCACACATGCACCAAACTAATTTTACGATACGCATGGGCGCATCTATTCAAACCGACGTTAAAGTTCAACGCGCGTTCTAAATCCGAACTTGATTCCCGAATTTAAAAAAATCCAAAACATAAACAAAGGCGAAACAAATTTAAAACCCAATCCCACCACCGAAATAATTACCGTTTTTTTTTTAATAATTTCCATGCATGTCATAAAATCTAGCAAATATATGTCAAATTAACAACTATACAATACTCTATACTCAATTTCTTATCATCATTATCACCAACATCGTCACTATAAAGTATTTGGAATCGACATTACAAACTGATATCAATATATTTTGTAAATACTTTTATAACGAAAGACAAACTTTCTTAATAAAAAGTTTTGATATATTCATCAAATCATAAAAGGCCGGCAACGCACTGACAATTCTCCTAGGGTTGCAGATGTTCGTCGGCGATGGTGACCACTTACCATCAATCAAACCGTATGCTCGTTTGCCTCCTCTTCCATTAAAAAAAAATATTTAACTTGTAACATCAGGACATGGTTTTTAATTTTAAATTAGCTGAAGTGCTCACCTCTCCGTATCCGTAATGCGAATCGTTCTGCCAGTAGGGATCGGCGTAATTCTGCGCCTGTTCTTGAGGCCACTCCTCTCCATACGTGTATGTCGCATCCCCTTCTCTCAAACCGGTCAGTTGCTCGCCAGGCTCCTGTGACTCTTGGCTTTGATCTTGTTGAACATATTGGCCATCTGTTTGGCTATAATGGCCATCTTGTTGGGCATAGTGGCTCTGTTGAACGAGCTGGTCCTGTTGGTGATAGTACTGCGCCGCGTAATCGGGAGTTTCCTCCGTTTTGGGATAAGTCTGAACGGGTTGCTGATACAGAGTCGTCTGAAGAATACAAGCAAAACATTGTGATTATTCTATAAAATAATATTAGCCACTATCAAAGGCATATTGATATTGGTTGAATGTGATTTTCATTAATTGTAATGTTTCTCATTATTATCATTACAACCCTTTCAACAACAAGTCAGCTGCTGAACAAAGGTCTCCCCCAACGAACTCCACAAAACACAGTCCTGAGCCTGAGTCTTCTGTTTCTATAAATTTTCTGCATATCTTATGACATTATGATATGATAGTGTGTAGAGGTTATAGATTGTATTGGTAGAAGGAGTGTGACGAACCTGCTCGTGCCAGTTGCCGTGCTGCGACTGCTGCCGCGTTTCCGCCTGTAACATTTTGCAATGATTAACATGGAGTACAAACATAACTTGCTCCTATTATTATCCCTTTAAAAATGCTGCGCGAAAGGAAACATGTCAAAGTAGATTATTCACACATCTGTTCTAATAACTTTATCCCGCGACTTCATGCACATATAACTTATAAATAGAAAAAAAAAAAAGAACTTCAGATCTCCTATTGTCTTCATTATGAGTTTTTTCTGCCAAGCGAAACCATTTATTTTATCAGTTTTTCAATTTCACAAAAAAAAATCTGCATGTTTTTGAATAACATGTATAGGCTAGATCACTCCTGGAATTTCATGGTCTCTGTCTGTTCATGATATTTCATGACATTCCGTTTAGCCATTCTGAAGATTTGTCCGGAAAGACAGACAACATTTTTAAAAATGGTTATATGTTAGTAGCGTGCAAACAACCCCCCGAGTTTAATAGAAAGCAGTTATTTCAATATATTAGACGGACATTTCAATATTATTTATGACTCGCTGGCAAGGGAGACGTTATTCTGCCCTTTTCAACGACCCTTTGTCCTACAAAATGTCCTTAAGTTTACACTAAAAAAGTCAATAATCGGGATAAAAACTATCGTATCTATCAAGTTGGAGCAAGCAATACACTTATACTAAAATTAAAATTGACATGACACGGGATTTATATATGAAAAATGAAAATGAAAACATGTTTTACTATCAGGAAACAAATATATAATAGGTTATCTGTTGGTTTCCTCCCTAGGCAAGCCTGTATCGAGGGAACCTGAGACCTAAGTTCATTGAGAGTTATTTTATACACCTTATCAGACAGATTGTATTAACATATGCCGTCAAAAACATAACTTAAAAAAAAAACAAGTCTTGCAACTAAATTCTTCTACCGTAAAAAGTTGTGAGATTCATGTAATATCAAGTCGGTTCATTTATTCAGTCCCTACTCCTTCTGTCTTAAGTTATTACGTAATCTAATAATAACTTAAGACAGAAGGACCCGTAAGTATGTCGAACACAGCATTTGAGTCACCTCCGTTAAATCTTTGGGCCATTTCGCGACACTAAACACGACAAAGTTTTTGGCGCTCTGTCAAATTATGAGGTATCCACCGGGCACAAAGCATCACAGGGCAATGTTCACATGGAGGATTTTGTGCACTTCACTCATACCGATGCCTAAGCTTGTCCGAATCTGCTGACAAGTCACTCTTTTGTCAGTCTCTATCATACGCCGCACAACACTGATGTTATCTTCAGTCATCTCCGTAGAAGGCCATCCCTCACGCAGATCATCGGTGAGATTAGGCGACAACGTTTAAACTCATTAAACCAGTTGTAAACAGTGGCACGACATGGGGCTTCATCGTGAAAGGCCAATCGAAATCTATCATAACTTTCATGTTGACTTAAATGACATCGAAAGTCATAAAAAAACATTGTACGAAAATTTTCTCGCGTTAAATTCATGCTGACGTGACAGAGACAATTTTCAATTTGCCGCCGAATCATAAACAAATGAGAAATTAATAAAATATATACACAATAATATTGCCAAAGTGTTCCATTTTCAAAATTTGAACTTATTTTTTTATTATATCGTTTACAAGTGGCCAGTTCTAATAATTTTCCGTCGCCCTCGTATGGGTTCCAGCAACCACTTACCATCATATACACGTATACACTTACAGTAGGTTATCTGTATGGTTTTCCTAACATTGCCTTTGAAAGTGCCCGCTGTGCCCTCTCGATCTGCATTAAATATGTTTTGGACGCACTGCCCCAACATGTGATGTAGTAAGTTATGAGCGATTGACAAAGGGCGTATACTGATTTTAGTATTACCTTATTTGTTATATAACGTAGCTTTCTCATTATATAGATAATCCATCCTATTCGGTTGCAAAGAACTTCTATGTGTGATTTAAATCCCAGATTTTCATCAACAAATACACCGAGACATTTTATAACCTTAACCCGCATAAGTGACTCACGTGAGCAGCACAGATTCATGTCTCACGACTCTTCATGAATTTTTATATTCAAACCAAATTTCGGACAAGAGGCATTTGTTTTATGAAAACATACGTACATTGTCTTTTTTGGGTTGAATGTCAGTAGATTATTCCGTAGCCACTGAGAAATTTGCCACATACCTTGCTCAGCAATAGATCAAACAGATATCCATGAAGACCCGTGAAAAATGACCGCGGTGTCGTCGGCGTAGCATAACATATCGGTATTTTCAAGTATTATATCGTGCATGTCATTAATATATAAGATTAATTATGTAGGTGGCAAGACACTAACCTGTGGGACTCCAAAACTGACATGTTGTAAGCTACTAATAAACTGAACAATTTTTACACAATGGTTTCGATCTGTTAAATAACTTTTAAACCAATCTAAGGCCACCCCTCGAATACCTATCTTTTCTAGGTTTTTCAAGAGAATCGAAACGGATATAGTATCGAAAGTCTTGGACAGATCCAGAAATATCCCAATACAGGATTTTTTACTATCAAGATGCGCAGACAGAGTTGTCGTGAGTATGTTTACAGCACCTTCCGTGTTTTTACCCCTACGAAAACAAATTGTATTGGAGAGATATAGCTGTGTTTCTCCAGGTAATTTACAAGGCGTTTATTTACTAGTTTTTCAAGTAATTTTCAAAATACAACTAAAAACGAGATGAGTCTATAACTGTTGACAGAATTCTTAGGTCCCTTTTTATAAATCGGACAAACCGAAGCAAATATCCAATTATCTGGTTAAAAATACGCCAGTGGAGTCATAATTTCGTGATTAATAAATTTTACAAGCGCGTTACTAACTCCGTCTAACCCGGTGTCTTATTGTTTTGCAACTCTGATATAAGTTTTCCAATTTCTTCATTATCTGTGGGATACATGAAAAACGAGTTCAATAATGGATTTGGAATTCGAACGGACCTTGCCAAATCAGCCTCATTTGCTTCATACTAAAGATAATATTTTCTGCCAGTTTTTTACCAGCTGTAGAAAAATAATTATTTGTGAAATCGATAGATTCTTGCACATTTGGACCATCTTAATCATAACAATTCCTTGGGTTCATTTTCGTAATGTTGAAGATGACAGATATATTTGATTGACTGTCACATCTTTTTGTAGTTATTTTTGTTTTTTGTGAGTATTTTATTTTCATATTATGATTTTACCTTCCGTAATAAATCTATGAAGAAATTTTGTTAACGGTACATATCTTTTGAAGGTTTTTATTTTCCGGATCCATGGAAAAGATAAAACGATTTTAAAGTTGGAATGACAATATCTAAAATGTATTACGATTTGAATCTCTTACCTCAAGCATACTGGCCACATTCTTGACATCGTCCAACCACTGTTGATGATGACGAGGCGAGGGTTCTGCACTATCGCCTTCTGTCATATCATCCACTAGAGGCGGATCTTCATGAAGGGCTGGGTCGTAGTACTTTAACCTGTACATATTTTTTAATCGTTTTAAAATAGTCGCATCAACTACATGTATTATTGCCAACTTTGTTGAATTCAATTTGTAAGTTTTTTTATTTGCAATGCTAATGTGTTATTTCGATTCTTGTAGATGTTTTTCAGTGATGGCAATAGATAAAACATTATTTTATGCAAACACTTCTTATGTGCATCACTCGACTGGCAATTCAGAACAAAAATTTTGACACAGATGTGGTCCCGCGGGCGGGTAGCGAGATGGATAAATTAAGATGGCTGGATAGGCAAATTCTAATAAAGTTACATACTCATCTGAAATAAACTTCAAATCACGTTGACAAAGTGTGTAGATAAAAAAAATAGTACTTTCTTAGTTACATTATACAAAATCAGTGTTAGATTGTCAAAAACAATGTTCGCGGTTTATAAAACGAAGAACTAGTCTTCTCGCCTGCTCGTAGTCGACTAAAGTTATCGATTTTATGTGAGTATTTAAGTCGAAGTAGTGCGTTAACGCAGAAGCAGATTTAAACACTACACAAGTAGCGTAGGTTTGAGCTGTGTCGTGCTTTGGAGGGGGAGGAACAGATGACGAGAATTTGTAGGCAATAAAGAAAATTTACGTCAAAAGGATCTGCGAGTTCGTATCGTATTGGAATGTCACTATGCCCCTCGAAGGGTTTCCCGCCATCTCGTTCCTTGGTATAAGGCTGGCCCGAGTGGCTTAGCAAGGTCACTTCAGATTTGTGTTAGTAGACTGCGGCGAGAGGGGGTGTATGAGAGGAGACTCCTATTGTTGCAGCAGAGGTGGTGTGCGCGGGTGACGCCAACAGCCAGCGGCTCGTGCCGCCGCACTAACATCACTCACCTGTCGGCGAGCAGCGCGAGGCGCGAATTAAGTTAACAACAACGACTTTACTAAAAAATATAATTTATTTATATAAAGTAACAGCGTTACAACTTATAATTACTTCCAAAACCAATATCAATCTAACAATCAATTATTCTAGTATTTATATAAATTTACATCTTACTAAGCGATCCGTACGGTGACGCACGGCCTACTTATTAGGAGTGCTTGTAAAGCAGATATTAGAGGGGTCATCACTCTTAACCTCTCCCTCCCCAAGAGAAAAATTATTCGAAGGAAACGGAGTTGATTTCGGATAATTTTGTCTCTGACGTAAAGTATTAAATTTCCATTTAAATACAATAAAAATTATAATTAACAGTATTACAACATAAAGACTTAAAGTCCATATACTTATTTTACTAGTCACTAAAGTTTCTACCACCATTTCACTATTTCTAGCACTATTCATGATTTCTTTAACGTCACTAAAGTCCACGTTTGTTAAATCCAAACTCTTTTTTTCTTTCGGCATGTCGTACTGCACCTCCGGAATCTCCACAAGTGGTATCTGCAGACTGGCATCTGACATATTACTCGATAGGCCAATTATTATTTTTCCTATCTGTATGCTGCAACCTTTGCTCGGCGTCAAGATGTATGTCCCCTGTAGATTAATTCTGTGGGTATCATCTTTGCACTGCTCCGTCAGTATAACATTGTCTTCTGCATATAGTATCCAGTGGTCAAAAGTTATTTTCTGTATTTTCAGCTTTTCTATTTTTATTTCATGTTGCTGGCAATGACTGAAGTTGTTTTTAATCAGCATTATTTCCTCAATGCATGTTTCTTCCTCAACTGGTGCTATATTTTCCTCCGAACATAAGTGTTTGTTCGACTCTATCTGAGTACACGGATTTACTACGTTTCTGTATTTCAAATCATTCACTAATAGGTAGGGATATTTAGGAATTATAGTATAGGTGCTGGTTAATTTTTTTATAGGGATGGGAATAATCTTGTAATAGTTATACGTTTCTTTTTCTATTAATGGTATTTCTAAAATAAAAACTAGTTTATCTTTATCTATATAACATTTTAGGATAATGTTACGTTCTAATTTTAATAAGTTATTTCTTGTTACTGGGTAAATAGTTTGTGCATTTTGTTCTATAGTTTTAAAAATGTTTAGTAATTCTGTAGAATTAATGATAGATTGATGTAGGGTGCGTAATTTACTGAATGCTATGGCTGTTTCAATTTCCTGGATATTTTCATAAATGTAACGAAAGTTATTAAGAATTTGATAAAGGCTATTCATTGTACGAATGACATTGTCAGTTTTTGACTCTAGTTTGTCAACTTGTTTAAACTTAAAGTGCAAGTTTTCAACGTTACTATTGATAACCTCAGATACATTGGTTAACGCATTAAACGCTTTTTGCATTGACGATACTTTACGTTCTGCTAAGTTTTCTTTAACTCTCAAATTTGCGATTTCTTCGTTGAATTTGATGGCATCTTCTTCATCTAAATTACCTGATATGATTTTTATTATGGACCCCAAAGGACTCATAATGGCTCTTTTTCTTTTATGGATAGGACTTATTTGATCGTATTTGTCCTGAACTAATTTAACTAACCAGTCTATTTGTTTTTGTATAACTAATAGTTCTTTTTCTAGGCTATTTTCTGTTATAATTGTATTAATTTTGTTGTATATATTTATATTATTATTTATTTGTATTCCTAATGCGTTTATCTCTACTGTTTTGTAAACTGTCCAATAACTACTCCTCATCACTGCTGTTCCATATTTCAGCAGGGTTATTCCCGGGTTCCGCTCCAGATTTTGAAGTTCCAGGCTGTGGATCTGGTTCACAAGTGCCAGAAGTACCAGCCACGACCTGTGGAGGACGTTTTATATTTTTAGCAGCTACTCTAGTTTTTCTTTTATTTAACTCTACTGGAACAATGTTACGATTTGTTTCACCTATTACTTTTGCTTTTTCATAACGTGGTAATTCCTTAGCTTTCCTTGTCCGAGTTGTTTTCATAAATACTGTATCACCTTCTTTGATTTTTGGTATTTCTTCACCTCCTTTCTTGTCCCTAACTTTGGCTTTATTATCTTTTAGTTTTTCCCCAACATATTCGTAGAGTACTTTTAGGCGTTTTCTGTGATCTTGCAATAGCTTTTGCATTAGGTTGTGTTCCCTATTAATATCAAAAATATTACCGCTGTCAGTATTACCGAAAACTATTTCAAAAGGCGTGAATTCCGTTGCTGAATGGATACTATTATTGTATGCCATTATAGCGTATGTCATTACTGAACATGCATCAAGATCACTTTTATCATACTTTGCCAACCTATATATTTCGATTACTGTGGAGTGGAATCTTTCCACTATGGCCATTGAGCTAGGATTATTTGGTGTGCTAATATGAAGTTCTATTTTGTACAGGTTTAAAAGTTCTTTAATTAATTCATTATTAAATTCCGCTCCGGAATCGCTGTTTATTTTGCGTGGAATTCCGTACATACTGAAATATTTTATTAATGCTCTGACTACTTCTGGTGTACTTCTATTGGGAATGTTTATAGCCTGTCCAAGCTTACTGAAAGCATCAACCACAGTAAGGTAATACTGTTTTTCTATAAATAAAAGATCCATGAAGACTTCTTGGAATGGGCTGTATTGATTTTGTGTTAATTGGATAAGAGGTTTTATGGGTTTTCTTTCGTATTTCAATTTTCGACATGGCTCGCATGAATTAATAATGGCTGTTATAGTTTCTTTCATATTTGCCCACCAGTAGTGTCTTTTGATTTTCGCTAAGGTCTCGTTGATACCTCTATGACACGTTTTTCCTTCGTGGTACGCTACAACTACTCGTCTTTGGTCTTGTTCTGAATCGGTTAGATTAACTATTCTGTCTGTACATTCGATCAAATTATAAGTTCCCTTTTTGTATAATTCGATTACTACTCTACTAAAAGATTTCCTGAATTCCGCGTTTTCGAAATAGATATAATATTTATGTTTAAAATCAATATATTCTTTAAGAAACTGTTTGACAAGTCTCTCATTATTTAGAGGCATGTGAACTTCTAGTATACGTTGCTTCTTATTTGAAATATCTTTAACAGATATTTTATCAGTAAACCATGTGGAGACTAAAATTTGACGTGGTTTTGTGTCTATGGCTTCATTCAGGATAGGAATCCCTTCATGTTCCCTGTTTGATATTGAGTTAGCTGTGACACCATCGTCTGATAATTCCATCAGTTCCATTGGTGGCTCAACTTCGATATCAGAAACAACTATGGATCTTTCACTTTCTGTGTCGTAATTTGATATAACTGATGGTGTTTTAGGTTTCTTTTTTCTAATTGTTACAAATTCGTCGTTTAATTCTTTGACTATTTGTTTTATACGTTCATCTTCATCGTCTATATTAGCTAAAGTTGAGTCGAGATCGTTATCTAATGCGTTTAATCTTATTCTTGACAGGGCATCTGCGTTTGTGTTTTGCTGTCCTTTTTTATATTTAATTTCAAAATCGTATTCTTCCAATCTAAGTCGCCAACGGGTTAACTTACTGTTGGGTTCTTTAAGAGAGTATAGCCAGGCTAGAGGCCTGTGGTCCGTATAAATAGTAAATTTTTTTCCGTATAAATAGGGTCTGAAATGTTTTACCGCCCAAACTACCGCTAAAAGCTCTTTTTCTATAGTACTATATCTAGTTTCTGTGTCACTTAATGTCCTACTTGCGTAAGCTATTGGTTTATCGTTTCCAATAGTGCCCTGTGATAGAACCGCTCCAATAGCAAAATTGGATGCATCGGTTGTTAATATAAAAGGTTTTTCAAAATCTGGGAATTGTAATAATGGAGCATTTGTTAAAAGTTTTTTACAGGTTTCAAAACTTTCCTTATATTCTTCGTTCAAGATTATCTTATTACCCTTTTTTAAACAAGCTGTAAGAGGTCTTGTTATTTTCGCAAAGTCTTTGATGAATTTGCGATAGTAACCGACTAATCCTAAAAAACTTTTGATTTCTGTCACTGTTTTTGGAAGAGGGTACTTAAGTACAGCATCTATTTTATCTGTATTGGGCTTGAGGCCCTCATTAGTTATTGTATGACCTAAGTACAACACCTCTTTTCTTAAAAAATGTGACTTATCCAGCTGTACTTTGAGGTTTGTTCTTCTAAATCTTTCAAAAACGGCTTTAAGTTTTTCTATGTGTTCAGGTAAGCTTTTTGAGAAAATAATGACATCGTCCAAATAAACTAAACAATGTATTCCTTGTAATCCTCTCAGCACGTTGTCCATTGCTCTTTGAAACGTAGCAGGAGCTGTCTTCATTCCAAAAGGCATTCTATTAAACTCATAGTGACCGAAAGGTGTACTAAATGCGGTCTTTGATCTATCTTCTTCTCTGACTTCTATCTGGTGATAGCCTGATGCTAAATCCAGTGTTGTAAAATATGTACTTTTACCTAACATGTCGAATAGATCGTTAATGTTGGGCAAAGGATATTTATCATCAGTCGTAATGTCGTTTATTCTTCGATAATCTATGACCATTCTCCATTTTTTGATACCCGATGCGTCTAATTTTTTTGGTACTAGATGAACCGGTGCACTCCAAGGAGAGTGAGATTCCTGAATAATGTTATCTTTTAACATTTTTTCTACCTGTCTTTTTATTTCTTCCGTTTGGACTGGTGGTAGACGGTGAGCTTTAATATTGATTGGATCCTCGTTTTTAGTCCTTATCTCGTGTTTTACTTCATTAGTAAATGTTAAGGGTAAATGTTCGCAGTAGAAGATATCTTTATATTCTCTACATAATTTTTCTATCATATTTTTCTCCTCTTCATTCATATGATCTAACCTCAACTTTTTTAAATTTTCATGAAGTAGTTCGTTTACATCTCGGTGATTTGCAAAATTTAAATTTGTTTCATTGGTTTTCTTTAATAATGTTGCTATTTCAAATGGTTCCACTTTAAAAGGTGACGTAACTACCAGTTTTTGTTCTACGTCAGTACAATTTTGTATTACTGTGGTGGCGAGACTATTTTCACACTTAACCAAAGCTGTCGGCATTCTAACACCTTCGCTAAATTGTACGTGATTCAAAATTGCTTCTCCTTTACTTAGGTTTACTGGTAATGAAACTCTAAGTTCACATCTTGGCGGCAACATATACGTTTTTTTTATCGGTGGTGAATAAATTATAGGAATTTTAGCATTTTTTGTAATTAGAGTTAAATTTTTCATATCGATAGAAGCATCTAAAACTTTTAATAATTCGCTTCCTATTAAGCCATCATATCTTTCGTCCACACTATAAACGTAAAATTTATGTTTTATTTGAGTTTTAAAAATGCTAGGCAAGGTAATATAAACAACTTCCTCATGTCTACTTGACGCATGAGTGCTGATGACTTCGAAAGGCTCGAATAGCTTAAAACTTTTATAATAATAATTTGCTACCTCCGGGCTGATAAACGATCTTGTGCTCCCCGTGTCTAACATGAAAACTGCATTCAATTCTGGTATACGTATATGAGGCAAATTTAAAATTTTTGTATAATTAATCTCTATTTTTTCCGTATTGTTGAGGCTATTATAAAAAAATTTCCTATCTGTTCATATTCCCTATCGGCCGAATAAGCGTTAAAATCACCTTGGTTTTGCGAGGTACTAGGTTGAATATTATTTTCAGTGTCTGTATAATTTACGCGTCTTGAACTAGCTGTCCTCATTGTGACGTCAGTACTTGAGTTCGACGACACATGTGGCGCTTGATATTGCATATTATTCGTTGCGTTTCGCGAAAAATGCTGACGGTGTTGCGCCGATGACGGTCGTACTGGCGACCTAGTTGCAGAGTTCGTAATTAAGTTATTTCTATTGTTCATTGTATGATTATTCCCGAAGTGAGGAGAAATATTATTTGAATTAAATGAATTATTTTGGTTATACGATGGATGACCGTTTGTTTGAGATTGAAAACTTGGGCCTTTATAATTATTATTACGGTTAAAGTTAGGATGATTTTGGAAATGGTTTTGTCTAAAATTTTGATTAGACCTTTGGTTCCTATTATCATAGACTGTTTGGAAGTTCTGTTCCTCTAAGACGATTTTTAATGCATCTTCTAAGGTAGTAACATTACGTAGTCTCACTAATCTCACTAAATAAGCAGGTAAATTGTATAAGAAAACATTCAATGCCGCGTTGTCGTATATAGTTTGTTTAGCTAGTCGTAAGTCTCGGTTATTAATAGTTTCGTTTATTTTAGAAAACAAAATGCTTTTTAAATGTTGTACCCGGTGACAAAATTCTTGATAACTTTCGTTTCTATATTTTCTTAGACTTTCTAACTCCATAGCTAAGCATTCTTCGGACCTTGGATCGCCAAAGTGTTGGTTTAGCAACGACTTGAGGTCTGCCCAAGAGTCTATCTGTTCCCTTTCTCCCACTAAATTAGCGGCTTCCCCTGTCAAGCGACTAGTAATGACATGAAATAAATATTCATTTTGTAAATTACTACCTTGGAATCTTTGTAAAATATATTCACATTTTTTTATGAATAAAGGTAGTAGTCTAGCGTCTCCATCAAAAAGTGGGATAATTTTTGTCATCTCTACGGGGATTCTTTCAATGTTTTCCATTTTAAAAATAAAATAACTATCACACACACAAATAAAAAAAAATATACCCAAATAAAATTGATTTAACTAAGATCTACTAATAAAATTTAGATTGCTTAGTAGAAGAGTATTGTTATGGCGTTTTCTAATCCAAGACAATACCTACGTATAACTAGTACAAGAGGGAACAAAAGGAAAGTTACGGGAAGTGAAGAGTTTTACTCACAGTCTCGCAGGTCTGCCCATGTCCCTCTGGGATATTGCTGGTTCTGGAGTCTCGGCTGTTTCTGCTGGAGTCGCGAAGTTCTTAATTTATTTGTTTGTTCGGTGATATTCGTCAAAGCGTTGAAACGCACGTTGTCAGGATACCGATACTGGATCACGATGATTATAACCGACGATACAGATTCTCCTAAACAACTACGAATATCCTACCGGCTGCGCCAATTAAGTTAACAACAACGACTTTACTAAAAAATATAATTTATTTATATAAAGTAACAGCGTTACAACTTATAATTACTTCCAAAACCAATATCAATCTAACAATCAATTATTCTAGTATTTATATAAATTTACATCTTACTAAGCGATCCGTACGGTGACGCACGGCCTACTTATTAGGAGTGCTTGTAAAGCAGATATTAGAGGGGTCATCACTCTTAACCCGCGCGGGCAGCGCGGCGGGGTGAGCGCGGGGCGCGCGGGTGACGTCAACAGCCAGCGGCCCGTGCCGCCGCACTAACATCACTCACCTGTCGGCGAGCAGCGCGAGGCGCGCGGGCAGCGCGGCGGGGTGAGCGCGGGGCGCGCGGGTGACGTCAACAGCCAGCGGCCCGTGCCGCCGCACTAACATCACTCACCTGTCGGCGAGCAGCGCGAGGCGCGCGGGCAGCGCGGCGGGGTGAGCGCGGGGCGCGCGGGTGACGTCAACAGCCAGCGGCCCGTGCCGCCGCACTAACATCACTCACCTGTCGGCGAGCAGCGCGAGGCGCGCGGGCAGCGCGGCGGGGTGAGCGCGGGGCGCGCGGGTGACGTCAACAGCCAGCGGCCCGTGCCGCCGCACTAACATCACTCACCTGTCGGCGAGCAGCGCGAGGCGCGCGGGCAGCGCGGCGGGGTGGGCGCGGGGCGCGCGGGTGACGGCACGCGCGGCGCGCTCCACGTAGCCCAGTGCGCGCTCCACCTGCCCCAGGTCCAGCAGCCGGCACGCCGCTACCAGCTTGTACACCTGCACATTATAACAGACGACTGCCATGGAGAGGGGAAACAACAAGAGATCTGACCGGAACCCAACGCGTTATATGCTTGTCGTGCCCAAAAAGCGAGAATGGCAATACAATACAAATAATTAGGAGACAGTCAAGAGATAACGAGGTTGAGCGTGGTAGACCGACGTTGTTTTAAGTAGGAAGAAGTTTTAATAGATTTAACACATTAATATTTTATTTTTGCTCAACATTTTGTATTGTTTTATAAACCTACCCAGGCGTTTAAAAACTAAAATTGGATACTATAACTTAAAACGAATAAAGACGAAGGAATTCAGACAAGGAAGGATGTTGTCGATATCGCAACAGAATTTTATAAGAACCTCTACGATGTGTAGACTATCGATGCTCTGGAATCTGAACAACACTAGACTAGATAGGTCTATGACTCCATAAATATTGATAAGTTTACCGGAATAGAAATTATTAGAAACATGACAAGCTGGAAAACGATAAAAGTCCCGGTCCTGACGATATCCCTAACGAAGCTTTGAAGCTTGGAAAACATCTAATAGCTACACCTCTCACGAAACTGTTTAATAGAATGTTAGGAAAACGTAGAGTTCCCAAAAATTTACAGAATCAAGAATTATTCTCTTGTGTAAAAAAAGGTGACGCGACGAATGCTAGCAACTATCCCCCTATAAGTCTGATACCTGCGATATATAAAATTTTCCCATTGTGTTTGGAAAAACGGATAAGAGGTCAAATACATGAACAGCAACCGGCAGGACAAGTCGGCTTTCATAGAGGTTTCTGCAGATCATATCCATATCCATACTTTAGATTTAATAATCGAAAAAATTGTAGAGCTCAGTAAACCTTTATATGTCAGTTTTTAGACTATGTAAAAGCATTCGACTCTATATCTCTAGACAGTACAGTCGATTTTAAAAAGCGAAATCGTAATGGTGGACCTCTTATACTAGTGACGAAAGTTGACCGTCTAGCTGCAGCATTAGGTATTAGTGCTCCAACAGTGGCGAAAATAGCAAAGGAACCTACGAAAGCAGTTTCATGGAACAGGACAAGCTATCAAAAACAACTAAGAATAAACATCAGCTCCGTAGCATGATCGCACTTGACAGTTTTGACGCTATTCGTCATCATACAGGGTTATTGTGCAATATACGAGCAAATTTGCAGAGAAGGTTCAGAATAGGTAATATAAGCGAACGGTGAAAAAAAGGTGGATTGTCATTCATAAATATGTAGCGCCTACTATTTTACTACGCACGCACACATTCATAAGGGAGTGTTGAAAAATTCAGAAGCAGTCGGTCGTGTTCGGCGCTCGCGCTCGATTACAGATTTATGATAGTTGTTTTGACTCTGTAAAGACAAGCGCGTCTCCCTATCCTTTCCCTTCCGTAAGCCGTTACACTGCTAGGTATGTTCGTTAATCGACCGGCCGACAGTGTTGACTAGACTATTACGTACGTGTACTATTTTTTTAATTTTCGTAGGTAGTATTATTTGTCACTTCGTTAGCAATGACGCCACGAAAATATTCTAACCGTGAATACTATGAAATGGTAAGGTGTTAAATTTTAAGCAACGAAATTTATGTGGTGCGCAAAGATTATATGAAAGTGGTGATATCCAAGATTTCCTAGGCGATATACCCCTATTATTACTGAATAATTTCTAACACTTCTCATGTAATTAATGTGAAATATAATTGAAGGAAATTTATTTTAATTAACAGTGCACTTACACAGTAGGTAAAAACTTTGTGAATTGAAATACATACACACAGGAGCGCGCGAACGCGTAGTTGATGCCCACAAATCACATTCAATTTGATATACCGTTACTGCAGGTTTTGAAAATACGATTAAATAAGGCTTCTACTTTTACTTGAAATTATTCCAAATTTAATGTGATATATGGGCAACACCGTCTTTGCGTGCGCAGTAAAATCAGTTAAAATAATCCATTACCACACATTTTGAATTTAAAAGATAAAAAGGACAGAATATTTGATTTTTTTTATTAATTTTTTTTCACCATTTGCCTTACTTATTCTAAACCTTCTCTGAAAATTTTGCCGGTTATTGCAAAATAACCCTGTATAAGCGAAATACCACCGACTTACTCACTCACTCATTACAAGATCTTCAAAAATCTACTCATACTAACTGCTCATTTCTCGACATATATGCCCACTAAGATGTATTCTGTATTTCAACCGCTGAGAGGGTGAAATACAGCTTGTACTTTTATATTAATTTTAAGAAACATACGCACCTGTAATTCATCGATGACGTAGTCCTCGTGGCTAAGGGACAAGGCGTATTCGTAGATCTCCGTGGCAAAGATGGCTTCGTTGGTGGCCAGCTGGTTGAGCGTGGTGGCGCGCGGATCGGCCAGCAGCAGGCTGAGGCGCGGCGGTGCGGCGGCTGCGGCTGCGGCTGCGGCCGGCGCGGCCAGCGGCGCCAGCGGGTGGCGCGCGAACGGCACGCCGCTCGACACGTAGCAGAACTGCGCGCAGTACACCAGCCCGCGAGACGCCAAGCTGTCACCTTTACAACCCCCACCCCATAATCGGCAATAATTTTAAGCCTGGTGTTATCCCACGTTACGTGACAGAGCCATGATTCTTAACTAAAGACAAAAATGTAAATGTCTATGGACCACAACATCCACTTACCATCTGGTGAACTGTATGCTCGATTGTGTCTCTTATTCTATAAAAAACAACATGGCACAAAACAAATTTTACATAATGCCTTTTCAAAGTATATCCATGTTCAGCAATGATTTAGACCTCGTATAATCCTCACCCACTTCCCTAAAGGGTTCCCGCTATATCGAAACGGGGGAACTTAGTAGAGACTTAACCACCCACGATAAGCTAATAGAAACTATATTGATTTGTTCGAGGTGTAGACCTCTCCGAATGTGCAGCCGAGGTGGAATTGTGGGAAAAGATGAATGTTGGTATATAAAGACACCGTTCGCCCTATACTCTGCAACCCTGACGGGATCGCACTGCTAATGCTCCGGTGGTGGGGGCGCGGAACAGAGAAGTAATTAGGTTTTTACCCTGGCCCCATGGCCTCCACGTAACGGACTAGGGTTGGTAAGTAAGGTATCTGTTGCACAAGTAGATATGGAATACACGGCCACCATCTCCATTTGCTACGAAAAGCGCTAAGAATAATAGAGGTAGGAGTTGTTTTTCTCTACGAGTAAATATGGGAATACTTTTATAGCAATTCTACTTGATATTTGAAATACATAACAAGCTTGACTAGAGAACCTAGAAAACGAGTTTACGTGGTAGAGGCATACTGCAGCTATATTATGGTTGTAGTACGAATAAGTCGGCTCAGCCGACGAAGGACCACGATCTTACATAATACCAGCGTGAAATAGTAGCTAAATGTGTTTTACATGGTAAGTATTCAATCTTAGTCCTCAGGGGTAACAACGCATTTTGATTCATAATCGGGGATAGATGTAGATGTCTATGGGCCACAGCATCCATTTAATATCAGGTGGACTGTGTGCTTGTTTGTCACACTAATTCTATAAAAAAAAAAGATATTATAAATTCAAGGGACTTTCCAGTTGGGGAGGCACCTTTCTCTCTGTGTCTTTCTCTATCTTGCTCAAGAAATATGGGAATTCTTTAATAGCAATATTATTTGATATTTGAAATAATATGCTTGACTAGATAGAAAACTTGATAGTTCATACCAAGTTGTGTGAGTGCTCTGCGATCGTGCTCGGGCTTGGCGGAGCTGTTGGACAACATGATGGCGGCGTGAGGTCGCCAGTCACCCCACTTCTCCTCCGCAGCACACTGCACAGAAATTTATACGTTTAAAATTATAAAGTATACATACAACATGACGCTTATGAATGAAATGGACAAATTGTATTTTAAATTGTCTTGTGTTAAGTAATAAAATGTACAGGTTGTGCAGCGGATCGGAACGCGGCACGGAGACCGCGAAATGTGTGTGTACATGTGTGTACGTGTATGTACGTGTGTGTACATGTGTGTATGTGAGTGTTCATGTGTGTACGCACGGTGGCGGCGGGCGGCAGGCGCTGCGCCAGAGCGGCATACAGCGTGTGCAGCGGGTCGGAACGCGGCACGGAGGCCGGTGAACGTGTGTGTACATGTGTGTACGTGTGTGTACGTGTGTGTACATGTGTTTACGTATGTGTACGTGAGTGTACGTATGTGTACGCACGGTGGCGGCGGGCGGCAGGCGCTGCGCCAGAGCGGCATACAGCGTGTGCAGCGGGTCGGAACGCGGCACGGAGGCCGGTGAACGTGTGTGTACATGTGTGTACGTGTGTGTACGTGTGTGTACATGTGTTTACGTATGTGTACGTGAGTGTACGTATGTGTACGCACGGTGGCGGCGGGCGGCAGGCGCTGCGCCAGAGCGGCATACAGCGTGTGCAGCGGGTCGGAACGCGGCACGGAGGCCGGTGAACGTGTGTGTACATGTGTGTACGTGTGTGTACGTGTGTGTACATGTGTTTACGTATGTGTACGTGAGTGTACGTATGTGTACGCACGGTGGCGGCGGGCGGCAGGCGCTGCGCCAGAGCGGCATACAGCGTGTGCAGCGGGTCGGAACGCGGCACGGAGGCCGGTGAATGTGTGTGTACATGTGTGTACGTGTGTGTACGTGTGTGTACATGTGTTTACGTATGTGTACGTGAGTGTACGTATGTGTACGCACGGTGGCGGCGGGCGGCAGGCGCTGCGCCAGAGCGGCATACAGCGTGTGCAGCGGGTCGGAACGCGGCACGGAGGCCGGTGAATGTGTGTGTACATGTGTGTACGTGTGTGTACGTGTGTGTACATGTGTTTACGTATGTGTACGTGAGTGTACGTATGTGTACGCACGGTGGCGGCGGGCGGCAGGCGCTGCGCCAGAGCGGCATACAGCGTGTGCAGCGGGTCGGAACGCGGCACGGAGGCCGGTGAATGTGTGTGTACATGTGTGTACGTGTGTGTACGTGTGTGTACATGTGTTTACGTATGTGTACGTGAGTGTACGTATGTGTACGCACGGTGGCGGCGGGCGGCAGGCGCTGCGCCAGAGCGGCATACAGCGTGTGCAGCGGGTCGGAACGCGGCACGGAGGCGAGGAAGCGCGACGCCACGCCGGCTCGCACGCGCCGTTCACTGTACGCCGCCAGCTGCAGGGCGTGGCCCCACAAGTTGTTTGTCATCGCCCACTCTGGTGACAATTATTTCATTTTTAACACTAAAAAGAATTTTCGGCGCGACTCCAACCTTATCGTTAACCTGGCGTGCCTTTTAAGTTCTGTCGTTTACATATTTACCGGCAATTTTGAATTTTAGAACTGCTCAATATTCAAATTTGTTTAAAGTCAGAATCTGAAAACAATTGAAAGTATGTCATTTTATTAATGCTGTTCTTCAGTCACAGAGTCATTTTGAATCTGTCAGGTCACGTATGACAATGAATCTTACTAAGGGAAATATCCGTGCAATAATTTTCTACAACTTTCGAAGAGGTCTAACACGGCTTCAATATTTCGCAAAGCTAATTTCTGTGTTTCATGATAAAGCCCCATGTCTGAGGACTGTCGAACGCTGTTATTTAGAATTCCAACGAGAACATACCAATCTTAGTAACAAATCTCGTAAAGGACGTTCAAAATCCGCCTTCACTGAAGATAACATCGTTGCTGTGAGAAAACTAATTCCCTAAGATCGTCATGTGACATATCGAGAGATAGAAGCGTTATTAGGCATCTCAGGGACAATCATTCAGAAGATCTTGCATAAAGCACTTGGTGTGAGAAAGCTAATTTGCCGTTGGATCCCGCATTTGCTTTCCGACGATCATAAAGCGACCCGCGTCAGATGGTGTAAGAAAACTCTTCAACCGAGGAGAGTCAAATCACGTCATGGACATCATTAGTGGTGACGAATCTTGGATCTATGCCAATGACCTCGATTCTAAACAACAATCTACAATCTGTGTCTTCCAAGACGTGTCCCAGCCGACTAAAGTTGTTCGCTCTTGAAGCACTTCAAAGAAAATACTGGCCACGTTCATTGCGAAAACCGGCCATGTTGCGACGATTGCACTTGAAGATCGTAGACTGGTTAATGCAGAATACCACAGTTTGTTTATCTTATTATATTAAGTTTATAGGGATGAGTCGCTCGCGTCCGTAGGCTTCGACCACCTAATCCTAGGCCCACCCTACACGTGTCCCCCGGGTGGTGCTAAACGAGCGACAAAGCCGAAACGACAGACTCGGCTCCTCGCCGTATGGTAGCGGCATAAAATCTACCACCCCTTAGTTTCGCACCATGAGCCAAGAAGAAAAAGAAATGGCCCCGAGTTCCCGGCGCCCCTTTAATGGGGCAGGGGTGCAAAGAATCTCCGGGAGAAAAAACGGCGACGAGGTTCGCCACCCGTCACGTCCTGTCTCCCGGGGGGGGCGAAAAGTGGATTGCGGAGGCCCGTCTGGCCACGCTGAATGTATGTGGAGCAATGAATGATAAGATGGATGAAGTATGCGAAATGATGAATGATAGAGGAATAGATGTGTTATGTGTAAACGAGACGAAACGAAAGGGAAGAGATGTCACTGCACATGGCATGTATACCGCTTACTGGTCTGGAGTAGACGAGACCGAGCGGGCATGCCAGGGAGTCGGTGTCATCCTTTCAGAAAGAATGGGTCAATGTGTGAAAGAGTATGAATGTGTTAGCCCAAGGCTGCTGTGGATACGAATGAAAGTGGGCTTAAAGAAGTTGTTTGTTTTAGGGGTGTACGCCCCAGATATGTCTAAGCCCACTTATATCCGAGAGCAGTTTTGGGACATGGTAAGGCTGGTGTTGATGAAATGTAAGGAAAATGAAAATATTATTATGTTAGGAGATTTTAATGGAAGGGTTGGGGTGAAGAGGTCTGGTTATGAAAGGATATTAGGAACGTTTGGCGATGAAAGAATAAATGAGAATGGTGAAGACCTCCTCACCGTATGTGTGGAATAGAATCTTTTTGTGGCGAACACTTTCTTTCGCCATAAAAGGATTCACATGTATACATGGGAAAGAGGGGATGATAGAAGCATGATAGATTTTATAATTGTGGATGAAAGAATGAGGAGCGCAGTGGTAGATACAAGGGTTTACCGGGGGTCCAACGTAGGGACGGATCATTACTTGGTCTTATGCCGAATTAATGGTCTATTCAGACGTTGGCGGCATCGGACATCGGTGTCTACCACTGCGTTACAGCGTATAAGAATAGAGAGGTTACAAGATGAAGGTGTGAAAGAGAAGTATAAATGCAGACTGAGGGAAAATATAAGTGGGTTGAATGAATTATGTATGAATGATTTAGAATTGAAGAATGTATGGAATAATATTAAGAAAGTTTTGGTGGATGCAGCCACCGAAGTATGCGGTGTAAGTAAGAGAACGAATGAAAGGAAAAGTAATACGTTGTGGTGGGATGATGAGGTACGGATGGAAGTTGAAGCAAAGAAGAGAGCATGGCTAGATTTACTAGCAACTAAAGCTGGTAATTCTGGCGGTATGAATGATGAGATTGAAAGAAAAAAGGCAGACTTTAGACGTATAAATAAGAGAGTAAAAGAAGTTGTTGAAAGGAAAAAGCAAGAAAGGATAGATAAGAATGATAGAAGGATATCTGATAACTTCCAGGCAAATATTAAAATGTTCTGGAAGCTCGTAAGAACTGCCAGGGGAAATTCAAAACAGCCTAGAATAAATGCTATACGAGACGAGAATGGCTGCATGCTGAATGATGAAGTTTCGAATTTAAAGAGATGGAAGGAATACTTTGAAAGCGTGTTTAAGAGTGAAGAGTCGTCTGGAATAAGTGAAATAGAAATTCCGGAAGAAGTGGAGAGAGGTAGGGAGATAAGTGTAGATGAAATAATGAAAGCAATGAACAGCATGAAAGCAGGTAAGGCAGCCGGATATGATAGAGTATCACTCGAAATGCTAAGGGCTGGAGGGGGTGTGGTTGCAGGCCTGCTGTACACCTTGTTTAATTTATGTTGGGAACTGAAACGGGTACCGGAAGACTGGTGCAAAGCCGTTATAGTCCCAATATATAAGGGAAAAGGGTCGCGGCAGGACTGTAAAAACTACCGTGCTCATATCATATCAGCTTGCTTAGCATTGTGGGCAAACTGTATGCTAAGGTGTTAATTGAAAGAGTTATGGAAGAAACTGATGGAAAAATTTGGGATGTGCAAGCTGGATTTAGAAAGGGGATGGGGTGTACGGATCAAGTCTTTTCCATGCGCATGATAGCGGAGAAGTTTTTGGCTAAAAACCAGAAAGGTTTTTGTGCGTTCATGGACTTGGACAAGGCTTATGACAGAGTGGACAGGAATGTGTTATGGCAAACACTGAACTCATTTGGGTTGAGCGCTGGCTTGATACAGGCATTGAGATCTCTTTATAGGGACTCTAGTGCTTGTGTCAGGATCAACGGGGTCTACTCGGACTGGTTTGGCATTCATAAAGGTGTCAGACAGGGATGTGTGGCTTCCCCGTGGCTGCTTAACTTATTTATGGACAGTTGTTTGCAAACTTTGAAAGTTGAAGAATGTGGGTTGAGAATGGGTGAGTCAACCGTCAAATGCCTTTTGTACGCCGATGATCAAGTCATATTTGCATCGTCGGCGGCCGAGTTGCAAATGATGGTTACTTTAATGAATTGGTCATTGAAAGAAAGGGGTATGAAAGTGAACGCAAGTAAGACGAAAGTGATGGTTTTTGAAAGAGAAGAAAGTAAAACTTTATGTGAAATAAGAATAGAAGGGGAGTTGATTGAGCAAGTGGATGAGTTTGTATATTTGGGATGTTTATTTAGCAGGGATGGTAGATATGATAAGGATATAGAACGACGAGTGAACGCAGGAAATAGAGTGAATGGGGCTCTACACTATTATGAGGAGTCAGAATGTGTCAACTAAGGCACGTATGGCAATTCATAATGCTGTATTAGTCCCTACTTTAATGTATGGTAGTGAAAGTTGGGTCTGGCAGAAGAAGCATGAGAGTAGAATAAATGCTGTAGAAATGCGTTCCTTAAGGAGTATGCTAGGGCTGAATCTGAATGACAGGGTGAGAAATAGTGTGATAAGAGAAAAGTGTGGTTTGCAAAATGACATTGTGACAAGGATTAAAAAAGGAATGCTTCGGTGGTTTGGTCATGTAGAAAGAATGAACGAGGAAAGAGTGACAAAGCAAATTTATGTTGCGGAAGTGAACGGCAGGGTCGGGAAGGGACGCCCTAGACGAAGGTTTATCGACCAAATCGGCGATACATTAAAAATGGGCCAGATTAGGAGTACCCTTAACCGACGAGCGTGTATGCGTAGATATATGGATGTAAAAGAGGCGAGAGAGGTGTGTCAGGATCGCGCCAAATGGAAGTCCGTAGTCTCTGCCTACCCCTCTGGGTGACAGGCGTGAGTGTTTATGTATGTATGTATGTATGTATGTTTATCAAAAGTCATCGCCAAACTTCGTAAATCTAACTCAAAGCGACGCATCATCCTACACCATGAGAACGCAAGCTCACATAGCGCCGGTCAAACGATTGATTATTTGAAGCAGAAAAACGTAGAAATTCTTGACCATTCTCCATATACTCCCGACCTAAGCCCTAGAGATTTCTTTACATTTCCTAAAATTAAGAAAAATCTTCGTGGTCAAAGGTTCCAGTCCGGTAAAGAGACAGTCTAAGCTTTCAAAATAACCATATTGAACACCGCCACTTTAGAGTGAAATAAATATTTTAATAACTAGTTCGAGCGAATGGAAAAGTGTATTTGAACAACAATAAAAAGTACTTATAACGTCTTAATTGTATATTTTGGTCAAACGACAAAACTTAAAAGGCATGCCTCGTATAGGTTATTACTCAAAGAGAAGCCAAATATTACATTTTTTGAATATACGAGTAAAATAAGGTCGCAATATTAAGGACAGAATATCTGAGATTTTTTTTAAACAATAGCAATTGCTGGTTGCTAGCCCAGCACGAACTTTGCGTCGCCACTGAAGAAATCTTTAAATAAGTAGTACAGATCTTTTGGATTTTGTTTTGGTTTTTAATACACTTTTTGAAGTACAAAACTTCTTTAGAATCTTTGTGATTTGAAACTCGATAAAACGAAAAAGCGTCACTAAAAAGAGACAAACATAATATACATCTGTAGAATTTAGCCTATGAGAGAATGAGACAGGGCTCGAGCTATTTAAAAAGTGGAAAGGCGGCAATTATTTTATATCATAATACATCATAATACATAATATTATACATCATGATCGCGTAGAGAATACCAAATGAGACATTTTGTCAAAAACTTTTGAGTAATCTGTATACACAGTATCTACTTCAAAGGCGTTATTCATATTCTGTAATGCGATGTCAACGAATTGACATAAATTTATGACTACAATTAATAGCAAGGTTATTTAGGATTAACTCGTAAAAACTTATGATCACAGTACCTAAGTGACCCCGTATGATAAAACACCTGCAGCCAACATTCCACCAGGAAGGCTACAGATGACTTTTCACCTGTGAGAACTAAGATGTCTGTAATCATACTGACTCTCTATACCCTTCAGACTAAAACACAGTAATGCAAACACTTCTATTCGGCACCAGAAGTGTATAAAATAAGTACTACCCCTACGGTTAAAGAATGGGATTGAAAATGGCGTCGCCTCTTTCACCTCTCGCTCGCACACTGTCGCTATAACAACAAAAAAGTTGCGATATTCGTTTTTCGGTACGTTCCATAACTTTCGTACAACTTGTTATTGGAATCAATGAACAAAGTGCTATATACTACAAAAAAAAAAAATCAGTCCGGTTTCGCGAATTTGTGAGCTAGACGAGGTTTAAGAGTTTTGTTCAAAATTATTGTTAATTTGGTTTGTTAATATTTTTGTATAAAAATTTACATGTCATTGAGACGTTTGTCTATCAGTCTGTCCGACCTAATCTTCGAAATGGCTGAACCGATTGTAATAAAACTTCACGAACAAATAGAGAGTAATACCAAAAATAATATAGACTAAATTTTATCCAAGAAATTCTGAGATTTTATTAAAATAGCAATATAGATTCTTATTAATATTGCTATTTTAATAAAATTAAAATTGTTAGTTTTTAGTTATAAAGATATACCGTTCCTAGCGGGTTTTCGCAATTCGTACTGTGCATGCTGATGGTACGGGCTCGATGAGCCATTTCTAATCCCATTCTTTATCCTTACGGTCTGTATAGAAAATAATTACCTATCCAGTCGAACTTCTAGGCTGAAAAGATATCCTATCACCTAATAAAATTCCTAAGGTATCTGTGTGTTTGGAAGATTCATTGGATCATTCACATTAAAAAAAGGTGCATCTTTCACGTACTTCTATACAACATCCGCTACTCACCCAGAGCCTCCTGCCTGTTCCCGTAGATGAGGTACTCGCGTAAGCGATCCAGCGCCGCTTTCTCGTGTAAAGGAGACTGTGTTGAACTCTCTTCTTCGGGAGCTGAAACAAGTAATATTTCAGATTAAAAAAAATAAAAAATGTTGCCCCTACACTAATTACATTTTGGTCACGTGACCATGAGTGTTTTAAAACATTCTCGCCAATTAAAAAAAATCATGAAGTCTCTCTTATAATCAATTTAAAAAAAAACTTAAATAACAATTAATTAAATAATATATCTCTTTATTTATTAATCTATTAGAGCATACTTTACTAAAAAAATCTAATTTACTAGTTGATTAAATTAGATAATATTACATAAAATATTATAACACATCGACTGCACTCTGTATAATACTTACGCGTGAGATCTGCAGACACACTCGGTTGTTCTGGTGAAGAAATACGCTCTTCCTCACGACCTTCGGCCGATACTGATGACTCGCGACGACTCCCTGAAACATTGCTTCATTTCTTAGCCCTTCAAATATGTACTTATGACACCGATTATTGATTAAAACCGTAAGCCTCATTGAAAACAATAAACTTACAATGAATTTAACAGGGCCAATGATTAATATTTATAACCTATGAAATAATAATTTCGGTGGTCCTTCGTGCATTTGTCAATCTTTCAGTGTTACCAGTCTTAAAGTTATTTTTTTTATGTTCAATGTAAGCGAATTCTCAATTTATAGTTCTATACTAACCAACCAAATTTAAATGTTAATGTGGTGATTTTAATAAATTTTTGAGAATAGATTTATTTGACACTAGTTAATTAAAGTAAGTAAAAATATTATAATCATAGTTTTTACAGTCAAATAATTTTCGTATTATGTTTAACTAAAATTTGCTACATTTAGCAATGTCTTGACACTTGGTTGTTTTCCCTTTTTTAAGAATAATTAGAATTTAATTATTTAAAAATATAATGATGTGCCAAATACCCTATTCAGGTAATACATCAGTACAACTGACCTGACCGCGGCGTGATCTTGTTCAAGCCCTTGTACTCATACTCGCGTGTGTTCTTCATCAGCAGCTCCGCAATGTCCGAGCCCACTACCACCTGTCGGCATCAACACATGGCATTAATTAGAATATGTAAAAAATATTAAATAATATGGAAGTCCTAAACCTATCACGAATAACATTTAAAAAAGTTTTCATAGTTGCAAGAAAATACATGTATTCCTCGACGTCGTTACATTTAAGGTTAAAATATAAGCATATTATGTACATTAGAAATAAAAAAGGTCATAAACCTTTTATTACCATACACCACATTACCATTACAGCTAGGGGCACTTGCTTTAATGCCTTAAACTTCAAAAAAGAATAGGGTATTACACCCATTTTCAAAAAGTATTTTAAATGAATCCTAGAGTGATAATGAACCACTATAATTTTTATATAAATTTTTTAAAACTGAATAGTGACATAAAAATTACTTTTAATCTATCGTTTTAAAATTTCCCGTGAAAACGCTAGCCGCCATACTGTTCAACTCGTGACGTCACTGTCTTAGAATTTTCACAATTTTGCAAAGGAATAAGATACTTTTGAATGTTTAATAATGAGTTATCGTCTATATCATTGTTGTGTTGTGCCTTATTGCAAAAATACGAGCATAAGAACGCCGGGGACGTTATGGATTAAAGTGCCAACTAATTTAAATATGACAAATACTTGCTTAAAACTGGCAAGAGACCCGAAGGCATTGTCTACAAAATCTAAACTATACTTCTGTGAAGATCACTTTGATGTAAGTATGACTTATATTTAACTATCGATTAAACAAAACAAAACATCATGACATGATAGGTACCTATTGCAAGTCAAATTTTGTAATAGATTAGGTTAAACGCTTGTCTGTCCCGCCCTTTGTGGGCATTTTGATAGTCCTTGCAAGTGCAGTGCAGTGTATTACTTAATTTCTGTTTTCTTCTATTATATGGGAATAAAGACATGGTTTGTACTCAAACCAAAAAAAAAATGTGACTTTTTATTTCGTCTGAGGCTTTGTACAAAAAAATATAACAAAAAGTTTTTCTCACTTAAGCTTATATTATATCTATAACATTAGTGCTAAAAGCGAAGTAATAAACTCGCTTTTACGAATCCGTCTTCGATGATGCCTTTTCAATGAAATTCGGAATAAAAGTAATGATAACATGAAAAATTTCGAAATTAGCTAGTTAGTACACAGCACATAACTTCTTTCTTTGAACTAGTGACGTCACGACGCTATATAATATGGCGGACATCGTTTTGCAGATTTGAAGCACATGTAAAAAAAATATTCTTTAAATTGAAATATAAAATTTATAATTCATTTTTATAAATAGAAATCAATATTTCTCGTTTACTTTTTTTTATAGGATAAGGGTGACAAACGAGCACACAGTCCACCTGATGGTAAGTGTTTGCTGCGGCCCATAGACATCTACATCTATCCTCTATTCCAAATCAAAATGTAGATGCGTTGTCACCCGTGAGGACTACGATGGAATGCCTCATTTCCAGTAAAAAGGGCCTCCGGCCACCTGCACTCACCAAGCGAAACGCAGAGGTAAACTTCTACTTCACGCTGGTTTTCTGTGAGGTCGTGGTACCACCCCGGTTCGAGCCGGCCCATCCGTGCGACAGCAAAAGCTGCCGCGTGGCTCTACCACTGTTGAACCGGGGTGGTACCACGACCTCACAGAATACCAGCGTGAAGTAGAGGTTTACCTCTGCGTTGCGCTTGGTGAGTGCAGGTGGCCGGAGGCCCAATCCCCCCCCTTCCTCCCCATCAACATGGTAGTGGAATTAAATAAAAGACTACCCCAGGAGGGTACCAGCACCCCTGGAGAATTCCTCGCTGAGCATCCACGACCAAACTACTTCACTCCTGAGCGTGGGTGCTCACCCCTGTCACGCTATCCGTGAATTTTTGCAACATCAGGGGACTTCATTCCAACCTTAACGCTGTCCACACCATCTGGAGACGGCGAAGCCGGCCTTACTCTTTTTAACCGAGACTCAGGTGTCCTCTCCGGCTGATATCTGTTTTCGACGCCTTGGCAGTCTTGAAGGTACGGACCTGTCCATCCTATGGCTGCGCGTAGACAACGACGACCATCCCCGCGTCTACGGGTGCCTCTATAGGTCCCATAGCGGTAATGCCGACACAGACCAACTCATCGATCACGTCCAAATGGCTGCAGACTCCGTGCTACAACAGGTCCCATCCGCAGAGATCGTGATACGATCCCTAAAAAAGGCGACCGCTCAGACCCGTCCAACTACAGGCCTCTTGCCATCACCTCCTTGTTCTCCAAAATAATGGAATCCATTATAAACTGCCAGCTCATGAGGTACCTTGAGGATCACCAGCTGACTAGTGACAGCCAGTACGGTTTTCGTCGAGGTCGATCAGCTGGTGATCTTCTAGTCTATCTGACTCATAGATGGGCGGAGGCAGTAGAGTCCAAGGGGGAGGCAATGGCCGTTAGTTTGGACATAGCGAAGGCCTTCGATCGGGTCTGGCACAAAGCGCTTCTTTCGAAACTTCCTTCCTATGGGCTACCCGAGAAATTATGCAAATGGATCACCAGTTTCCTTGCTGATCGAAGCATCAATGTCGTAGTAGACGTTGCATGCTCTGATTTCAAGCCTATCAACGCTGGTGTTCCACAAGGCTGCGTGCTATCACCAACGCTGTTTCTCCTGCATATCAATGATATGTTGCTAACTGGTAGCATTCATTGATATGCGGACGACAGCACTGGTGATGCCTTATATACCGGCCGTGCCAATATTTCTCGGGAAAACGTCGCTGAGTACCGGGACAAACTTGTGTCTGAAGTCGAGTCTTTGCTTAACAAAGTCTCGGATTGGGGCCGACTAAATCTAGTCCAGTTCAATCCCCAGAAAACACATGTTAACATTTTGTACATTTTCTAATAACATCCGGTTGGCAAATACTCTGCTTTGTATTGTATTGCCTATAGATTCGACTTTTGCGGAAGTCAAATCCAAATCCCTATTTTATTCTTGCTATAAATGCTGAAGGCTAGACAGTGAAAGGGTCATTCGTAGATCAACAGTCGTAGCGCATAGACGTGTATTGTGGAATCTATGTAAATTATACTAGATTAGTGTAGTGTTCACGACGATTGTGATAAAGTATTTTGGTGTGTGATAATAAGTGGATACATGTGTTGTAAAGACTAACGCCACATGAAATATACAGTTGTTTAAAAACAAGCATTTAATTTTATGTACCGCCATTCCTGTGCAAAAGTTCGTCGATATTAACATCTCAGAAGTGGGATACCGCTGAAAAGGAACTAATGTAAGTAAAGAGTTTTAAAAGAATATTTCTTTTTAGCCTTAATTTATTTATTAAGTATGACTATGAAACTTTTTCATCTTAAGGAAACAATAGTCTGAATTTTAGTAATATTTTTCGTAACACTGAAATATAATCAATTAAGAAAATATGCAAATTATACAAGTTTTTTTTTTGACAAGTATAACTCTTTCAGCATAGAAAAGGGTCATAATATAAATAATCGACTTGTGAGTCTACATAATATGTGGTGTAATAATAGTATTAAACTTTAGCTAAACATTTTTAAATGAACTATGTCAAAGAAGAGAACACAAACTTCATTTTCACTATAATATGCACAATAATTATTTTACGAATAAGTAGTTAGCTTCACTAAATGAAGTTATAATTTTTTTTTGTATCGATACAATAATTTATTTTTTATTTTCATGACTCATCATGTCTAAACGGGTCGGCAATAATTCCCGAAAGCTGAGATCTCTTTCGCGAGATGAGCTACGAGAGACGAGATCATCAAGGTCCCGGCGTCGATCTGATCGTGGCACGTTCAGCCGTGAGCGTTCTCGGTCGCAACGCAAATGCAAGGAGAATAAATCCCGGCACAATCGCCGCCAGTGGCGGCGAAGGACGTCAAGCAGCAGTTCACCAGCGTCAATAGATGAACCAAGGTACAACGAAACAAAATTATTTCAAAAATTTATAGATGTTATAAAAGATTTCAAGAACGTAGGTGATCGTGGTAAATTTCCTGTCTTTAATAACTTTATTCCCGAATTCTACCCGCTTTGTAAAGAACAATCAATAGACGCATGGATCCATAAGATTGAGTAGTGTGCGAAAATTTATAATTGGGATAAAAGACAAATTATACGTTACTCCTTGCCTAAATTAAGTGGGGTAGCAAAAACGTGGTATCAGGGCTTACTTTACTTTTTTCCTGGTCTGAATGGAAGTTCAAACTAAAGGAGTCTTTTCCTTCACGTGATAACTACGCAGAATTATTAACAGAGATGCTCAGTAAGAGAGTTCGTTTTGGTGATTCGCTAGAACTTTATTATTCAAAAATGAACTTCCTCAATCGTTGTGAGATATTTGGGAAAAGAGCCGTCGACTGTTTAATTGCTAGCATTGACGATAGGGGTATTAGATTAGGGGCACAAGGTGCAGAATTTGGTGAACCTGAACAAGTGTTAAAAATTTTCAAATCTATTAAAGCTGGTCAAAACAAAAACTCCAATGATAAACTTTTATTAAAAGATCGAGAACTCCGATCAAATACTACGATAATTAACAATACGCAACCTATTTCAAAACCTAACGCATCGCAAAGGCATAATTACAGTCAAATGACATGCTTTAATTGTAAAGAGATAGGACATCCATTCTTTCGTGGTAATAAACTTAAGTTTAGATGTAATAATTGTAATTTTTCGGGACATATAACCTCAGAGTGCCCTAATAGCAAGACCCTTGACGGGGTTACTGAAAATGATGCAAATTGGAAATAGAGTGACAGCAAAATTTAAACTTTTGAGATACTTAAAACTAAACTCACGGAAAGGCCAATTTTATCTCTTTATAATCCGGATCTGGAAACTCAACTTCATACAGACGCATGTAAATTTGGAGTCGCTGGGATCTTATTGCAGAGAGATGACTCAGGATTGTTTAAACCAATAGCTTATTATAGCCGACAAACTTCGGTAGACGAACAAAAACTTCATTCTTATGAACTAGAAACCTTGGCAGTAATAGCATCATTGAATAAATTTAGGGTTTATTTATTAGGGCAAAAATTTAAAATTGTAACGGACTGCAATGTTTTACGGAGCACTTTGACAAAAAGAGACGTAGTACCACGGATCGCCAGATGGTGGACCCAATTTATGGAGTTCGATTGCGAAATAGAGTATCGGCGTGGGGAAAGGATGGCATATGTGGACGCGTTAAGTAGTAGAGGAGAGTAGAAAGTACTGGGAATAATGAGCAGGCCCTAGACGTTCTTAATGTTGGTACGGAAGATTGGTTAATTACAGTTCAGCAAAATGACGATGAAGTTAAGCGAATTGGGTGTGTCCTTCAAAGTCCAGTGACAAAAGAAGTTACGGATATTTTAAAGAATTTTAAGTTGAAAAACGGGCGAATATACAAAGTTATGACTGATAACACTTTGAAATGGGTGATACCCAAAGGGGCTAGGTAGCAAATTCTTAAAAGCAACCATGACGACATTGGTCACTTTGGGTACGACAAAACACTTTCTCGTATCAAAGAATCATATTGGTTTCCCAAAATGCGTCGGTTTATAAAAAAAAAGTATGTTGCAGCTTGTATGAAATGTGCTCCTTATAAAGTACCGGGTGGAGCGAAAGCAGTAGAATTCCATCCACTTCCAAAGATTGATAAACCATTCCATACGATCCATGCGGACAATTTGGGCTCTTTTGTAAGATCAAAACGCGGAAATACATATATTCTTATAATCGTAGTTGCATTTACAAAATATATAAACCCCCACACCAGTTCAAAACACTAAATCTACCACTTCGATTAGAGTATTTCGCGAGCATATCAGCTATTTTGGAACACCGTTTAGGTTTATTACAGATCAAGGGACTAGTTTTACTAGCATTAAATTTAAATCGTATATCAAATCTAGTGGAATAAAACACGTGTATAATGCTGTAGCAACTCTACGTGCCAACGGCCAATTTGAGCGATATAACCGTTCTATTCTAGCAGCTCTCGCAACAATGAATCACGATAAACCAAACGCTATTTGGGACGAACATCTGCCCGACATTCAGCTTGGGCTCAACACAACCATACATGCAAGTACAAAAAAGACTCCAACCGAACTTCTATTTGGGTATAAAGTAACTAATCCAAGTCAAGGCATATTAAATGAAGTTATTTTAGAAGTAGCACCCGATACAACGGCAAATAATTTAAATTAAATTAGATCCGAAGCTAATGAACTTATTTAAAATAAACAAAATAAAGATAAAGAAAGATATGATAAACATAGAAATACCGTGGTTATATTTAATAAAGGAGATTCAGTAAGAGTAATTGAAGCAGTTACTGGTGTGTAGAAGGGCAATCAAAAAAATTGAGCCGAAATGTCAAGGGCCTTATACGATAAAAAAAAAGTTCTACCAAATGATCGTTTTGTAATCGAGGACACTCCTTTATCAAGAAAGGGGAGGCGTTACGAGGCTGTTGTTGCCATTAATAAAATTTTTCCTTGGATCATGTTTAATCATAATGCGTCTACTGATTGTGATGAGAATTCAAGTGATAACAATAGCGATAGTGATGATGATTAAAAAGAAAAGACTGATTGTTGTATGAGATAATTTTTAAGTTCTGAGTGAGGATCGAAATCCTTAGCCAAGGTCTTCGGCTGGAGTTGCAATGCCCACTCTTGTGTCTGCAATCGATGTTATGGATTGTCTGCTCAAGCGTGAGGGGTCGTTATCCCCTGACTAAGGTAATGTGTCGGTATGCACTCCCACTCGTTTGAATCTGTAAAAATATTGAATATAAGCTTTAGGTTTTGAGTGAGGGTCGTAATCCCTAGCCAAGGTCTTCGGCTGGAGTAGCAATACCCACTCTTGTCTGCAATCGATGTTATGGATTGTCTGCTCAAGCGTGAGGGGTCGTTATCCCCTGACTAAGGTAATGTGTCGGTATGCACTCCCACTCGTTTGAATCTGTAAAAATATTGAATATAAGCTTTAGGTTTTTGAGTGAGGGTCGTAATCCCTAGCCAAGGTCTTCGGCTGGAGTAGCAATACCCACTCTTGTGTCTGCAATCGATGTTATGGATTGTCTGCTCAAGTGTGAGGGGTCGTTATCCCCTGACTAAGGTAATGTGTCGGTATGCACTCCCACTCGTTATTAAAAGTACATAAGATAATTTATATAAGTTGAAAGATGAAATGTAAACCAAAAAAAAAGTTAATTGTATAATTAGTTTAAATTATAATGAACCTATCCTTAACTATAAGAAATGTATTTAGCTTTTAAGAGCCTTAGGAAATATTACTTCTGGTTTTATGTTACAATAAATTATATTTTAAGACTTAATACAAAATGTAACTAGCGTATAAATTAAACTAATTATTAGGATCCAAATATGGTTGAATATTAATGTGATTTAATGATTTCTTGTCTTCACTACCGTATATTTCAGTTTCTTTAAAATCAATGTGATATGATAATAATAATTATAATAATTAGATCAACTTATAGAAGTAATAAGCAGATTAACTGTGGTATTGCAAATTTATATGTTTTTTGTTATATCTAAATTTATGATCATATTAAATGATTATGAACTAACTGAATTACTTAACTTGTTAATGTAGACATAAAATCGCAACGAGGGACTCGTTGATAAACGGATGGCCGAGTTGTTAACATTTTGTACATTTTCTAATAACATCCGGTTGGCAAATACTCTGCTTTGTATTGTATTGCCTATAGATTCGACTTTTGCGGAAGTCAAATCCAAATCCCTATTTTATTCTTGCTATAAATGCTGAAGGCTAGACAGTGAAAGGGTCATTCGTAGATCAACAGTCGTAGCGCATAGACGTGTATTGTGGAATCTATGTAAATTATACTAGATTAGTGTAGTGTTCACGACGATTGTGATAAAGTATTTTGGTGTGTGATAATAAGTGGATACATGTGTTGTAAAGACTAACGCCACATGAAATATACAGTTGTTTAAAAACAAGCATTTAATTTTATGTACCGCCATTCCTGTGCAAAAGTTTGTCGATATTAACACACAAGTTTGCGCGTTTACCGCTAAAAAGAACCCCTTTGTCGTATCTCCTCAGTTTCTAGGCATTCCCCTTGCTGCCTCAGCTAGTATCGGAATCCTTGGCGTCGACATATCGAATAGTGTGCAGTTTCGTGGTCACTTGGAAGGGAAGGCCAAATTGGCCTCTAAAAAGCTTGGCGAGACAGTACTTCATGCCGGCACATCGCTTGCAACTTTACAAAGCGCAAGTTCGGCCCCACATGGAATACTGTTTCATCTCTGAGCCGGGGCGCCCCAGTGCCAGCTCCTTCCACTTGACCGCATCCAGCGCAGAGCGGTTCGAATCGTCGACGACCGAGTTCTTTCTGATCGGCTCGATACACTGGCACTGCGTAGAGATGTTGCATCTCTTTGCGTATTTTATCGCATCTATCACGGGGAGTGCTGTGAGGAATTGTTCGGACTAATTCCAGCCGCTCAATTTCACATCGCACATCGCGACAAAACTCGCGTTACCATCCATACCATCTGGATGATTGGCGGTCCACCACTGTGCGATTTAGAAGTAGTTTTCTCCCTCGCACAATTTCTTTGTGGAATCAATTACCACCAGCGAATTTTCCGAACCGATACGACTTAGGAACCTTCAAGAAAAGAGCTTACACCTTTCTAAAAGACCGGCAACGCATCTGCAATTCCCCTGGTGTTGCGGTTGTTCATGGGCGGCGGTAGTCACTTATCATCAGGTGAGCCGCATGCTCATTTGCCCCCTCTTCTATATAAAAAAAAGATGTCTATGGGCCGCAGCAACCATTTACCATCAAGTGGACTGTGTGCTCGTTTGTCACCCTTATCCTATAAAAAAAAGTGTATAGACAAGGCTGATAGAAAGCGATATACCCCGTTCTGGCGCAGCAGCAGCGCCAGCAGCTCCCACACCAGCACGTAGCCCAGCGGGTCGAGCGCGCACAGCTTGCCCGCGTTACTGATCCGCGACGTGCAGTAGTCGATCACGCTCTTCTTGTGAGTTACGCCTGCGAATACAAATGTTACAGTGTATCAACAAATATAATAGTTTTATAGACTTGATACTTTTGCATTGATGTTATTGTGAATCCACACAATGCATTTTCATCAAATAACAGCAATATTTATGAGTGTTTACAGGGAACGAGGAGGAAAATCGAGAAACAATTAGTAGGAATATAAAAAGTGGCAGCTAAGTGAAAAATATATTATTAGAAAATATAAGTTAAAAGTAATAACCTATATCATCATCAATCTGATATAAGATATTCTAATAATATAGTTCTTTTATTTCAAATGGGCCGTTTGGAATTTATAGATAGATATAATACATCGCGGATTTAAACTATGGTTTAAGTAGTCCCTAAGCCGAAGCGCCACAGTCGCGCAGTGTATGTGTGTGTGTGTGTGTGTGTGTGTGTGTGTGTGTGTGTGTGTGTGTGTGTGTGTGTGCGCGCGCGCGTGTAGGTGTGTGTACATGAGGGTGTGCGTCACTTCTGGCGAGCGGGCCGGGGTACGCGAGCAGGTGCTGCAGCGCGGGGTCGCGCAGTGTTGTGTGTGTGTGCGTGTAGGTGTGTGTACATGTGGGTGTGCGTCACCTCTGGCGAGCGGGCCGGGGTACGCGAGCAGGTGCTGCAGCGCGGGGTCGCGCAGTGTTGTGTGTGTGTGCGTGTAGGTGTGTGTACATGTGGGTGTGCGTCACCTCTGGCGAGCGGGCCGGGGTACGCGAGCAGGTGCTGCAGCGCGGGGTCGCGCAGTGTTGTGTGTGTGTGCGTGTAGGTGTGTGTACATGTGGGTGTGCGTCACCTCTGGCGAGCGGGCCGGGGTACGCGAGCAGGTGCTGCAGCGCGGGGTCGCGCAGTGTTGTGTGTGTGTGCGTGTAGGTGTGTGTACATGTGGGTGTGCGTCACCTCTGGCGAGCGGGCCGGGGTACGCGAGCAGGTGCTGCAGCGCGGGGTCGCGCAGTGTTGTGTGTGTGTGCGTGTAGGTGTGTGTACATGTGGGTGTGCGTCACCTCTGGCGAGCGGGCCGGGGTACGCGAGCAGGTGCTGCAGCGCGGGGTCGCGCAGTGTTGTGTGTGTGTGCGTGTAGGTGTGTGTACATGTGGGTGTGCGTCACCTCTGGCGAGCGGGCCGGGGTACGCGAGCAGGTGCTGCAGCGCGGGGTCGCGCAGTGTTGTGTGTGTGTGCGTGTAGGTGTGTGTACATGTGGGTGTGCGTCACCTCTGGCGAGCGGGCCGGGGTACGCGAGCAGGTGCTGCAGCGCGGGGTCGCGCAGTGTTGTGTGTGTGTGCGTGTAGGTGTGTGTACATGTGGGTGTGCGTCACCTCTGGCGAGCGGGCCGGGGTACGCGAGCAGGTGCTGCAGCGCGGGGTCGCGCAGTGTTGTGTGTGTGTGCGTGTAGGTGTGTGTACATGTGGGTGTGCGTCACCTCTGGCGAGCGGGCCGGGGTACGCGAGCAGGTGCTGCAGCGCGGGGTCGCGCAGTGTTGTGTGTGTGTGCGTGTAGGTGTGTGTACATGTGGGTGTGCGTCACCTCTGGCGAGCGGGCCGGGGTACGCGAGCAGGTGCTGCAGCGCGGGGTCGCGCAGTGTTGTGTGTGTGTGCGTGTAGGTGTGTGTACATGTGGGTGTGCGTCACCTCTGGCGAGCGGGCCGGGGTACGCGAGCAGGTGCTGCAGCGCGGGGTCGCGCAGTGTTGTGTGTGTGTGCGTGTAGGTGTGTGTACATGTGGGTGTGCGTCACCTCTGGCGAGCGGGCCGGGGTACGCGAGCAGGTGCTGCAGCGCGGGGTCGCGCAGTGTTGTGTGTGTGTGCGTGTAGGTGTGTGTACATGTGGGTGTGCGTCACCTCTGGCGAGCGGGCCGGGGTACGCGAGCAGGTGCTGCAGCGCGGGGTCGCGCAGTGTTGTGTGTGTGTGCGTGTAGGTGTGTGTACATGTGGGTGTGCGTCACCTCTGGCGAGCTGGCCGGGGTACGCGAGCAGGTGCTGCAGCGCGGGGTCGCGCAGTGTTGTGTGTGTGTGCGTGTAGGTGTGTGTACATGTGGGTGTGCGTCACCTCTGGCGAGCGGGCCGGGGTACGCGAGCAGGTGCTGCAGCGCGGGGTCGCGCAGTGTTGTGTGTGTGTGCGTGTAGGTGTGTGTACATGTGGGTGTGCGTCACCTCTGGCGAGCGGGCCGGGGTACGCGAGCAGGTGCTGCAGCGCGGGGTCGCGCAGTGTTGTGTGTGTGTGCGTGTAGGTGTGTGTACATGTGGGTGTGCGTCACCTCTGGCGAGCGGGCCGGGGTACGCGAGCAGGTGCTGCAGCGCGGGGTCGCGCAGTGTTGTGTGTGTGTGCGTGTAGGTGTGTGTACATGTGGGTGTGCGTCACCTCTGGCGAGCGGGCCGGGGTACGCGAGCAGGTGCTGCAGCGCGGGGTCGCGCAGTGTTGTGTGTGTGTGCGTGTAGGTGTGTGTACATGTGGGTGTGCGTCACCTCTGGCGAGCGGGCCGGGGTACGCGAGCAGGTGCTGCAGCGCGGGGTCGCGCAGTGTTGTGTGTGTGTGCGTGTAGGTGTGTGTACATGTGGGTGTGCGTCACCTCTGGCGAGCGGGCCGGGGTACGCGAGCAGGTGCTGCAGCGCGGGGTCGCGCAGTGTTGTGTGTGTGTGCGTGTAGGTGTGTGTACATGTGGGTGTGCGTCACCTCTGGCGAGCGGGCCGGGGTACGCGAGCAGGTGCTGCAGCGCGGGGTCGCGCAGTGTTGTGTGTGTGTGCGTGTAGGTGTGTGTACATGTGGGTGTGCGTCACCTCTGGCGAGCGGGCCGGGGTACGCGAGCAGGTGCTGCAGCGCGGGGTCGCGCAGTGTTGTGTGTGTGTGCGTGTAGGTGTGTGTACATGTGGGTGTGCGTCACCTCTGGCGAGCGGGCCGGGGTACGCGAGCAGGTGCTGCAGCGCGGGGTCGCGCAGTGTTGTGTGTGTGTGCGTGTAGGTGTGTGTACATGTGGGTGTGCGTCACCTCTGGCGAGCGGGCCGGGGTACGCGAGCAGGTGCTGCAGCGCGGGGTCGCGCAGTGTTGTGTGTGTGTGCGTGTAGGTGTGTGTACATGTGGGTGTGCGTCACCTCTGGCGAGCGGGCCGGGGTACGCGAGCAGGTGCTGCAGCGCGGGGTCGCGCAGTGTTGTGTGTGTGTGCGTGTAGGTGTGTGTACATGTGGGTGTGCGTCACCTCTGGCGAGCGGGCCGGGGTACGCGAGCAGGTGCTGCAGCGCGGGGTCGCGCAGTGTTGTGTGTGTGTGCGTGTAGGTGTGTGTACATGTGGGTGTGCGTCACCTCTGGCGAGCGGGCCGGGGTACGCGAGCAGGTGCTGCAGCGCGGGGTCGCGCAGTGTTGTGTGTGTGTGCGTGTAGGTGTGTGTACATGTGGGTGTGCGTCACCTCTGGCGAGCGGGCCGGGGTACGCGAGCAGGTGCTGCAGCGCGGGGTCGCGCAGTGTTGTGTGTGTGTGCGTGTAGGTGTGTGTACATGTGGGTGTGCGTCACCTCTGGCGAGCGGGCCGGGGTACGCGAGCAGGTGCTGCAGCGCGGGGTCGCGCAGTGTTGTGTGTGTGTGCGTGTAGGTGTGTGTACATGTGGGTGTGCGTCACCTCTGGCGAGCGGGCCGGGGTACGCGAGCAGGTGCTGCAGCGCGGGGTCGCGCAGTGTTGTGTGTGTGTGCGTGTAGGTGTGTGTACATGTGGGTGTGCGTCACCTCTGGCGAGCGGGCCGGGGTACGCGAGCAGGTGCTGCAGCGCGGGGTCGCGCAGTGTTGTGTGTGTGTGCGTGTAGGTGTGTGTACATGTGGGTGTGCGTCACCTCTGGCGAGCGGGCCGGGGTACGCGAGCAGGTGCTGCAGCGCGGGGTCGCGCAGTGTTGTGTGTGTGTGCGTGTAGGTGTGTGTACATGTGGGTGTGCGTCACCTCTGGCGAGCGGGCCGGGGTACGCGAGCAGGTGCTGCAGCGCGGGGTCGCGCAGTGTTGTGTGTGTGTGCGTGTAGGTGTGTGTACATGTGGGTGTGCGTCACCTCTGGCGAGCGGGCCGGGGTACGCGAGCAGGTGCTGCAGCGCGGGGTCGCGCAGTGTTGTGTGTGTGTGCGTGTAGGTGTGTGTACATGTGGGTGTGCGTCACCTCTGGCGAGCGGGCCGGGGTACGCGAGCAGGTGCTGCAACGCGGGGTCGCGCAGTGTTGTGTGTGTGTGCGTGTAGGTGTGTGTACATGTGGGTGTGCGTCACCTCTGGCGAGCGGGCCGGGGTACGCGAGCAGGTGCTGCAGCGCGGGGTCGCGCAGTGTTGTGTGTGTGTGCGTGTAGGTGTGTGTACATGTGGGTGTGCGTCACCTCTGGCGAGCGGGCCGGGGTACGCGAGCAGGTGCTGCAGCGCGGGGTCGCGCAGTGTTGTGTGTGTGTGCGTGTAGGTGTGTGTACATGTGGGTGTGCGTCACCTCTGGCGAGCGGGCCGGGGTACGCGAGCAGGTGCTGCAGCGCGGGGTCGCGCAGTGTATGTGTGTGTGTGTGTGTGTGTGTGTGTGTGTGTGTGTGTGTGTGTGTGTGTGTGTGTGTGTGTGTGTGTGTGTGTGTGTGTGCGCGCGTGTAGGTGTGTGTACATGAGGGTGTGCGTCACTTCTGGCGAGCGGGCCGGGGTACGCGAGCAGGTGCTGCAGCGCGGGGTCGCGCAGTGTTGTGTGTGTGTGCGTGTAGGTGTGTGTACATGTGGGTGTGCGTCACCTCTGGCGAGCGGGCCGGGGTACGCGAGCAGGTGCTGCAGCGCGGGGTCGCGCAGTGTTGTGTGTGTGTGCGTGTAGGTGTGTGTACATGTGGGTGTGCGTCACCTCTGGCGAGCGGGCCGGGGTACGCGAGCAGGTGCTGCAGCGCGGGGTCGCGCAGTGTTGTGTGTGTGTGCGTGTAGGTGTGTGTACATGTGGGTGTGCGTCACCTCTGGCGAGCGGGCCGGGGTACGCGAGCAGGTGCTGCAGCGCGGGGTCGCGCAGTGTTGTGTGTGTGTGCGTGTAGGTGTGTGTACATGTGGGTGTGCGTCACCTCTGGCGAGCGGGCCGGGGTACGCGAGCAGGTGCTGCAGCGCGGGGTCGCGCAGTGTTGTGTGTGTGTGCGTGTAGGTGTGTGTACATGTGGGTGTGCGTCACCTCTGGCGAGCGGGCCGGGGTACGCGAGCAGGTGCTGCAGCGCGGGGTCGCGCAGTGTTGTGTGTGTGTGCGTGTAGGTGTGTAGGTGTGTGTACATGTGGGTGTGCGTCACCTCTGGCGAGCGGGCCGGGGTACGCGAGCAGGTGCTGCAGCGCGGGGTCGCGCAGTGTTGTGTGTGTGTGCGTGTAGGTGTGTGTACATGTGGGTGTGCGTCACCTCTGGCGAGCGGGCCGGGGTACGCGAGCAGGTGCTGCAGCGCGGGGTCGCGCAGTGTTGTGTGTGTGTGCGTGTAGGTGTGTGTACATGTGGGTGTGCGTCACCTCTGGCGAGCGGGCCGGGGTACGCGAGCAGGTGCTGCAGCGCGGGGTCGCGCAGTGTTGTGTGTGTGTGCGTGTAGGTGTGTGTACATGTGGGTGTGCGTCACCTCTGGCGAGCGGGCCGGGGTACGCGAGCAGGTGCTGCAGCGCGGGGTCGCGCAGTGTTGTGTGTGTGTGCGTGTAGGTGTGTGTACATGTGGGTGTGCGTCACCTCTGGCGAGCGGTCCGGGGTACGCGAGCAGGTGCTGCAGCGCGGGGTCGTGCTGCGCGGCGGCGTGCAGCGGCAGCAGGCGCACGGCGGCCGGCCGCCCGTCCGCCGGCCAGCCCGCCGGCACCACCACCACGTGCCGCGCAGATATACTGCCCTGAACCACGTAACCAGTACCATATACCATGTGAACACTTCTTTGATATTTTGAATCGATAATATTATTAAACAAAATCGATTCACTTTTTAAGTGTGGTGACTCTAAAGAACACGACAACTTTAGACCTGTATCTACATTACTAGCACTAAGTATTTCAGAAGTTGATTTTGAAACAAATGATTTTCTTCTCAATAAAAAGTTACTTCATGATCATCAGTTTGGTTTTATTAAAGGGCGCTCCATAACTGATGCAGGAGCAACAAATGTATAGTGCTTTGGAGGACTTACAAAATGCGATTGGAGTAAAGCATTTGATTGTGTCAATCACACAACATTATAAATAAAAATTTTACGGTATAAATAAACAAGCTCTTCGTTTGTTGGAGTCCTAGTAATAGGATTCAAAATGTTCGCATAAATGACGTAAATACTATAGGTTCTGTTGTACAAGTGGGTGTACCACAGGGTTCCATTCTCGGACCTGTATAATATATAAACCATCTGTCTTTCCTAATAGAAAAGAACCCTCCTGCGAAGCTATAATTTTTAAAATTTGCCCACTTCCTCTTAGTTTAATGTTTTAACCCAATGAGGACACGCAGGCCGATTTTCAGCGGGAGGTCTGTGCGACGTGTAGGACGAGGGGATACGGAACCGCGCGACTGACTATCTGACCGCCACAAAAACGACATTTCAGATTGGATCACCGATTACTTCTTTTTTTTTATAGGAGAGGGGGCAAACGAGCATGCGGCTCACCTGATGGTAAGTGACTACCGCCGCCCATGAACAACTGCAACACCAGGGGAATCGCAGATGCGTACGGCTATACTTATAGTCCTCTTCCATTCAAATTTTGTACAGTTTTGGTTAATAATTATTGTACAGTCCACTTTAGTCTTTCATTTGTAAAAATTACCAGAACTATATTATATCATTAATCAAATATCAATAAAAAAATTGTGTTGTCAAAACCCATACATATTTTTGGTCCTTCGAGCTTCCGAACAGGTGGGACCACTTTCGCGAGTATTACGAAACGGTAGAATGACTACACATGTAAGTGATTTCTACTCCTGTGGAGGGGTAGTTCATCAATTCCCGTGACCTTGGCATAGGCGAAGTTACTAAGCTATCGTCAACATCAACTCAAACTCAAAGGAGAATGCCAGATCGTGCCCCACCTTGTACAAAAAAAGTAAAAATATGAAAATAATCTTATGAATTTTGAAGTTTTTTGTGATAAATAGTTACTTTGTACAACTTGCGGTTAAATATTATTAAAAAAGAATTCAACGATTAATATTTACATTTCCAGTCTTTTCTGATAACATCTGCGTTTCTTTGTACGAAAAAGTACATACGTACGCATAAAGTATCAAACAATACATATTTCTATTAAAATTTATTATAAGTTTTTGTCTACAAAAATGTTACTTATCAATTTTTATTTTCAATTATTATTATAAGTCGATAATAATCATGAATTGTATTAGATAATTACTGAATAACAGTAATTGATTCGTGCATTTTGTGAAATGATACACACACGTCATTGTGTCAATATCGTATCACGATATTGAGATACACTAAGTGTCATTTTTGCGTGATAGGATGCAGGGGCATTTTGTGTCCTTGTTTCGATTTACAATCTTACCTCTTCTTTCAACATGGAGATCTTTGATCATGGAGAGAAGGCATCTTAAAATTTAAAAAAAGTTAAGACGTTAAAAAAATAAAAGCGTGCAATTGCGCACGGGCTGTTACACCACTAGTTATTAAATATCCTTATCTAGCGTATTATTAATGTGTCCTATCACAAACAAATTAAGAAACTTATTAAAATTTCCACAAAACCAAAAAAATCAACAATTAAAAATTAAAAGACGTGTGGTGAAAAACGAAAATTAGGTCAAGCGACTCATGAACCATCCCCAAGGACGCCGGCGTCGGACTAAGTGACGTACTTTCTTACAAATCGTCGCACGCGCCAGAAAAACGTCACTTCGCGCATAGAGAATTATGCCTTAAGTCCTTTATTTTAAGTAAATTTTTCGCTTGAACTTGTTTTCACACACCCGCAGCGCGCGGTCCCTTTGTTTTTAATTTCGCGCATAAAATTATGCCTTAAATTGTTAGCCGTAAGTTCATTTTTTGCTTCATTTTTTCTTTATTTGAGTAATTCGATTTTTTTTTTAATAGAATAAGCACACAGCCCACCTAAGTAAGTAAGTGGTTGCTGTGGCCCATAGACATCTACATCTATCTTCGTTTACGAATTAAAATGCAGATACGTTGTCACCCGTGAGGACTAAGATAGAATGCCTCTTGTCCAGTAAAAAGGGTCTCCAGTTCTCTACACTCACCATACGAAACACAGCAGCATTAAGCTGCTATTTTACGCTGGTATTCTGTGAGAGCGTGGTCCCTTCCCCGGTCGAGCCGACCCATTCGTGCTAGAACTATACTATTAATATAGCCGCAGCATGACTCTACCACGTAAAAAAATTGAAGAAAATAAAAGAATTGGCAACGTTTAAACTACCTATCTTCGCCTTTAAATGCTATGGCCATGGGTCTTTGACCTTATGGTATACATCAGGTGATATCTGTATGCATTTACATAATGTTATTAAATATTAAAATGAAAAAAATGCTACCGCGACTAGAGTATTAATTGTTATATATTTTTTGGGTTGTGTTTGTTTAAAGAAACTTATGTAGGATACGTCTTTTCATTTAATGTGATAACATTATTGTCATTCGGTATATATCATTAGCGCCTGACAATTTATATTCTGAAATTACAATGAACTGAAACGAATGCTGTTCTAAAAATAAGGTAATTGTAATTAATAAAGTCCAGTTTTAAAAATATTGCAAGTTCTTCTAGAGACTTCAAGTCATATAATTTGGATGAATTTATAAAGTAGAAAAAAAAATGTTGCATACAGCATTCGTGTACACCACACTTTTAGGTGGGGCAAAGTTCTATATAGAATCTGGCATTCTCCTTTAGTATCTGCATAAATATAAGAAACAATTTCTTTCAATAGATATAAAGTAGAAAAATAAACTATATACGTGTACAAAACTCAGAGTTACCTTTATATGCGCCGTGGAGAACTTGAACGGTGTCATACGCTCCGATCGCACAGTGGACTCCTCGAGGTGAAGGTTCAGTGACGCATCCGTATTCAAGTCCCTGCATATTATATGTTCCAACAATAAAACATATTAAAACTAAACAAAAATAAACAAAGAGCGTACGAAACTAACACAATGTCAAGAATAACAAGATAAATATGAATCGTAATTTAGAGTAATATAAAAAGTAAGTAAGTAAATTACAAAAGACAGAAAAGCAAGTTATCATTCACCTTTAAAATCGTTAATTTTTATATTGTGACATCTTTATTTTAACGAAATTATCTAGTCTTTAATAAAACGAATAAATTTTTTTTTTTACTATCAAATTTATTATGCAGTTGCATAATATAAATAAAAATGGTTAAAAATGAAAAATGACAATGTAAAATGATTTTTTTTTAATTTGTTAATTTTAAGCTCGACAAATGCACGATATTAATAAGTTAAAAAGGCAACCGTAGTAGGAAATCTGAACGCAACTTGAACGGGAGCAAGAAAATATTTAATAATAGTTTACCTCCGAAACACAAGGTATTTAGTGCAAACAAGTGCTAAATAAGAAAACATTTCAATATTTGTGCAAATATGGGTGATAGTTGCGTGCAGTTCCTGTCGGCAAAGCGAGTACCTGTCGGACACGTCGGTGCGCAGCGACGGCGCGTCCCGCAGCGAGGCGGCGTCGAGGCGGCAGCCGTAGTACCTACGTACGCACCGCGTCACTACTCGCATCACCCAGCTACCCACTACACACTACACACTACACACCCGCAGCTGCCAGCGATGCCATTCCACTTAACCCCTCCTCCAAGCCCTTGCTTATTTTAAGCTCATAAAACGCTTCCTCATTCAACATCATTCTATTTTAACGGCTTTTTTCACTATGAATCCCGATAAATACCCTCGAAGATTTAATAGCACTCCATGGATTGTAATGAAATAAATTACTCTCCATGGATAGTAATGAAAAACGAATCTAAAATTTTATTGTGAACACATAACCTTTGAATTTTCCGTTCTGCAGTACTGATCATTTCAAATCAAAATAATTTTTGTTTGGCTAAGAATTCTAATTTCAAATCAATTTTATTTTAAGAATATGGAATTCTTTTTCAAAATAACTCATTTGTTTATTATTATTGCTTAGCGTTATGTTTTCATCGGATTTGAACCATTTTCGTCATCATGGATACGTTATAAATTCAAATAATTATGGAATATGAGTACCGCCGGGGCAACAACTTACTCTCATATGTACTCTGATAACACAGTGTAATTTGAGGAACGTATGAGACTTGGGGGGGGGGGGGGGGGGGGTCTGCGCAGTAAACGTCATAAGTGACCAAGTTTACCGATGCAATTAACGACTTAAATATTATTACTAAGTCATATTATGAAGCAAGGTCACTGACTAAAAACAGGTTGAACAGCATCGCCAGCATCTACTGCATCACCTACCTGCTAACAAGCACGATACTCTTGGAAACGCACTCATCCGTACACGTCACTGATATTAGCAATGTAAAGGTTTGTATATAGTTTTTAAAAATCGTTTTTGTATATGTATCAAGGCTATTGTAAGCTGGTAAGCTTATAATAACAACGTAAGCGAATGCATCACCCCATTTAATCCGTGAGTGACGCGAGCGATATAGGCAATGTCTGGGATAGTCCATACCTCTGTAAGTTGCCCTCTCATTTTTACAGCAAATTGATTAATCAATAATGTAAATTACTTAGAATTCACATTTTGAGACAAAGCGCTAAACATCTTACAGCTGATCCTCCATACTATGAGAGGACCCTATGTCCATTCATAAAGATGGGAAAGGCTATAAATGTTTCGAAAATCTTTTAAATACTATGATATTATGTTGTGCAACGTAATTCATAGTCCGGATAAGTGCGTTAACATGGTATCACCTTACCATAAACAAACTGTCATTGTCATGTCATTTTGTATCATGGACATGCCTTTTGTGAATGTTTATTAATTTTAATAAACGTTGAAAATTAAAAATCTTTGTGACATTGTACTGAAACAAGTGACTTCAGTAAAACAAATAATTTTTATTGTCGCCACAACGATGACGTCATTATATTCACCACCGAAACTTATGAGCAGAAGCATATCCATGTTATTTTTTGTAAGCACTTTGATCCATTCGATGTTAAGAATTTTTTATGAGATTGCGATAGTGAATCAGTTATTTCTGATAGTTAGATCTGATATAATAGTCAATGCAATAGTGTTCGGTCAAAATCCACACTGGCATGCCTAATTAATTCATGTAATGATTGATTTTGCCACAAAACTGTAAGTTGCAATGGATTTTAATGCAATGTGCAATTATTACAATGATATGACGGGGGTTTGCATATTTAAAAACCAAGTGACCAAACCAGTATATTCTGAGCAATAAAATTAACTAGCTGTCAAAATAAAAATCAAGTTGTTTTGAACCTCTATAAAAATACAAGTATTTATTAATTTGATTACGATTGATATTACATAATTTATTACATTTCAGAATGTACTGTTTTGTGAAGCAATATTTCGATGATTTCAAAGCTCCTGTTGTGTATACTTCACACATTAATATAATAATTTAAAGCTATTTTAAGCTGTATATAGCTATATTTTTCAGCAACATATTATATTGGTGTATATGCGATATACTAAAATTATTTATTGGTTCTAATAACAAATAACCACACGTTTGATGCTGAATATAAATTGATGAATAGAAATTGAAAAAGGAATTAACTTTTGTTTTTACATTAAAGCTAAAAGCAAATAAAGTTTTACAATATGGGCATAAATTTCTCCCTCTGCCCGGTTTTTGACTACGGCTACAAGTGCCGATTAATATCGCTCCATATACGCACTTTTCCTACCTGTGTCAAGCGTTGCTAATGATTTTTATATCAAATATTATATTATTTTCGAAGCTTCAATAAGCATTTATTAAAATATTGTAGTTTCGCGTACTATATACATTTTAATAATTATATGATTCGGATCTTTAATATAGTAGGATACTGTATTATGTACTAAGTTTAGCAATCCCACCCGTGCCCAATGCGTCATGAACACGGGGACGATTAACATAAAAAACCCAAATAAACAAGGTGCGCCGTTTACAAAACAATAAACTAGCCTTCCCGTCGAGTCGCAGTCGACTACAAAGAGTTACGGAGAATTGACCGTAACTTGGTGCGCAATGTATTGAGGCCGCAGAGCCCCATAGCCCTTGGTAGTATATAGTATATTATATATTTTGTAGAAATATTAGCTCTCAATGATATTCAAATCCAGACCTCGCGATGTACTCTGACCTCGGCGGTCGTCCGAGTATTTATGCAACATTGTGTATAGGAATCACTATACAAATCTGTTCATAGTTGAAATGTGATAAGTGACACGTGGAAGATGACGGTGTGAAGGGTGAAAAGTGTTCGATTTAGTGTCGTGTTAGGAAATTAATATTTTAGAGAGCACGTACGTGTCGTTTCCCTTGAGGCCGTTGGTGCTGGAGCGTCCTGAATGGACACTGCCGCGCTCCTCAGCGCGCATGTCGTAGCCAAGCGAGCTGTATCCTGCATGAACATTCCATATAACTATAATTTATGACGGAACAGAATCACCAGAAGTTTTAAAAAAATACGACGTCATCATTGATGGCGTTGTTTTTGTGATTAATCCCAGCCGCCAAATTTAACGAACGCACATCGCGGCGGAACTCCCGATACCATCCACACCATCTGGATGATTGGCGGTCCACCACTGTGCGATTTAGAAGAAGTTTTCTTCCTCGCACAACTTCCTTGTGGAATAGTTTACCACCAGCGATTTTTCCGGACCGATACGACTTAGGCACCTTCAAGAAACGAGCCTACTCCTTTTTAAAAGGCCGGCAACGCATCTGCAATTCCCTTGGTTCCCCTGATGCTGCGGTTGTTCATGAGCGGCGGTAGACACTTACCATCAGGTGAGCCGCATGCTCGTTTGTCTCCTCTCATATAAAAAAATTATTTCTTCATTCACTCCGTTACCGTTACATAATATTAAAGTCCACTGCTGAACATAGGTTGTTGATAAGAAGATGCTGTTGCCCATCTCCTGGTTTGTTTCCCTCTGTCGTGTCTTACTACACCCACGGGATGTTACGGAGTAGTAGCTTTGTATTATATTTATATGGTAATATATTAATATTCAAACGCTAAAACCTCATAACTTTTTTCTAGATGATTTTTTATTTGAAAGCTGGTGCTTATCATGTGGTCCCATATAAATTTGATCAAGGTTTGACCAGTAGTTTTTGAGTTATCCTTAACTATTTATATTGAAGTCAGTTGTACAATTTTACCACTTGTGTCTGAAGAAGGAGTGCAGTAAGTTTTCATTTTTATCAAATTGTTTAGTGAGTGTACACCAATAAAACAGTCAATCGGCAATTTTCTCTCCAACTCGAGTTTTATATAAATATTGATTTCACACTTAAAACTTATTTGATCACAATAAAACATACGATTTGTCACCCGAGAATAATGTAACAAAATTTTTAAAATCATCATTTTCAGAGATTACCTCTAACCTCTAATAAACAAACTTACATATAAACAATTTTACCTTTATAACATTAGTGCCTTGTGGTGGTGTAATATAATCCATTATTCCACATGTCGTCCTGCGGGTGTCGTGAAAGGTGACAAGGAAAAATGCCCGCAAAATCTTAGTTTCCGATAGATGGCGTTGTGATCATATCCTTAGAAGAGAAATCATACAAATCACAGCAGCATTAAGTTGCTGTGATTCGTATGATTTCTCACAGAATACAAGCGTCAAATATCACGCTGGTATTCTGTGAGAGCATGGAATTACCCGATCGATTCGTACTACAACCATAATATAGCTGCACCGTGTCTCTACCACGCAAATATTGGTCCATTATTGAAACGGCATACATCCAGCTATTTTTTTTTTGTGAAAATACGTTGCCCCCACACTAGGTTTTATCCTGTGTCGTGGAGGCTGTTTACAAACATAAATTACACGAGGACAAACATCCAGACCCAGAACAATTATTTGTAGGCCTTAATAATACTTGTTCCGTGCGGGATTCGAACCCGCGGCCCCCAGCGCTACAACTCATTGCAAAGCCACTGCGCCACGGAGCCGTGAGGGCTAAGATAGAATGCCTCTTTTCCAGTAAAAAGGGTCTCCGGTTCTTTACACTTACCATACGAAACACATTGCTATTTTACGTTGGTATTCTGTGAGAGCATGGTCCTACCCCGGTCAAGCCGACCCATTCCTACTGCAACCACAATGTAGCTGCAGCATGGCTCTACCACGTAAAAAACATATAAAAAAGTTGAAAACATTTTTGGTGTGAAAATACCGCCGATGCTGTTCATAATACAAGATGTTGCTACATTAAAATAAGGAGTAATAAACTATAATGCAACAAATTTTGTTTTATTTATAGAACAAACCTAACCTCACCATAATTTATAGTATGTCGAAATGTTGGTGGTCCATGGCAATACAAAAAACCAGTTTAATGGTCTCTCATCACTATAAGGTTAAGAACCACTGATCTGGAAGAAGCGCTTGATAACTCACCTTCTGCGTACACGCTGTGTGCTGGAAGCTGGCCGGCCATGAGCTGCTTGTAGAGGCGCATGTATGCGGCCGGGTCGGTCCGCCGCAGCCTCTCGTAGTACGAGTACTGCTGCCGCTGCAACGCGAACGGATCGCCGTACGTACCGCCGCCATAACCCGCTGAAACCACCACCGCACATAAATCACATTAGAATATTAATGGAAAACGAGATTAAGTGGCTACTACAGCCTATGACACTGCCTACCAATATCTAACAAAGAAAGCCACAGCTGCATTGCTCCCTTGTTACTGGATATGAGGCATTCCACCCTAGTCGTCAAGGGTGACAACACATCTACATTTTGATTCTGAATCGAGGATAGAAGTAGATGTCTATGGGCCAAATCATCCACTTACCATCAGGTGATCTGTGTGCTCGCTTGTGACCCATATTCTATGGAAAAAAACCAATCGCAGTCAATAGTGGTAACACTTTTCGGCCTACGAGTCCATCAGATATTTATACGTGGTAGAGCCATGCTGCAGCTATATTAGTAGTATAGATGTAGCACGAATGGGTCGGTTTGACCGGGGAAGGACCACGTTCTCACAGAATACTAGCGTAAAATGGCAGCTTGACACTGCTGTGTTTCGTATGGTGAGTGTAGAGAACCGGAGACCCATTTTACTGGAAAAAAGGCATTCCATCTTAGTACTCACGGTTGACGACGCATCTGCATGTTGTTTCTTTATTGAGAATAAATGTAGATTTCTATGGGTCACAACTACCACTTACCATCAGGTGGACTGTGTGCTCGTTTGTCACCCTATGCAAAAAAAAACCAGTTTGGTACCATCCTCTTAACTATTACTCGGACTCAAGCAGCAGTGTGCGAACTGTTTTGTTCTGGTTTGAAGGTCAAGGGTATAGATAGATAACCAGTATAAACACAGGTGGTGAGGAATTCCATCTTAGTCATCTGTTGTGTTAATGCATCTGTAGCATTTTCGTTCACTGTTTGAACGTGGCATTGGCAGGCATGACATTAAAGGTGTCCACGGGTTGCACTAGCTAGTTACCATTAGGTGGTAAGTAAGTTCGTTTGTCACTTCAATTTTATCTAAAAAGAATAACAGGGTGAAATACCAGACTGGATTACACTGCGCCTTGGCAACAGACATAGGGTGGTCCCCAAAAAATACGGACACAGGCGAAAAACCTAAACTTTTTCAACAAAATATACTATCTGTGTGAGCAGTTTTTGTAGACTCGTTTCATACGAAAGAACACGAAACAGGTAACGATATTTTGCGTTGGAAACACAATTCATTGTATTATAAAATAGTATAAGGTGTAACATTTGTTACAAGCAAATAAATATAAACGTATAGTTATAGGAGTACCACAAGGCATTATTCTAAGACCGTATAATTTTTTTGTTTACCACAATAAAAAAAATATATCAGTATTCCATAGTGAATGAGAAACTGTCACAATAATATTAACACTGGTCAATTCGTTACAATAAGTAAAATGTAATCGATTATTCGTTTAACGCTGTATACATACGTTATCATTATAGCTTTTTCTTTGCTTGCTATAAATAAAAAAATAAAAAAATTGTATGACAACTTTTAAGAATTTAAATAAACCCTTTAAATGTTTGATTTAGCAGAAAATTGGATTCGTTTTACACCTAAATATAACAGAACTTGCAATAAAAGTATAAAAAAAACTTTTAATTTGAATTTTTTTTGAATTTCTATGTAATTGAATTTCTTTCATGTTGTCCGAAATTAACAATTTTTATTATTTATTTATTTGGAAGAAAAGACTAGAAATGAGTTAGAGGATGACTCGAAGCTTAGCCCTTGTTATTTTGAATAGCCTATCACTTAAGGATGTCATGTGGGTCATGGTCATAGGGGCAAAAAGTTCTCATTACACTCCTAGGGGGTCAAAATGGCCAGAAATCAAAAAATTTAAATTCTTATTTCGGCTATAACTCCTCCTTCGGAGGTTCTTACACAGTGTGAAAGAAATATTTCTACAACTGTTTAAAACACAAGCAATATAGATATTCCTCAGATATGTATACCATAATTAATTAAATAATAGTTAACTTTCTGATTCAGCAGTGGAGTTGTAAATGGATATAATGAAAATGATGATGTTGAAACTTTCTGATTTCTGCAAGATAATAGAATCAGGCGTTACTTTGCGGAAATCCATTATATTAAAGATTTAAAAAAATTAATAACTAAAATCAGCGTAATTAACAGTTCCTAGTGTTGGGAGTAGTGGTAGCTGGGTATTAGTGGCGATGGGGATAGTGCTCGCATTTGAGGGAGGGCGGGAGGTGCTCTTTCAAGTAGGTAAGACATCATTTTATTTATTAGCTAATTAATTTTAACATTTTTCATTTATGCAAGTTAGCTTCTTGATCAATACTTGGTATGGATAATTGTAGATTTTGGCTCACCAAGATAGTAGGGGTCAGGCTCCCGTGGGTCCCGATTGTCCCGAGTGTCCCGTACGTCCCGAGGGCCGCGGGAGCGACGATCGCGGTCGCGATCACGGTCGCGTCGACGCCGTTCCGGCTCCGGCATGTCCTCGTCCGTCGCCGTCGCCTCACGAGACCCGGCGCGTGAAGGAGACGAGTACGTCTCGCCTGCAAACATTCAAACTTCCGCTGTAATGTATTAGCAGTGCTACATTGCCTCTATATGTCATCCAGACCAAATTTCGGTCACGACGGCCAGTCTCAACTGACACTAGCCATCTGGACAGGATTATAGTGCCCAAGTGTATGCGCGACCAGGTGCACTCTCTATTCCCTCACTCTCATAGTACCGATGGGACGGTAATCCAACACGACCGGTGGGGCTTATACGGTTCTTAAGGCGCTACGATTTGAAGGCGAATTCGCATAGATCTCGACGAAATACGCCGAAAATTATGAATAAAACTTTTTGATATCTCGCTTAGTTTCCGAGATATCGATACTCAAAAATCGAATACTAAAACTGAATTAGCACGCCCCGACTCGAATACATTGAAAAAGAAAAATAAATTTGGATTTTTATTTCCACTCTTTACCCCCGATTCCGCGAACTTAAAAACGCACCCTCGTACATGTTTCATATACAAATGTAATTTTGGATGACCCCTATTTTATAATATATATTTATAACTATTAAATCACGGAATTAAAGCAAAATTATCGCCTACATCTTAATCGGCGTAATCATCTCACGCAAAAACAAAGATAGTTAGTTGTTCGTCTCTTTTATCTATTAATGAAATCGATAAATATCGACGGGATTAGATAAAAAGAACATTTGAGGCAAAAAATGTATGTTGGCTTTTGTTTTCTTTTCTTACTTTGTTTTTTTCTTCTTCCAATATTTTACTTTTTCCTTTAAAAATGACATGGTACTTGATTGTCACTTTTTGCTAATACATTAAATATTAAAAATGTAGTACACAGAAAGTGTGCGGATTAATAATTCTTATTATTAAAATATTACAAATTCAATTCGCTTATTTTTTTGTACGGCTTTGTAATGGAAAAAGGTCCTGAAATATAATACGCTATGAAGGGAATACAAGCTTTTCTTCAGACCTTTGGATAGATGTAGATGTTTATGGGCCGCAGCAAACACTTGCCATCAGGTGGACTGTGTGCTCGTTTGTCACCCTTATCCTATAAAAAAATGGCCAGGAATTACTTCAAAAAACTTGCGATGTTCGCTTACTGTGAATTTTTTCATGCATAAAAAGTAATAACATACTAATAAACTGATATCCAAATATAAACCACGTCCGGTACGTTGACGGCCCGTGTTACTTTACGCCACGGACGTTAAAAAAAATAATGTCCGTGATACAAACATTGTTTTTCGCATGTTTAGCAGTTAATTTAAAAAAAAATATTATATAAACAATCTTAGTCGTTAGTACCGTAGCGTAAAATAGCCTTGTATTAATTGACGGAGTAACCTCGCACAAATAATAAATCCAAATTTTAGGATGACAGTCCTCCAGTAATGGTCAACGGAAGAGTTATGGTGAATCAGTTAAATCAGATACTAAGCAAAGTAAGAAATCAAATATTTAATCTTTATATATGTATAAAGATTACATGTCACGTTGTTTGTCCGCGATGAACTCCTAAACTATTGAACTGATTTCAATGAAATTTTGCACACTGTGTGCAGTTTGGTCCAACTTGAGAGATAGGATACTTTTATCCCGATAAGTGACTATATTTTTTATTGCGAATTTAAGGATTTTTTCATAGGAAGGGTCGTCGGAAAGGGCAGAACGACCTCTGCCTGGCCAGCTAGTCTACATATATAATTAAATAATAGAGGTTTGCAGTTATGCGCGCATAGATTTCAATTAGGTTTTCTAAGTTTTATTTCTTAGACATTTGGTCCATATGCCTTACTTGCGATATCTTAATTTAATATAAAGTTATTAAAGTTTTAAGAAACCACGATTTTATAAGCACTACGTGTTCAGTTCAGTGATGGATGTGCGTTTTCTTGCCGCGGAGAAGTGGGGACTCGTATTTAATATATTTATTATATATTATAAATCGAAAACTTTATTAATATATCAAGCAACGCGGACGAAGTCGCGGGTATCAGCTAGTCGTATTATATAAACAAAACTGAGACGTTGATTTTAAACATCTTGACATGTTGACCACCAAGCCCTTGGAAATTTTATTAAGTCTAATTTATGAAGTCATTTAGAGGTGAAATAAATAAAGGTCGATCAATTTCATGAATTTCGATAAAATATAACTTAAAAATTTTTTAACGTACCGAATTGCGTATATTATGAATTTAGTGTTTAAAAATATATTATAATTATTCATAATGCTGTGTTAGTCCCTACTTTAATGTATGGTAGTGAAAGTTGGGTCTGAAAGAAGAAGCATGAGAGTAGAATAAATGCTGTAGAAATGCGTTCCTGAAGTATGCTAGGGCTGAATCTGAATGACAGGGTGAGAAATAGTGTGATAAGAGAAAAGTGTGGTTTGCAAGATGACGTTGTGACAAGGATTAAGAAAGTAATGCTTCGGTAGTTTGGTGATGTAGAAAGAATGAACGAGGAAAGAGTGACAAAGCAAATTTATGTTGCAGAAGTGAACGGCACGGTCGGGAAGGGACGCCCTAGACGAAGGTTTATCGATCAAATCGGCGATACATTAAAAATAGTCCAGATTAGGAGTACCCTTAACCGACGAGCGTGTATGCGTAGATATATGGATGTAAAAGAGGCGAGAGAGGTGTGTCAGGATCGCGCCAAATGGAAGTCCGTAGTCTCTGCCTACCCCTCTGGGTGACAGGCGTGAGTGTTTATGTATGTATTATTAGCAATTTTATATGAAATATTCAGAATATCTAAAACATGCTCGAGTTAAAGTGGCCAGTGGATCTTGTTTATGTAGGACCAACGCACTCTCGACCTCATTCCTCTAACATTAACTTTCACTTTAGCGCGAGCGCCGTATCCGCGTGCAAAACGTTAAAAGCCGAAGCGCAAAGTCGCAAGGCTATACTAGATCAAGGAACATTTATTTTTCTCCAAAGCACGCACTTTGAGACTATTGAGACTCACCAGTGAGAGAGAAATAGGCTAACATTTTAAAATTGGGCACCACCAAGTCACAATTGTTGGAGATGTACTAAAGAGGGGTGAGAACACCAATAATAGTAACGTATCAATCCTAAATACCAACAATACCTACTTTACATTATAAACATTACGTCACAGATGATGTTATCGACATATCCTTTAAAAATGTAGGCAGGCAGCAACACAAAACAACACTTAAACCTGTATGATAAATATGGTAAATGGAATAAACTATAGAACCTTTCCAAACGCTATCAACAAAAACTTCAAGGCCGCCATCTCAACAACTCGGTGAAATTATAATTAACAGTGGAGTTTTGCGGGTGGATGAAGAGGAAGAAGACCAATTATCAATTGATTATGCTTGTGATAAGCTAAGCTAAGGAAGTCTCCTCAAAAGAGTAAAAAAATTAAACCCATAAATAAAAATTATAAAATAATTTTCACATAAAAGCTTCCGAAGCCGGGGCTGAATTCTTCTATACACTATGTCCTAACACGGACTTCTGAAGAGGTTATGTGGATTTATCTACCGACTTCAGAAAGGAGGAAGTATTCAATTCGACTGTATGTTTTTTATGTGTGTTACCTGATAACTTTTTTATAAGAGAACCGATTTCGATTATTCTTTTTTATTTGGAAGCTAGTGCTTCTCCTATGGTCCCATATAAATTTAATCAAGGTCTGACCAAGAGTTTTTGAGTTACATGTATTCTTAAGTTATTTCTTATATTTAAGTCGGTTCTACAAAATTTTAAATTATTACTATTTTTATACTTTTTAGTTCTTTCAAATCGACTCCTACTTTGTTTAAAACTTTAATGTTGTTAAGACGGCTCGGTAGAGCATTGCCGGGCGTTTGGATGCGGTTACGGTTGCGGATTTAAACTCCACACGTATCAGCTCTTTGTGTGGACTCCAAATAATTGTTCCGCTTCTAGATTTTGATTTCATGCAATACATAAATAGTATGAGAAATTATTACACGATACACAAGAGGACCCTTTTGTTGATCTTAATTGTTATTAAAAAAATTGCTCACACATAATGCCATAAAAAAATCACTTAGGCACTATTGAGTTTTAGGTATTCAAAAATGCATTTCACTATACCATACTCGATAAAAAAAAATGTGGAAATAGACTCGTATTAACATCTAGTTAATATTGCAAAACCAAGTTTCGACAGACAAACATGCACTGACGTTATAATTTTAGTAATTAAACAAATTAAAGCAACATCAAATATTTTTGGGGGATATATTTCCTCAATTATTTAATTAAATAGCAGGAAAGGACTTCCGTTTAGTAGAAGTAATTTAAGTAACAATGAGATAATCTATAAAATATATAAATCTTTTGTGATTATATTTAGAGCAACTGGACCAAAACATTCCAAGTTATTTGTACCTACTTTGCAATTATTATCAGATAACAATATCACAAAAGAGTCCACAGAGAGGGAGAGATGAATAGCATTTTGATTCTTATTTGAGGATAGATAAAGATGACCGAGATTTTGTTTAACAAACTTTAGACACAAGTTTATTCGGGTACTCGACGACGTGTTCCCGAGAAATATTGGCACGGCCGGTGTAAATAGCATCACCAGTAATGTTATATTATATAGCAATGAATGTTACGGGTTTGCAACTCACTGATATGCAGAGGAAACAGCATAATAGCATTGGTGTGGAACACCAGCGTTAATGGGCTTGTAGTCAGTGCATGCACCGTCTACTACTACTACTACCATGATGCTTTGATCTGCAAGAAAACTGGTGATCTAATTACACAATATCAAAGAAACGAAGCTTCGAAAAAGCCAAGGCATCCCCTTTGAACACTACTGCGGAAAAATGTATACTATGCCAATCATGCATATGCACATCGCGACGAAACTCAAGATACCATCCACATCATCTGGATACTTGGCGGTCCACCACCGTGCGATTTACTAGGAGTTTTCTTCCACGCACAACTTTGTGCGGAACAACCTCTTTGTGGAATTGTATACCACCGGCGATTTTACCGGACCAATACGACTTAAGGACCTTCAAGAAAAGAGCTTAGTCCTTTCTAAGACGCCGGCAACGCACCTGCAATTTCCATGGTGTTGCAATTGTTCATGGGCAGTGGTAATCACTTACCATCAGGTGAGCCGCACGCCCGTTTGCCCCCTATACTAAAAAAAATAGCCCCATAATTACAGACTTTTTAGAGTCGTGTAACTTGTACAATTAGCTTGTGCATATTCCTATGTCAATTCTACAGATTGAACATCACTATTTTTATAAAAAAAAAATTGTGTCATATAACTATTAACTAAGAATATGTTAATTTGTTCATGAATGTTTTTAAAAGTGAATTTCATTTTCTTTGCGCTTCAGAAGGTTTATGACACAAATTCACACTAATGACTAATGAGGACAACAATATGCAAGCGTTTAGAATGTTATAACACCTTCGCGACCCAAATGTAGCACGCGTAACGAAACACGATTAATTATATTGATAGTTAAGCAATTTTTTTATTTGTGGAAAGCATTATGTATAGAGCAAACAAATTTAAAATTTCTTATTAAAAAAATTCATTTTAAAATTTGTATATAATATACACAATGGACATCACATTGTACACAGGGAAAATTTTTTTTTTTAAATATTTTGTTGGACGCGGGAGATTATACAAAAGCGAATGTTAATTTAAACATTGTGAAGCATGCATAAGAGCGTGACGCGTGGACCATAACGAAACTCTTGCACACTGCAAATTCACACAACAATCTACATTAACCCTTACAATTACTAGACTTTGCGTCCTTCGAGAATGTCACAACTGTAAAAAATAAAACTAAAATTATCCAATGCATTTGTAAATAATATAACCAATCATAAAACCATAAAATACAATTAATACTTCATAACCAAACATTTACTATAGAAAAGATTACCTAAATATTGAAACATAAATGTAAAGTTCTATAATAAAAAAAAAATGAATCCTATATTATTGTACTTAAAAAAGAAAATAAAATATCACAATTGTAGATAAGAAGATACATTATATATAATAACTAATAAAACTTACCTCTCCTTCGGTCTTCTTCTTCTCGTCTCAAGTTGCCGTACTTCCTGTTGGGGTCGATGTCCCTGTATCGCCTCTCATATCTATCTCGGTGTCGATCGCTACGTCTCCTGCTGCCACTTTCTTCGTCATAGTGAGTCTCGCGCTCCTTTGTATTGTGACGACGGCGGTCGTCGTGTCGTAGCTCCTTGTCGTCGGGTCGAGGTGGCTTCGAACTGTACGAACCCTCTCTATAGCGCCTAAAATTTTAAATGTCTAATATTTGGGTATGTTTGTCAAATGTATATTTTATATTACAGAACAATGGCACCAAGGAACACAGTCCACCTGATGGAAAGTGAATGTTGTGGCCCACAGACATTCTCATTTATCCTTAATTAAAAGTCAAAATGCAGATTTGTTGTCCCCCTGAAGACTAAGATGAAATGCCTCATATCCAGTATAGAAAGGGTCTCCGGTTTCCTACACTCACTATGTGAAACACTGAAGTATTAAGTTGCTATTTTATACTGGTATATGGTTCCCCCTAGTCGAGCCGCCTCATTTGTGTTAAAATCATAGTTTAGCTGCATGACGCTACCACTTTCATAAAAAAGTATTTTTAATATAAAATGATGGAAACAGCACTGTACCTGCGATCCCTCTCCTTGTCACTGTAATAGTCAGTGTCTTCAGTCTCATATCTATGACTCCTGGTGCTACGTCTGTGTCTGCGTGTATCAGGACTAATGTCTCTATCGCGTCTCTCACGGTCTTTGTCTCTATCTCTGTCTCTCCTATCCTTTTCAGATCTTTGACCATCTCTTCCCAATCTTCTATCTGGATCCCTGTCATATTTTCTATCACCTCTAGAATATCTACCCTCTTTGTCTCTTTCCCTATCCCTATCGCGATCTCTTGAAGATTTGTGTTTTTCTCTATCTCTTCTTGGAGACGACTTAAATGTTCGATCCCGTTCAGAATCATCTCCTGACGTATTAACGCGATTAACAGACTGTCTTCTTGAATTGTTTGCTGGATATTCAACAGAATCTGAAGCATTGTGACCTCTATCTGTACCCAAATCGGTGACGTTGCCACTGACTACATCAAACATCTGCTCCCTTGAGAAAGTCATTTCTGCTCCAGATATGATACTCAAGTCCTGCAAATTTTCTCCCTCCATTGTCACCTCTCGTTGCTGCTCCTCAGGTGCTGCACTGAAATCTACTGCCGTGTCGTTACTTTGCTCCCTTAGCCCAATTATATTTCGAGTTGTATTTCTTGTGGTTGGTTCAGTATAATCAGACCCATCAACATTCTGTTCCCTCACATCTGTTGGGCCTGCATCAGTGTGCAATGGATAATCATGGTCAACTCCTGTGACTACCCTTGGAGCAGTTGAACCACCATAATTGCTTACTTGATACTGCATATATTCATTGTTACTTGATTCCCCGGGAACCATTCTATCCAATCCTATTGGTCTTCTATCAGTGACTCTATTAGTTGGTGGTTGAGTAAAATTGTCCGAAGTTTGTTGGCCATCGGCTTGCCTAAAAGGCCGACCAGTATTTTCAGTCAGTTGGCCATCTGCATGACGATCTATGTAATTTTCATTTGGCTGATTATAGCCATTATCTGACTCAGTTTGTTGCCCTGGAACCATACGAGCAAGACCCGGAGGTGGTTCATCACCAGATATATTTAAGTTTTGACTATACTCTGTTTCTTGTTGACCTACTACCATCCTTCTCAAGCCAGGAGGAGGTGCATTTTGGCTAAAGTCTGTGTTCTCACCATAGTCAACACTGGACAAATGTTCAGTCTGTAAATATTCATTTCTATCATTTTGTGGAGCAACTTCCAGGTTGTCAGGAATTTGTTGAGTTACAGGAATTTGTCTAAAATTAGTTGCTTGAGGTTGATCAGGTCTTTCTGAATTATCTGGAGTTGTTTCTAAATTAGCTCCAAAACCTATAGGCATTCTGTTGTGATGAGAGATCTTATTTACAACAGCTGGTGATGTTAAATTTGAGTTTGGCATCTGTGGTGGGAAAATCTGGGATGGTGTATTTGAATTAGCCTTTGATATATTTTTGTGTGAAAATGGCCCTGCATGTTTAAAAGGATTTTGAGACAAAGATGGAGGAAAATTAGTAGGAGGAGGCATTGTAGTTGATGACACTGTAGGAGGTGCTTGGGTTGCTGTCGAAACTGGTGGAGGTGGTGGCATAGCATTTGATGTAGGAGGTATATTTGAAGATACTTGTTTAACACTTTCTGCAGACGAAATGGGGGTGGGTAGTTGAACAGGTGGTGGCATATTTTCCATCGTATTTTGTTCAAATTCATTATTAGTGTTAATAATATGTGGAACAGCATTTTCAGTATTACATATATTCATGTCCTGCATAGAACTTGATAAATCATCATGACTTTCACGTCTACTACTACTTTTGTGACTATCAATTAAAGTTGTGTCTTCATTAGATAGCTTAGACCACTCGCTGCTCTGAGGATACATCTCATCTAAACGAGACTGAGAGTAATTAAAATGAGAATTGTCCGTATTTAAGCCAGGGCTACTTTTACTAGAATTTCTTGATTGGTTTTCACTTCTGTAAGTACCTTCAGAATGTGTTTGTGGTCCATCACTAGAGTCTTGAGACATTTGTGATTCTATGGACCACTGAGGTGTTAAATTATCAATATGGAAACGCTTTCCAAGTGCCAAATTAGGCAGCCGTTCCTTAACAACTTCTCGGTCATTTAAGGTTTTTATTTCGTCAGTTGAAAATTGAGCTGGGGGATTACTTACATTGCCCTGTGTAACAGATTCAGTTTGGGGAATAATATCAGGTGTTGTATTAACTGTGGGTTGTGCTGATGACTCTTTATTTTCTTGTGCCACAACTGTTGTAGAAGATGTGTTTTCTTGAGGTTCTTTCTTATTCTCCATTGCCCAATTCCAAGTATTAGAAGGTGCAAAGCTTTCTTCAATAACATTTGCATTGTTACATACTTGTGATTGTGAAGAAATCTCTTGTGAAACTGCCTGATTTAAAGTAGGCTTTTGCTTAGACGAGTCTTCCCATCCCCAGTCCCAGTTATCTTCCCAACCATCATTATGCATTTTATTCTGAGCATAGTTTTGTTGGGGCAATGCTTGGTTTGCATAATAATTTTGTGGATAACCCTGCTGAGTGTTAGTGTAGGTTTGATTGGGAAAGTTCTGATTGTACTGCGGTGGTTGTTGATAAATCTGGTTAGCATTATTGCCATAATCCTGCTGTTGATATGTTTGCCCATATTGCTGGTTGTATTGATTCTGTGGCTGCTGTTGTTGCATTTGCCAATATTGTTGTTGTTGGGTGCTCGCTTGTGCACTCTGATAATTTGAATACATATTCTGTTGATTCCCATAAGGCTGAAATATACAAAAAGCTAGACTTTATTGAAATATTAAGAAATATATAATACTTTCGCAATTTATGTATATTTAGAACAAGAAAAAGTTTAAGAAAAGACCAACTACAGACTCTATTAATCATATGATAGAGAGGTTCTTTGGTTTCTGATCCACGTCATTGTTTACGTCGGTGTCGACATAACCTGCTTACCTGGGGTGCGTCGTATAGAGGCTGCTCTGCGGCGGGCGGGGGCGCACCGCCCTGGGCCCGCTTCATCCACGACATACCGCACTATCGCCACTTACGTAACATTCGCAAAAGCGTCGCACACATATGCTGTTAACTCCACAAACAGCCTCGTCACTATCATAGAACAAAACGATCCGACACTTTCACTCTCGGTGATCTATTTTTTTACACAAACACTGTCACTACTGTAAATTAAGAAAGATAAATTGCATTATATATTATGTGGTTTCCGAATGGTTACAATAATTGTTGGATTTATTTTTGATATATTTCAAAGAATTTGTTGACAGCAACCCATCGATCGAAGGTGCCCTGTTGGCAGTGTAGCCATGCTAATTTAGATTGACATCTACGACTCTTTGTTTACGACTTGGAGCATTTTTTTCTAATCGTATAATTGGTATAATTATTTTTCTTTATAATTCATTGCAAATCAATTAATGATGAAATAAATTAATATAACTTAAAACAGTCGTATATCTACAACAATTTGAAAATATGAACAAGACTTTGAAGATAGTATTCTGTATAATTTTTGCTTATTTTAATATGTGTAATGTTTTTGTTTAGGGTTTTGTGTTTACTTTTCCGACCTTTATCACCGACTTAAAGTAAAAGGTTTACCTACTTTTAAGTTTTATGATGCTTATGTAGCATTTTATATTTTTGCCAAAAGCCATTTATCCAATGCAACTGTACAAAATCCAAAAAAAAAAAGCTCACGTCAATCGCTAATGCAATGTCAATCAGTGTTACCAACTCGAATTTTTACAAATCCGTGGACCTCTATATATACAAGCCGTAAATCCGTAGATGCTTTTGTTTTGTTGTAAGTTAAATGTAATGTTAGTTAGTTACATAGATTTTGTATCTTATAGACTAAACATTCCGTGACGTCATCAGCGTGTGAAAGGAATGCACGTATATAGTTAGACATAAGAGTAAGGGAGAAGCAAATCTATATTTCTTGTCTTTTTCTAGGTATGCGTTTTTGATTGTTTTCCCTCCTTTATTTGACATTAACGATGTCAAGCTCTTGTGAATAACATCGATATTATAAGCAAACAGGTAATTGAATTTAGTGTTGTTTGTGGGTTTTAGTTATTAGGTAAGGTTAAAAAGATGGTAAGTTGTAGCATTTTAGGATGCAACAGCATCAGTCAACGAAAAATTGATAATATTACCTTTCATCGGTAAGTTTGTTTTGTGCTTACATTTGCTACTTGTACTGATTAATATCTATTGTTTTGAATATAAAGTGTAACATTTCATGTGTTTAATGAACTTTGTGATGTATTTTGTCAAATATTTGGACTCCCAAATTGTAAATTCTTCATGATAATGCTCCTTAATTTGAACGGTCATTTGAAAGCTTAAAGTCATAACAAAGGTGTACTTTTTAATTTGGTAGGATTATAGAAACTTTAGGGATATCAGCGAGTACAATAATGTTTTCACATTGTTGAATAATAAATGTTATTGTGATTAGTAGTTATGTCCATAAATATGAATCACATAATGTTATACATATACATACACTTTTATGTTCAGCTTTAAAGGAAACTCCTTATTGCCCTACAACTCTTCAATCATTTTTCACAAATAATATTATGTAAGTATCAACCTGAAAACATGTTTGGATTCAAGTACATAAACATTCATCATCATCATCATTACAGCCCTTCACAAGTCCACTGCTGAACATGGGCCTCCCCCAAAGAATGCCACAAAGCACGGTCCTGAGCCACCTGCATCCATCGACTTCCTGCATGTCTTACCAGGTCGTCACTCCATCTCGTGGGGGGACGCCCTACACTTCGCCTACCGGTACGAGGCCGCCACTCGAGAACCTTTCTTCCCCATCGGTTGTCGGTTCTTCGAGCGTGGCAACTATGGCAAATACCCCCCCTATGAATGACAGTAACATAAACATTGGGCAAAGTATATTTAAGTTCACAAAATATGTATTGCCTGAAATCAGATGCACAAAACTTTATTGCATTCCATTAATTCTATTATACTTAAGCAACAATTACATTACAATATTTATTAAAAAAAAGTAAATAAATATGTCATAGTAATATAAAAATAAATATAAACTAGTAGATAAAATAATAAATAAATAAATAAGTCTTAATCTTAAGGTACACAATAACACAACAACATAAGATAATATTCTCAATTAATGATGTAGAAAAAATTAAAATAATATACTTACCGTTACCATTAGTAAATGACAAAATATTTACTTTTAGATAGATTGATTAAACATGAATCCTCATTTACAAATGTTGGAACTTTATCTGTACTTCCATGTTTTATGCAAATAAAGATTTAAATAAAAGAAATAAATAAATAATTTAAAGTCCTGACCTAAATATACAAATGAATAATTTATTATACAATAATAATTGTAAAACTGACTGGGAATGCCTACCAATGGGACATTTAGTCCACCCTTAATCCCTTTTATAAAGGTGTTATAGACAATAATGTGTAAATAAATTAAGAAATAAATATAATAATTATGATAATTTCTATTTAATTGTCATAAATAATGTAATAAAGATGTTTTTGACAAGAGATAAGTATTACCTATCTAAGTATAATTTAGGAGTTGTACCTTATTATTTATACCATTAAAATATATTACATACAAGGCATAATATATATATATATATATATATATATATATATATATATATATATATATATATATATATATATATATGCCTTGTATATACCCTTCTAATCCGTAATCCGATACTCACAACCAGCACCCAAGAATTTCTTTCTGAAATTTTGTAAATTAAAATAGAATATTATAAAACATTCGTTTTTATTTTATATACCAACATATTACAAAAACAAACCCTTTGTTGATGCTTTACAACGTATATTAACCGAAACATTTTACCACCTTAACCATTAGGTAACATGATTAAGCCACCTAACCATAAGTAAGTCACCTAAAAAAGGCCTTCCCTAGATATCCTCATAGGATGACTTGTACCTAGTTGCCACGCCTGCGTGAAAATATGCGTTATGCTGGTTGGCCACCGCAGTTATTTATTATTTTAAGTTTTCATCGGGAAAGTGCTGCTGCCCCATCCCCATCTTGTATTATTGCTTACGACGCGGGGTAATATCATTCCGTGTACAGACAAATTCTCTTGTACGCCACAATTTGCCGCACATAAGACATTAACTTAGCAAAACATGCAGGAAATCGCGGGAGTAGCCTCATAACCGTGTTTTGTACTACATAACCTAAGTGGAAAGCCTTTCCTTTCGGAGGTCTGTGTTCAGCACTGAACTTGTGATGGACTGATATGTTAAAACATTATTGATTTTTTTTTTTTTGTAAAAACAAAACTCAACACGAGGAAATTTTTGTTTATTATTTAATATTTTTATTTTCAATTAATATTTAAGTACATACATAAAATATTGTTATTTATTAGCAATATCACACTTTGTGCTAGTAGCGTCTTCACTTAGTGCCGTCGAAATCCAAAGAGTTTATTGAATGTCCAGTAAAATAGTCGTTGCGCCGTTGAATACAGAATGATGATTCTGTTTTTACGCCGTTTCCGCCCGTAGTTTTTAGTCAAAGAATGTATTTTCAAGAGATATGAATTAATCATCTGAATTATAAAAGAACATTTTTTTATGGTAACAATTAAGTTTTTGTATGAATGTAAGTGCTGTGAATAGAAATAAACCCATAACGGGGGAAATGGAACAATATCTGGTAACCCAGTGAAAGTACCTCCCGCCTATTTCTATCTCAAAAGCATACGCGAATGCTTTATCTAGTCAATCCTCTATCTACGGTTAGTTACTAAATCTATGTTAGGGCAACATCACAGAGTACCTTTGTATAAACACAACACCGAATCAAGCTATATATATATATATATATATATATATATATATATATATATATATATATATATATATATATATATATATATATAGATATATATCTATATATATATATATAGATATATATCTATATATATATATCTACTTACAACATTACTATTTAAAAATGTATTTATTGCTTTTCGAAGTATTCTCCGCGAAATTTGACACATTTTTCGATACGATGGAACCAATCATTGAAGCAACCATTCCATTCGGAATTTGGGGCAGTTTTGTAGGCGTCCACAGCTTCTTCAGGTGATGAAAATCTCTGTCCACGCAATTTATTCTTTATTTTAGGGAAAGTATAGAAATCATTAGGGCTTATGTCGGGGCTGTACGGCGGATGGTCTAGTAATTCTATGTTTTCTTGCTCTAAAAACTCTTTTGTTCTGTGTGCGGTGTGAAAACTCGCATTGTCGTGATGGAGGATGATGAAGCGGTTGCAGTTCTCTTTACGGAGTTCAGAAACGACCTGTGGCAAGCAAATGCTAGCATACCATTCTGCATTAACCGTTCTTTGTCCCTCAAGAGGAATAGTCGTAACATAGCCGGTTTTGGGGACAAACGTGGCCACCATTTTTTTTGCAACACTCCGTGAACGAACAATTTTTGTTGGCTTTAACTCATTTTCGAACAGTTTTTTGTTTCGGGTTCGTACGCGGATATCCAGGATTCGTCACCTGATACGATGTTGTATACAGCATTTGAGGATCCTGCGTGGAATCTTTCGAGAGTTCTGTGGCACCAAGTAACGCGAGCCGCTTTTTGCTCTTCACAGAGCGAATGCGGTATCCATCGGGAAAACAACTTTTTTACACCTAATTGTTCATGCAAGATTATTTGTATTTGACTCATGCCAATGTCTAAAGTTGCCTGAATTTCGCGGTATGTCACATGTCGATCTTCCTCAATCAGCTTACGCACAGCATCAACGTTTTCTTGGGTGACTGCAGTTTTTAGACGACCTTGACGGGGATCATCACTGAGCTTGACACGTCCACGTTGAAATTCAGGAAACCAGCGATAAATTGTGGTTTTGAATGGGGCTTCATCAAGCGTAAGCATATACTTCATAAGTCAGTGTACGAGTACGTAAG